TCAACATTCAAAACTATAATAGTATCTCAATGATACCAAAATAAATGTTTTGCGATAAACCTAAAACATATTGGTATCATATACTTAAATTCAGAGTTTTGATTCGTCATGTCATCATTCATAATGGTTTGAGTCACTGTAAAAAAATATTGTTGGTTTAACTTAAAAAAAAATAAGTAACCTGGTTGCCTTAAAATTTTAAGTTTATTGAAATGGAAAAATTGAGTTAATACAATGAAGGAGATTAATTTAATCACCAGAAACTCAAAATATTATGTTTTATCTAAGTTGTTTTGACAAACGAAAAAATGTTGTGATTACAAATCATGAAGTAGTTCATAAGTTAGCTAATATTTCATCTCGATGATCGTATCGCTATTTATTACATTGAGTTTTTCCTTTAAAACTCATTGTTTCCGAACTGTACTTTTACAGGTGTAATTGACTGTTTCGTCGTCCTAGAAAGCAAGTTTAACTGCACTGTTATATTGTCATTCACCTCTATCCAGACCTCTATGACTTTCTGTCTTCTGTGAAACGACTTTTTATGGAAGTTTTCTGCTGTCTTTGACATTATCGTACCATGAATATTCTTTAAAACATCTTGTTTTATGTTCCACAGATGCGTGTTTGAAACAACATGATGGTGAGTAAAAAAAAAAAGACAGAACTTCATTTTGCAATTTCAAAGGTTTTGGATGAACGTTTACTTCTATAATAAAGCAATCCAAGTCTAAATATCTCTCAAATACGCATATAGTGTGAACCAGTGTAATGACTCAGTCTGGAGGGATCTGTCCTGAGAGAGCAGTTTAGAAATCACTTAAAGCTATTAGTGTATCGCGGTTACAATGAGTGTCTGATTCGCTGACTTCATGAAAAGAGATGAGAGAGAGCGAGCGAGGGAATGTGTCTTTTTGTATTTGCATGCTAGAACAGCAGAGTGTTCTAAATGTCTTTATAGATGAAAGACAATTAAGTCTTTAGTCATCTAATTACATGCTGTCTCTCTCTCTCCCTCTCTCTAGCTCAGTCTCTCCCACTCGTAACCATTTCTATTTCCAGAACTGATGTGTTATCAAGTTCCATGCACGAAATATTACATTTTAACAGGTTATATACAGAAACCTGGGTGATGTGAGATAAGCTCTAGATGAGCTGTGAGAATGTGAAATGTCAGTCCTTTCTTGCATGTCTCTGCACTGTAAAAAAATATTGATGGTTTAACTTAAAAAAGTAAGTAACCTGGTTGCCTTAAAATGTTCATTGAACTGGAAAAAGTGAGTTAATGCAATGAAGGAGATTAATTTAACCATCGGAAACTCAAAATTATATGTTATCTGAACTAAATAAGTTATTTAGGTTGATTTGATAAAAGAAAAAATGTTGTGATTACTATAGTAATCACACATTTTTTTCTTTTGTCAAATCAACTTAAACATATAATTGTAAAAAATATTGATGGTTTAACTTGAAAGAGTAAGTAACCCGGGTTGCCTTAACATTTTAAGTTGATTGAACTGGAAAAAGTGAGTTAATACAATGAAGGAGATTAATTTAACCATCAGAAACTCAAAATTATATGTTATCTGAACTAAATAAATTATTTAAGTTGATTTGACAAAAGAAAAAATGTTGTGATTACTACACTGTAAAAAAATATTGTTGGTTTAACTTAAAAAAGTAAGTAATTTGGGTTGCCTTAACATTTTAAGTTGATTGAACTGGAAAAAGTGAGTTAATAGAATGAAGGAGATTAATTTAACCATCAGAAACTCAAAATAATAAGTTATCTCAACTAAATAAATTATTATAAAGTTGATTTGACAAAAGAAAATATGTTGTGATGACAAATCTTGAAAATATTTTTGACAGTGTTGCACTTTTTTCTAAAGCACAAAATGTCAATCTTTGTACTTGCTCTGCCTCTGAAACAACTTTTTTGTTTCAGATCCCTCCAATTTTTTAACACCTATGTATTCCCAACTTAATTTTTTTCTCTCGCATATCCTCTTTCACTCGTATTAACATCTCTTGATGATTAAAATGGATTGTGGATGGTTTCAGTTTGACTTTAAGGATGTGCTGAATGTACTAAAAGTTTTATAGTTCATGCCAGTTTAAGTTTTGCCATTTATTTGGACTTTATTGCACGTACAGTATCGTTCGGATGTTTGGGGTCGATAAGATTTTTAAATGTTTTGAAAGAGGGTTTCTTGTGCTCACCAAGGCTGCATTTATTTGATCAAACATACAGTAAAAACTGTGGTATTGTGATATATTTTTATGATTTGAAATGACTGTTTTCTATTGTAATATATCTTAAAAAAAGTAATTTATTCCTGTGATCAAAGCTGAATTTTCAGCATCAGTCTTCAGTGTCACATGATCCTTCAGAAATCACTCTAATATGATGATTTGATGCTCAAGAAACATTAATTCTGAAGGATCATGGGACTCTGAAGAGTGGAGTAATGGCATCACAGTGTTAAAATATATTCACATAAAAAAACTTAAATCTTTAATCATTTTACTGTAATTTTTATCATGAGAGACTAATTACAAAAACATTAAAAAATCTTAATTTTTTCTAACTTTTTGAGCGGGAGTTTAATTCTGACTGACTCGTTTGTTCCAGAATGTCAGGCTTGATCGGCATGTGTGATCCAGTGTAATCTCTGGTGTAATCTAGTCCAGTGTCAGTCTGTAATCTAGTTGTAGAGCTAGACTGTGTCCTTGTTTAGACATCTGAAAGCAGTAAACACAGAGGTCATGTTTATTTTATGCTGACAGCACTGGAGTTAGTTGATCTGCGTGTGCTGGATCACTCACTAGTGTCTGATCACTTCTACTGATAACCTTCTGTGTTAGTGAAAGTATGTGAAGAAATCTGTGGTAAGTGATGTCTTTTTCAGCTGAATGCAGGCGAGTACAATAAAGAATTACTGCTAAGAGGACAGAAACTGGGATATCGGAAGGGACGGTTAGATTTACCTGGCTTTCTCACTCTTAAGTAAGGCAGACTTTACTATAGGCGATTGCTCTGTATAAAGGTCTGGTGATGAATGGCTCTTGTCCGCTCTCAGGTCCTTTGCCAGTTCTGTAGTGATTTATTCTGAAAGTTTAACAGCGTGACCTCAAAACACATACACATGCACATATAAAGAGAGTGTGAGAGAGTGTATATAATACACCATGTTAAAAAAGTGCATTGTTTCTGCTGGTTAAAGATGTCTATAATTAGATCTAAATCAGGACAGAGAGAGGCCCCTTATAGTTACTTTATTTTATAAAGGGTCTCAAACTCCCCACAGGGGTCCACTGCTCAAATTTGGGCCATACACTTTTATATGAATCTTTCTTCCAGCGAAATAAAGTTTTATATATATAGTCAACAAATGAATGTTTTACTGCTCAGTCCACTAACGATCGGTGAAACAGCGACACAGTGTGTTCTCAGTGTGGCATTACAACCGCAATAAAGCCTGTGTAAAATTATTATTTGAAAACTATTGACAGTTGTTGTAATGGCTGTACAGTAACTTGTGATTTCATAAATATTATCTTTTTTGTTTATTATTATTTTACGCAAACAGCTTCACAAAACCTATGGTTTACTGATGATAGTGTAACTACAGCGGGCTGTCACCATGTACAGCGCGTGAACAAACATTTACGTTATTGACAACCGGTGACAGACAGACGGAGGCTCGTGCTCGTGTAACGTTAACGGCTGTGAGGCGCTTTGATCTGGTCAATAATCAGTCTGTATATTTCTGTGAATGCGATTATGTCGGATTATATGAGGAATGTCTGAAGGTAAGATCATTAGACCGGTTTAAAAAGGCGTTTATGTGGAGAAAAAAACATTTTGTTGATGAACGCCTACGAAACCGTATTGAAATTGTCCGTTATTTATCTTGAGTGAGCATTACTGACGTTTGTCTCACTATTAAAGTTTTCTGACTTGTTCATAACTTAAAAAATGTGTTTTAATGTAACTTAACACACGACAGTCAAGACATTTAAACTGGTCGGTGTCTCAAAAGCTGTAACTTAACTGCCTAGACAGCATTTTAGATCATCATATTAAGTTACGCTCCCTATCTAGACAGCATTTTGTCTGTGTTTAAGTGTTTGTGTAGTGTAAAACACATGTACTGTGTTTTATACGGCAAACGCCTGAAACACATTGACACCATACCTCAGAATGAAGCCAGTATTTTATCAAAATGTGTGCTTTAAGTCTTTAGTGTACTTGTTTTCCTCGTAGATGAATGCTAACTTAAGTCATGATGTTGGATGCACTGGGAGGCTGCAGCGCCATCCCGCATCCCAGAATCCCTCTGACCTATATCAGGTGTGTGTAAAGTGTCCCAGTGTCTACATACATGACAATCTCTATTTGATTTGATCTTTTCTGGATTTTTTTTCCCGCTCATCCTCATTTGCTCTCTGTTCTCTTACAGATGTATCTCCTTAATAGCCAATACCCGCCCATCCTGCAGAATCACTCTCGGACGCTTGCGGTTCCCTACAAGGAGTTGCGGCACCACAGAAGTTCCTGCGAGTCCATTGGGAACAACTACAGCCCGAGAGGCCAAAACCTGAAAATCCAACATCTACACCGCAGACGTCACTCGCCTCAGTGTCCTCCATCTGCTTGTATCCTTAACAAACATCTTTCATATACTTACACACACTCAATTATGCTTAAATAGGCATTGCTATATATATATATGAAGAGTTCAGATGCAAAAGCCTCTAAATGCCATTTGAAATTTTCCTCTAAAATGACCATTTTTATCAAGCTTGTATATTTAAGTTCAGTAATTTCACTTAAATGACAATTAATAGGTCATCTTCATTGCCATTTAAGTGAAATTACTGAACTTAAATATACAAGCTTGATAAAAATGATAATTTTAGAAGAAAATTTCAAATGGCCCTTAGAGGCTTTTGCATCTGAACTCTTCATATACACACTGCTTGTCAAAAGTTTGGAATTGCTATTTTTTTTATGTTTTTGAAAGATGTCTCTAATGCTCTGCATGGCTGCATTTATTTATTCAAAAAACTATTTTTACACCGTTATATTGTAAATTATTATTGCCATTTAAATGAATTGTTTTCTATTGTAATATATAGTAAAATGTATTTTTTTTTTCTGTGATCAGAGCTGAATTTTCAGCATCCTTACTCCACTCTTCAGTGTCACATGATCCTTCAGAAATCACTAATATGATGATTTGCTGCTCGAGAAATATTTCTGATTATCAATGTTGAAAACAGTTGTGGTGCTTCATATTTCTCTTGAAACATGATGCACAATGTTTGGGGCAAGTAAGCTAATACTGCAAATATTTTAAAAATAATAGGGGTGTTACAATACCCTCATCATGTCACGATTCGATACATATCACAATACGATGTACTGATACGATATTATTGCAATGCTCCAAGACATATGGTAAAACTTTAACAAAAAAATGTACTGGTGTAAATTAGAATAGATTAGGCTTGGATTTAGTGCTGATAACCCAATGCACAGGACAATAGTGACACCAGAATAAAAAATATATTTATTATTCTGAAGCTAAAACCACAGAATTACTTTAGACGATTAATTTATGCTTGAACTCCTTTATTGACTAGCCTAGATTTATTTAAAATAATGTAGGCCACTTTTTACTGGTAAAATAAGAGGACCCACAAATATTCCCCCATTGCATTATTATACATTATATTCAACATTACATATAGCAGTTTAATGAAACTATTTTTTCCTCAACTATATAAAATACATATTGTCACTATCCACGATACATATTGTTGCATTTTTGTATAACGTTATATTGACACCTCTAAAAAATAATAATACTTTGATTCAGCAAGGATCGATTAAATTGAACAAAAGGGATATAATATTTATCAGAAATATATTTTTAATGTTAAACAAATAAATGCTGTTCATTGAACTTTGTATTCATCAAAAATATTAAGCAGCAAAAAAATGTTTTCAACTAGGCTACTATTGATAATTGTAAGAACCATTTTTCATAATCGAGGAATACTAGTAATTGAGCAGCAAATTGGTATATCAGAATGATAATATTTTTCACAATATTACTGTATTTCTGATCAAATAAATACAGCCATCTTTCAAAAATATTAAATGATTCTTTCAAAACTTTTGACTGGTATTACACACACACACACACGCACACACACACACACACACACACACTTTAAGTGAGTCCTATCTTAACTTCACATTCAAGTCTGCAGTGACGCTCCGGGTGTGAGGAGGCGACCTATAACCCGAGCACAGAGGTAAAAGTTCTCTCTCACACACAGCAGACACTTTAAAGCAGAGATTTAGAGCATATGTGTGTATTTATTGTAATATTTACATCAGGAACCATCTTTTTTACATTAACAAACCAATGCCATCATTCTTAGATGTCGCCCCTTGACACCGAACCAGCAGCTTGAAATCATTCGGCATGAGGAGAAACAAAGTCAAAGAGACCAGGTGGAACCCACAGAGAGAGATTTAGAGGTCAGTATAAAGTAGAGGTTTAGGGGATAGTAGAGGTATAAATAAATAGAACATTATATAGTTATTGCAAAAAATACAAAAGAGAATTGTATTTGGTCTCTATTTTTTATGTAATGTTTATTTAACCAGGAAAAAGTGTTAACGGACATAAATTCACATTTGATATATAATACAGTATATAAAAAAATGCCTCCTCATTTCAATACACCATTAATATATAAATATAGATAGATAAAGAATATGTAATTTTTTTAATGGTTTTAAATAAGAACGGGTTCTCTTGCATCCATCTACCAATTTATATTCTTTCTCCTCTCTTTCTGTCTCAGAGGTATTTGTACTATATCACAGAGGGTATTTACGGCCACATGTTGGCACCCCACCCACCAGAGCAGATCACCGGTATCCTGAAGCTTGCACCCATCCGTTTCCAAAAGGATGAGCGAAAGATGCAGTGGATGCAGGAGGTTCTCCTGGAGGAGGTCCAGAGAGACTATGAATTCAGCCTCCGCAAGAGCATCGGTATGACACACGACACCATCTAGAGTAGATGATGTACACTTCAGCAGGTATATTAATGACAGTAAACAAGTACTATAAAGAAATATATATATATATATATATATATATATATATATTAGTGCTGTCAAACGATTGTCACACAATGTAAAACTGTCTATCAATAAAAGGGTGAAATAAATACTGACGAGGTCCTGATATTGACGAGGGGGTGGAGAATTCGCATCATCTGTGTGTGTGTGTGTGTGTGTGTTTGCTTGGCCATCTTCAAGTGGTATTTCAGACTGGACGTGCTGCGATGATGATAGCTCAGTTCACAACGACAAAACACAGATCACTTGGTCTTGTGAATGGGACAATATGGCAACTTTTTAAAAGTAAACTTTCCATTCAGAATTTTAGGGCATCCATTTCGGCGTCTCGCGCTCGTCATCCACTCAAAACGTAATGTTACTATTTGGCCGGCTCGCAAGCCGAAACGAGTGTGTGCGGCACAAAACGTCCTCGCGCTGCGCTCTGAAACCCTTTCATTTCAATGGCTTGCGCCGCGCGAGAACGTTTTGTTGTTTCTTCGACCAAAGCGCAAGCGGATCTAGACCGTAAACAAAACAACAGACACGCCGCAAACACACGTTTCGTCTTGTGAGCCGGCTTTGAGTGGATGACGAGCGCAAGACGCCAAAATGTCGCGTCCTGTTGCAAAAGCATGTGAAAAAACTACAAAGTTAGCTAGGACAAAAAGAACGTTAATTGCGCGATAAAAAAAAATTAACGGCGTTAAAATGGGTTTGCGTTAACGCCGTTAATAACGCGTTAAACTGACAGCCCTAATATATATATATATATATATATATATATATATATATATATATATATATCAAATAATGGTGCGTTACATACTTTTTTTGTTACACTAGGCGGTAATACTAGATATGACTTTCTAAATATTAATTTCCTTCCCAATTGTTGTTGTTTTTTTGTCATCCAATTTATGTTACTGTCTTTTTAGTCATTTTCATATTTGTGTGGCCCTTTGAATAAGTTGTCTGAAAATTTTCATAATTGTAATTTCTCTCTTTTTTTGCAGTCGACTATATCCTGCTAGATCCAGCAGAGAGGGAGCGTCTATCAATTTCTGCTGTTCCCCGGCCTTTCACGTCCCGTGTAATTCGTGCACCAGTTCCCTGGAACATCCTGGAAGCTAAAAGCTGGCAGACGGAGAACCTCTACACGGTGAACCCTATGCTGCTACACATACACGATCTCTGGATGAGCAGGTCAGCATCTATGATCCCTTCATCATGGTCCTAACATCATGATCCCATTTATGATTTATAAAATTATTATGTTTCGTTTGTAGTTTCTCATCTCTGCGGTTTGTTCGTTTGGACGCCCTGCTCTCAGCCGATCTTCCGCTCTTACCAGCGGAGTTTGAGGAGCTGGTGCGGCGACAGTGTGAAAACACACGAGATGAACTGCTTAACACGTAAGAGACTTTGTGTGTATGTAAATATTTGTTCTGTGTTTTTTTTGTGAGGTCTGGTGGTTTAAGTAACTTCCTTCAGTGGAAGCAGTACAGATTGAGAAGTCGAACAGAGACACATGATATATTTGCTGTCTGTAGGTTTCATTCTCATGTTCACTCTAGTCACCTGAATCCAGCTCTATAATTACATCTCTAAGCACGCAAAGGAAGAGCTGGACGTCCAGGAAGCTGTAATTATAGAACTTTATACAGTAGTTAGTTCCGCTCCTTGAATCTGATTGGTCGAGCAGTGTTTCAAAAGGCCCAATATAACAGTCCAACAGCACTGGGACCTTTCATAGTCAGCGTCACTCCTTTTGTCTGTGTTTGTTCCAGACAGACTGTCAGTCTTGTTGTTAGTGGTTGAGATTTTTAAGTATTTCTTTATGCAGGTTACATTGAAACGTTAGTAGGTAGCGACTAATTTGAATAATTGATTCATACCTTTATGAGTGAGTCATTTGAATCATTCATTCAACCGATTTGTTCATCAACACTGATTCATTCCCTGTTTATTATCATTCACTAAAACTATTTCTAAAACATTTCTCATTTTTGTTTAGTTTAACTTGAAGTACTAAAATGACTAAAACTGAAATAAAAATTAACAAACACTATTTTAGACATTTTTACGACTAAAATTGAAATGAAAACAGAAAATATGAAAATAAAATAACATTTTTTAAACATTAAATTATACAAATTACTATAGCATATTAATGATACTAAAATAACAAACAAGTGACTTGTATTTAGAGTGAGTCAAACACTGATTCATTTAGTGGTGAAACATATCACGAGTCTTTTGAGTCATTCATTCAAACACACTGATTTATTCAGAAACAACACAGTGCTACTGTTTGTTACTTGAAGTTAAAGAAAACAAATTTGAATTTACAGATAAGAGAATATAACTTGAACTATTCAACTACTGATGCTTGTCTGTTTTATCAATTAGTCATAGCAAAGTCCTGATGCTCTCATTGGATATACTGAACATTAACTGGACTGTGGTAAATGTACATTTGAATAAGGTCAGCGTCATGTGTGGACAATCGTGTTGTTGTTTAAATAGTTCTCTTCGTCTTGGCTACCTTTGTTCTCAACTCTGTATCCATGGTCTCCTCAAACTACCCAGAGAATCGCACACAATACAAGCTTTTAAAGTTTTGAATGAGGGTTTAAACAATGGGGAAATAAAGAGCAATCTGGACCTGCTTTAACACGCAGGGTGCCTGTGGCTCTACAGCAACAGTGAGTGTGAAGTGTTTAGAAGATATACTGCAGGAAGTGGGACTTTCAGTCTGACGTATTCACTGAATGGACTGACTGAATCAGTCAATAACAAGTAAAGTTGGTGATTGACTGGTGTAAGTTTCTAAAGCCTTAATTATAGCTTTTATTTCTGTCCATCATATTTTACCTCTCAAAAAACAGTTTTTAGACACCTTTTTATTATAGAATTTTAAATGTAAATTTTATACAATAAGATGACTTCTTTAACTTTTGAAGATTAAGACATTTGATATACTTGCACTTTAGCACAGCAAAAAAAAATCAAATTGGTTAACTGGTATGAACATAACAACTCAAGAAGTGAATTTTGATATACAGCCAAGCAGAAAAATGAAGGTAAAATTGAAAGAAAAATAATAAGCTACATATAACATATCACCTGTTTCCTCTGTTGTTTGTGTGTGTGTGTGTGTGTGTAGGTGGCTGCCCAGCTGTGCTTCTCTTTTTGTGACCTTTAAAGACTCGTGGTTGCCACTGGTGCCGAAGAAAGCAAGCATGGCCCCTGTAAAGGCCCAAAAACTCTTCTTCTGTGTGGCTGCGCTGATGTCACTGCAGCTGCGCAGTCTGGTGGTCGCATCACTACAGGATCTGCTGCAGTTCTTCCAGCTACATCAGGTACTGAAACCAGTGACACTAGCGACGTTTATATTGACACCTTTTGTTTCCAAATGAAATCATTCTGCTTGATAAATTCATACTCTTTATATGAATGCTAAATAATGTCATGATGCTTATATTTATCAAGCAGTAAATACAGCCCTTCCCATGCCTAAAACGTGTGTCTGAAGCAAAGCCTGTTGGGACAATGATTTGCACTTTTTTTTTCTTCACATGGTTACATTACTGACTCTGCTACTAGTCTGATTACGGTCAGATTATTAGGGTCCATGTAAACACAGCTTCACATTATATCTTCACATTATATAATCTAGTTACTGAGCATCTGCTTGCAGTTATGGGTATATATATATATATATATATATATATATATATATATATGAAGAGTTCAGATGCAAAAGCCTCTAAATGCCATTTGAAATTTTCTTCTTTAATGATGATTTTTGTCAAACTTGTATATTTAAGTTCAGTAATTTCACTTAAATAACAATTAATAGGTAATTATCATTGCCATTTAGTGAAATCACTGAACTTAAATATACAAGCTTGATAAAAATGATCATTCTAGAAGAAAATTTCAAATGGCACTTAGAGGCTTTTGCATCTGAACTCTTCATATATATGTGCACGACACATCTGTCTGCTTGCATGCTTTTTGAGAGTTATTGTGTATATTTATTATATTTGGTATATTGTGTATACATTTATTTACCACCGTAAAAATCACTCTAGCTTACTGTCTTGTGGATCTTTTTGCCTTTTAAAAGACAGACAATTTTTCATTAATAAACATTATTAATAATATACATCTAACATTTCATCTACCAAGTCATACAGGTCATTTGCCTAATTGTTGCTGTATACACTACCATTCAAAAGTATGAGGTCGGTCAGATTTTCTATGTTTTTTTTGTTGCAGGATGGTAATGATTTTGGGGAGTGTTTTAATGAGCTGCAGTACACACAGCGTCCAGTGTTACTGGTGAAGTTGAGACTCGAGGACCCCAGAATTGCATTCGAACCTTCACTGCAGAGCTGCTGGGAGCTCATTCAACAAGCGTTCACACAGATCATCAACAGCGCCCACAACATACCACGGGTAAACACACATATACTTTTATTTAACAAAAAGAGGACTCCCTGATGATTTCTATTGTTATAGTATACTATAGTTTACATTTTTTAAGGATATAGTCTTTAGTAGAGAGGATTAGTACTGTATGACTTTCATTTGCTTTACTCATATTATGTCTGCAAAGTTCAGGTTGAGTGGCTCCCAATCTTTACTTACATTGGTAAGAGTTGTTTTAGGACCTGGAATATGCACACAGGCACATCACTTTGTCATAATTTTACATAAACAATGAAAATTGAACATCTAGCAGAAGTTCTACACTCTAACAACAACTAGATTGCTTCCATTAAAATGAAAATGGAAGTCATCGCTTACATCGTTTACCTTGCTGTTATTGTATAAAAAGCTTGTCCATATAATGGCACTGAATAGCAAACACCATCAACCTTTAAAATATTATGCATAAGTATTATAGAATGATCCCATTGTATACCTCCAAGTGTTCAGGGGGTATATTATAGGGTTCGGTGGAAAACAAACCTAAATTGAATGCATTATTTAACAAAATTCCTGTCGTTGATCTTCTGTGCTCGTCTGCACATTCTTGAGACTCTATTAGCACACAAGTTTTGAGAAATCAAGATTAATAATAACGCCATATGAAATACAGTCCTTGTACTTTTTTCTCTGAGGTGTATATCTGTCATCTCATGTTTATCATGTTCCCATTCTAATGGTCATCTGGAGATATTTAACTCGAAGAAAGTTCACTGACACCTTTTGGAGGAGTTCTAGGAGTTGTATTTTATGTTGTGTTTTTATTTATATTGATGACTTAATTTTCATTTTTGGTTGAACTATCCCTTTTAATGAAGCTTCTGAGTTTAGGCACAGTGTAAAGCAGAAAAAAATTCAACCTAATACACACTTAAACCATCACTTTTAAACCAGAAATCCAAATGAGTGATCTTTTCCTACAGGTGGAAGTTAAGCTTTTTCCAGAGTTTGGACAAACATTAATTCTGCGCTCAGTAAGACCCGACGAGTCGCTGGTGAAAGACATCATTACCAGAGCGAGAGAGATCTTTCAGAGGAACACCGTCGGGCCCCAGAGGTCCGCTATCATTCGGAGAGCATGTTTTCCAGTGGAAAAGCTTCAAATTAAGATTGAATCACACTGTAGTTTGTCTGTGCTTGTGTAGGTATCTGGATGTGTATAAGAAGTACACTGATGCACTGGACCGTCAAGACATACTGAACTTCCTAAAAACCAAACACTCACTGCAGGGCTTTATTAAGGTTAGCTTTTCTAGTGTGTGCATAGACAACACAAGGGTGAAATGCTTCCTTGTAAAGCAAGATGTTTCTTCTTTGTGAAATGTAGAAAATCACAGGTGTGCAGAACATGTGGAAGGAGATCACATCACTGCATGTGACAGTCCCTCTGTCCCTGTTCTGTCTGGATGCGGTGAACCTGAACCAAGATCTGTGTGACAAGGCAGAGGATCTCATAGATCTTCTTACCACGTTTGTGATGGAGGAGAACCGAGAACTCAACAAGAGGTGGGTGGAAACAGTCTGAAATGTTCTTCACAATAAAGCCAAGTTTAGTTTTGTGGGCATTTTAAAGTGGATAATTATTTTTATCACTCAGGAAATACTGTCAAGAGCCAGAAATACATTATCACCATGCTTTAAGAAATAAAGTGTAATATAAATGAGTCAAATGGTATATGAACAAACCCCTCTGTAAAACCCTTTTACTGTATGAAAAGTTTGCTGTATGAAAGTGAGATTTCTGACTGAGAATAAACTCATTTTAAGAAAATGGCCTTTAAAGCTATATATTATAATTAAATTTTGGATGGTTACTTTCCAGTAGTCTGAATAAGACAAGTTATGGAAGGAGAATATCTCAAAATATCAAAATTGACCAATGCCTGAAAATTAGGGCTGTCACACGATTAATCGCGATTAGTCGCATCCAAAATAAAAGTTTGTGTTTACATAATGTGGATGCACTGTGTTTAATTATTTTGTGTAAATATAATTTATATATAAAATATTTATATTCACACATAAAAATAGCTGTAAATACAATAATAATACAATAGTTTTACCTGCAGTGACTTTTAATATTTCATTATTTGTCTTATTAAACTTCCTGTTGCCTTCAAAAACATGTCACGTTATTTAAATGGAATTATTTAGTTTTTAGCTGATTTTTAGTTGTTAGCAGTTTCATTCGCTATTTTCACACATTGTTTGTATGAGGTATTATATTATACCATACACCGTTTATAGCATGTAGCATTTATTATTCTACAATAGTATCTGCTGTCGTTACGATGAGATTACGGACAGAATCACGAGCAAGATAAGTAACACAGAGGAGCTGGTGGAGTTAAACCAGTACCTGAAACACACAAGTGAAGTCACCGTACACAAACTCCGCCGTGAGATTGAGGAAGCCGCCAAGAGACTTGACTTCCTACTCGACTATGCCACCCTACCAGGTAAACGTCCTTTGCATGCGTAATGTGTGGATGCAAATACTTTTAATACTACTCAATTACAGTTTTAGTAATATTTCAACCCACTTGTGTGTGTTTGTCTTCTACATTTGGGCCAGTCTGGGTCTCGTGGGAACATTTTTTTCTTTATCCTTAAGACTTCTTTCTTCACAGTTGAGGATATGATGTTGTTCAGCACTGTGATCCACTGGCCTGAGCAGATTATGTCATCGATTGAATCCAGTAAGGATAAACTGAACAATCAGAAACATCAGGCTGATATCAGTCTGATGAAAAGGTGCTTAAACACGGATATACAGACACACACACACACAACTTCAACTTTTATTTATATATTTAGCACATTTAATAGCAACATTGTTGCCCAAAGTGCTTCACAGTTAACTAAAAATAGTAAGACATTCATTTATAAACACATATACACACACAGACACGGACACATATCCTACACAGCTTCAATCATACGTTTCATCCTCAGAATAGGGAAGTTAGAGGAGACGATGAAGGTACTGCAGAAAGATTTGGACATCTTTAAGATGAAAGAAAAGATGACTTTGGAAGAGAATAATAACAATGTGGAGAGACTCAATCAGATCAGCATCAGCATGGAAGCCGCTGTCAAAGAGATAGAGGTTTGTGTTTGATATTATCACTCTTTTCCAAGAGCCACCTGGGTCAAATGCAATGCAGATAAAACATAAATAAATAATAAATTAAAATGGCAGATGAGTCAAGACAAGAGAATGACTGATTATGAATCCTGAAATCAAATAAACCATTTATGTCTTTTTTTTGGATTAAATAAAATGTAAAAATGTGTGTTTATTTCAGGGCATTAATAAAGAAGAGAGTTTGCTGGACAAAGAACAGAGTCAGTTTCCCATCTTAGAAACAATAATGGCCAAGAAACAGCCGTACGACCAGCTGTGGATCACGGGTCTGGATTTTCAAACCAAATCTGATGTGTGGATGACTGGTAAAAACACATGCTATCATATTTCCAGTTGGAATTATTATATCTGATTGGACAAACATTTTGTATAATAAAGAAAGACATCCATTAGTCCTGTCGATGATGTTAAAAACTGTTGTTTTTCCTGTTGTGTCTGGATCTCAAATATATATATATATATATTAAGCATCTAAATCAGTTTGGCATGTGACTATATCTTTATTGTTGTGTGAGTGTTTCATAAGTCTTCTGTATTTGCTCTCGAGGTCCATTCCGAAACGTGAACGCAGAAACGGTGTCAGAGGAGTTAGCAAACATGTGGCGCACCATGTATAAACTTGCAAAGACGTTCTCAGAGCGGACGGCTCCCAGACGTGTCACGGAGAACTTCAAGAAAAAGATTGACAATTTCAAACAACACCTGCCTCTTTTGACAGCTATCTGCAACCCAGGCCTGAAGGACAGACACTGGGAGATGGTATGACATTAGGATACATAACGCTTTACTTATTAGTGAAACTCACTCACAGGGAAAGTCATTTTTGACTTTGAATCATTTGATTGCTTTGAACAGGTCATGTATTTTTTTCTTCAAAAGTGCTGCGTTTAGCTAAATTCTGCTTTATGGCAATAGCTTCAATAGAAAAAATGTATTAACATATTGACATTTAAAGTATTTTGGATATGCATTAACATCTGAAATGCTATTTTTGGACTGTTTATTTACTATTATACTTGTATTTCATGGAGATGAAATGATGGAGATGTGTGATGGATGTGAATCATTTTTTTGGCTGATTTCAGATAAGTAATACAGTGGGATTTGATGTTAAACCAGACGAGGACACCCCACTCATCAAGATGGTGGAGCTCGGATTGTCGAAATATTCAGACCAGTAAGGCTCACCTTTTAAAATGATCTTTAGTGTGAAACCATGTTGCTTGATGCAATCGGAATTAGTCAGAATCACTCTTTTATGAGTCGTGTCTCTCTGTTTGTCTGCAGGCTGGAGGAAATTGGCGCTTCCGCCAGTAAAGAATACTCTCTGGAAAAGTCCCTGGAGAAAATGAAACGGGAGTGGACCGAGCTCCGCTTCGGGTTTTCCCCGTACAAGGACACGGTAAAACACACTTCATATGATGCACTTTAATGTGGCATAATGATCTATAATACATATTTATTATATTTTACTTAACCTGTTGTCATTAATATCTAATGTATGTTTGAATAAATCTGCCATGAAAACAAGATTTTATTTCAGCCAACGTTTAAATGACGAATTGAATTGACGAGTAGAAACTTTAGATTTTTTATTAAGAAGCTGATATAAAACTGCCTTAAGTGCATTTTAAAAGTTTTATAAACTGTTTTTATATCAGTGTTGATTACTGAATAGACCAAAATCTGATTCATTGACTGATTCAGTTTGAATTATTTGAATTATTAAATGTGGCTGAATCACTACTGATTAACTAAAATGATTATTATTATTTGACAAATATTTGGCTTGAATTTTAAACTACTGTTTATTTTAACAACATTATTTCCTCAACTTTATTCTCTGTCTTTCTGTGTTTGTGCTTGTGTTTGTGAAGGGCACAAGTGTTTTAGCGGCGGTCGATGATGTTCAGCTGCTGTTGGATGATCACATCATCAAGACTCAGACTATGAGAGGGTCTCCATTCATCAAACCCATCGAGGCCGATGCAAAGGTTCACAACTTGTTCACCTGCATAGAATTAGCATAAGCGTTTCTTGCCACAAAACAAGTTTCCATGACCGTTTATTGTGCCTTTAAGAAGTCTACATGTAAATAACCTGACTTCTGTGGAATGAAAAACGACAACTTTTCAATGAAGAAATTTCTGGGGAGGAAGTTAAGAGTTGTGCATGTTACAGTATGACTCTGTAAATACTATGATTTGAATAATGTAAATAATATGACCATGTAAAATAATAGTAAAACTCTCAACCCTTTAATGGTTTTCTCTCTCATTAGAGATGGGAGGAGAAGTTGCAGTGCATGCAGGATATATTGGATGCGATGTTGCAGTGTCAGAGCATGTGGATGTATCTAGAGCCCATCTTCAGCTCAGAGGACATCATCGCCCAGATGCCAGAGAATGGACGCAAGTTTGCCATCGTAGACAGTTATTGGAAAAACATTGTCGCTGAAGCGGTGTGTGTGATTGCATTTATTATTAACTGTATATGTACAGTGCATGCACCTACAGTATAATGACCAGCACCTATATCTGACAACCATCAGGTTTAATAATAGCAAATAAAGAGCACACAAACATGTCCATATCCAAATATGTAGTAAATGCTGTCATTCCAACAGCTCGCAAGGGTTTAATGAGAAAATAATTGAGCAGCAAATCAGCATATTAGAATGATTTCTGAAGGATCATGTGACAGTGCAGACTGGAGTAATGATGCTGAAAATTCAAATATATTCAAATAGAAAAAAAACCTTTTAAATGGTTATAATATTTCACAATATTGCTATTTTACTGTATTTTTGATTAAATAAATGGAGTCTTGGTGAACATAAAGAACTTGACATTATTGAGCATGCCATGTGCTTTATTTTTTAACAGTTAAAGGATACACATGTATTGGTGGCCACAGAGCAGCCTAACATGCTGGGTCGCCTTCAGGAGTCCAACACCTATCTGGAGGAAATACAGCACGGTCTGAACTCATACCTGGAAACAAAGAGACTCTTCTTCCCTCGGTGAGATTAAACTTTAAAGATGTTCTGAGTCACTATAAATAAGTCGCCTCTCTCATACTCTTTATTTCTCACTGTATAGGTTTTTCTTCTTATCTAATGATGAGATGTTGGAGATCTTGTCTGAGACGAAGGATCCAATGCGTGTTCAGCCTCATCTTAAGAAGTGTTTTGAGGGCATCGCTAAACTAGAATTCACCCCTGACCTGGAGATCACGGGAATGATCAGCTCAGAGAAAGAGATCGTCCCCTTTATAGAAACCATCTACCCTGCTAAAGCCAAGGTACAGGCAGAGAGAGAAATAAATCAGATTCTTATTTCTTTCTTTTGATTTTGGAGTAAAATATGAGCTTTTCATATACATTTATCATATTTATCATATTTCATTTATCATATTACATTTTATAATGCATATTTCATATACATTTATCATATTTATCATATTTTATCATATTTATCATATTTCATTAGATTTCCTCGCTTGCGCAAATGTGTAATATGTTTCCTGTGTATTTAAGGGAATGGTTGAGAAGTGGCTTCTGCAGGTTGAAAACACAATGCTGATGAGCATCAGAGACGTCATAAAGCAAGGAATGGAGCAGTACTCAGAGGTATAGACACACACAAAGACTTATAAACATGTAGAATATGATCATCAGCGCATCATGTGTGTTGGATTCTGCATGTTTCAGATGCCTAGAAAGAAGTGGGTGCTGCTGTGGCCCGGTCAGGTCGTGATCTGTGCGTCATGCATATTCTGGACCAGTGAAGTATCTGATGCTATACAGAACAACACACTTCCTGTGAGCACACAAACACTTTCAGATCAGATTTGATTTAGTGCTGCTGGACTTTTTTTTTTGGGTGAAATTTCTGTTATGCATGTGTTTCAGGCTTACGTTGAGCAGAGTAATGCTCAGATCGCTGATATAGTCGAGCTGGTTAGAGGGAAGTTGCCAGGTGGCGCCAGGATGACTCTGGGTGCTCTTATCGTCATTGATGTTCATGGTAAATGCCATTTTCATCATGGCCAGTTCAATGAACAGCATTTATTTGAAAATGAAATCTTTTGTAACTTTATAAATTTCTTTCCTGTCACTTTTGATCAACTTAATCTTTCCACAAAACTTTTTCCAACATTGGTAATAATCAGAAATGTTTCTTGAGCAGCAAATCATCATATTAGAATGATTTCTGAAGGATCATGTGACACTGAAGACTGGAGTAATGATGCTGAAAATTCAGCTTTGATCACAGGAATAAATTACATTTTAAAATATATTCACATTGAAAACCATTCTTTTAAATTGTAATACTACTGTTTTTTTACTGCAGCCTTGGTGAGCATAAGAGACTTCTTTCAAAAACGTAAAATTGTTTAATTACTCCAAACTTTTGAGTGCTCGAGTATTTGTTTGCAGTCTGCATCAAATGGTCCCATTGTATTCCGTAAGTGTAGTCTCTAATCAAATGTCTAATATAGTTCATGTCCTTTGCCCCTTTGTTCCATGCAGCACGTGATGTTGTGTGCAAGCTGGCTCAGGATGGCGTTTCATCCCTGAATGATTTCCAGTGGATTTCCCAGTTGCGGTATTTCTGGGAAGACGGGGAAGTCATGTTGAGAATGATCACCACTGTGATCAGATATGGATATGAATATCTCGGCAATTCACCGCGCCTGGTCATAACACCACTAACTGATCGATGCTACAGGTACACTCGCTAAAACATTTAGATAATATTTCATTTTATTCCTAGTGTTGAGCTCTTTAATGATCCGGGCGTAGTTGGGGAGTTTCGAGTCATGTTACGTCTGTTATGCTGATTGGTCCTCAGGACTCTGATGGGCGCTTTGAAGCTGAATCTGGGCGGAGCTCCAGAAGGTCCTGCGGGTACTGGAAAAACAGAGACGACTAAAGATCTGGCTAAAGCGCTCGCTAAACAGGTGCTCAAAAGGATTTTATGGTGTATATAAAGTAGGGCTGGGTAATAAGTATCGATTTCTCGATATTAATCGATTCTCATTTTTATGAACCGATATCGATTCTTAAATCTCAAGAATTGATTAGTCATCCTGTTTCATTTGAATGAATGGGACATTGTATCGCGGCTGCGCGCATCCAAAACATCGCAATAATCTTTGTCCTTTGTTACTATTGATATGAAACAAAGTCTCAATTTTCAAATTACGTCCATTTTCTTTAGAAATTCAAAAACACAAATAGTGTTTTGGCGCTGTGGCGTGAGATCGCTCTGGCGCAGCTCAAGAGAAGCAGCAGCGCTGATCTCTCTACCGCCTTAATAATACCAGTTACAGCGCGAAATAAACATGAATGAGCATCTGAAAGTGTGTTAAAAGTTAGAGTACAACTTATCGAAATCCGTATCATGTCACATTGATTCGCTCAATCAGCGTTTCAACCGAGGAAAGATGTCAGTTGAACAGCTTGTGTCATGTATCGTCATATTTACCTCAGGAAACCCACATAAACTCGTTAGTCAGCTTGAAAAAAATAACTCTAGAGAGGAGCATTTTGCTAAATATATACACCATATTATATGCATTATAATCTTAATGTTCTTCAATATTTAATGCATATTTGAATAAATCTGGTAAGTTTTTATGACAGCCACCATTTAAATGTTTATATTTCATATAATCTTCTTATTATAAAAATAAATAAAAGTGTAATTTAAGTGTTTAGCTACAAAACAGTTCATTATTACCTTCATATTAGGCTAATGAAGTCTATAGGCTACAACTAGACTCCCTTAGTTTACAGCATTAGTTAAGAGATTTGATTTCCTTGAGAAAATTTGCCATTTATTGTAACTGATATCCAAAATAATCAATATTGAATCGAATCTAAATCGAATCGAATTGCCAGCTTGTGAATCGAAATCGAATCGAATTGTGAAATTTGTGTCAATACCCAGCCCTAATATAAAGCTACTACTTCAGTTTCTGATTACTATTGTTAATGTTATTGTATGTAAGTGACAAACATGTAAACGTGTGTTTAGTGTGTGGTGTTCAACTGTTCTGATGGTCTGGACTACAAAGCGATGAGCAAGTTTTTCAAGGGTCTGGCACAGTCTGGAGCGTGGGCATGTTTCGACGAGTTCAACCGAATAGAGGTCAGTACTGCAGAATTAAACGCCATTGCTTCACCACAGATTATCAAAAGAGTGATCCTCAACACATAAAATTACACACACAATACCTATGTGTTTTTCAGGTGGAGGTGTTGTCTGTGGTCGCTCAGCAGATTTTGAGTATTCAGCAGGCTATAATGCGAGACATGAAGACATTTATGTTTGAAGGAACCGAGCTCTCTCTCAACCCAACCTGCTGTGTGTTTATCACCATGAACCCAGGATACGCAGGCAGAGCTGAACTACCCGATAACCTGAAAGTAACCGAAAACAAACACGCTCATATTTACATTTTATTTGTAGCACTTTGAGATAAACAAGAGCTTTAATTTCGATTAAAAAATGGGCCACGTCATTATTTGTATGTTTGTAGGCTTTGTTCCGCACAGTTGCAATGATGGTTCCGGATTATGGACTGATTGGAGAGATATCACTTTATTCAATGGGATTCACAGCTTCCCGGAGGTACAATCAGGTCCTATCAGACTTTTTTTAGTTCTATTATTTAAAGCTCCAGTTGTTTTACTTCCTGGTTTTGTGTTTTCCAGTCTGGCTCAGAAGATTGTGGCGACGTATCGCTTGTGCTCGGAGCAGCTCTCGTCTCAAGCGCACTACGATTACGGGATGCGTGCAGTGAAATCAGTCCTGACTGCAGCGGGAAACCTGAAACTCAAATACCCAGAGGAAGACGAGAGCGTTTTGCTGCTAAGGGCTCTCATGGATGTCAACATGGCCAAATTCCTCGCGCAGGATTTACCACTGTTTCAGGTGTGTGAATGTAAATCGCACATTCATTTTGAATGAGTTTGCGTGTGGTTAATGATGGTGTGTTTGTGTGTGTTTTAGGGAATCATCACTGATTTGTTTCCTGGAGTGGTTCTGCCCAAACCAGATTATGATTTACTGTTAAAAGCTTTGAACGACAACATCGCCAGGATGAAACTGCAGCCTGTACCGTGGTTCATCAGCAAAATTATACAAGTACAAAATCTGATCATTCAATGAACATTTATCAGTCACGTCTTCAAATTCTGCCTTAAGATTCAAACATTTAGAAAGTGGGTTATATATGAGCATTGATCCAGCTAAACATGTATTTTAAATGCAAAACCTTTTTAAAATAATTTTAACTCAACTTTTTTTGGGTGATCCTGTTTGAATTTGTAGCAAAAAGAATAAGTGTATAATTGTGTGTGCAGGTGTATGAGATGATGCTGGTCAGGCACGGCTTCATGATTGTTGGCGAGCCAATGGGTGGAAAAACGTCAGCTTATAAAGTCTTGGCTGGAGCTTTGGGAGACCTTTATAAGGGTAATCAGGCCATAATAAGTGTTTGTTTTTATCAACCTCTTGTGTACTACCTTTCAGATGTTTGGAATATTAATATTTTTTTTTAATGTTTTTAAAAATAAGTCTCTTCTGCACACCAAGGCTGCATTTATTTGTTCAAAAATGCAGTAAAAACAGTAATATTGTGAAATATTATTAAAATTTAAAATAACCGTTTTCTGTTTGAATATATTCCTGTAATTCAAAGCTGAATTTTCAGCATCTTTACGGCAGACATGATCACATGATCCTTAGAAATCATTTTAATATACTGATTTGCTGCTCAATTATTATTAGTGCAAAATTATTAATAATGGATATTTTTATTATCATTATTGAAAACAGGTGTTGTTGCTTAATATTTAGTGAAAAGCGTGATAAAACTAATTTAGGATTCTTTGATGCATAGTTCAAAAGAACAGCATTTATTTGTAATAAAAATCTTTTTAGCATCATAAATGGGTTTAAATATGTGATTGCATCCTTTTTTCTTACTGTATATTTGATCATATAAATGTAGCCTTGCTTAGCATAAGAGACTCAAAAACTAAAAATATCTTATTCATCTACATCTGCATATAAACATAAATCAATAACCATTTGTCGAAATGATGTGGAGTCATAACCAAGCATGTAATCATGTTGTGTTGTTCGTCTATATAGAAGGGCTGATGGAAGAGTTTGCGGTAGATTTCCGCATCATTAACCCGAAGGCGATCACTATGGGGCAGCTATATGGCTGTTTTGATCCAGTGAGTCACGAGTGGTCAGACGGCGTTTTGGCCACCTCGTTCAGACAACAGGCCCAGTGCACCACAGACGACCGTCAGTGGATCGTTTTCGACGGGCCTATTGATGCGGTCTGGATTGAGAACATGAACACCGTTTTGGATGATAACAAGAAGGTACATTTACATTTTTACTGTTGCAGAAAACATATCTGAAGGGGTTCAGGTTCAGTGCTGGTGTCTGATGTGTTTTGCTGTTGAACAGCTTTGTCTGATGAGTGGTGAGATCATTCAGATGAGCTCTAAAATGAGTCTGATCTTTGAGCCCGCGGATCTGGAGCAGGCGTCACCGGCTACTGTGAGCAGGTAAACAAAAAACACTGTTACGCTGATTCAACATACAATACTCATATGGAAGTATGAAAGTATTTGAACAGTTTGTTTTCAACATTTTAAGCAGCATATTAGCATATTCAAATGATTTCTGAAGGACCATGTGACACTGAAGTCTAAAGTAATGATGCTGAAAATTCAGCTTTTAATCACAGGAATAAATTACATTATTTTACATTATATTCAAACAAATTTGAAAAAAAAAAATATTTCACAATATTACAGATTTTATTGTATTGTAGATCAAATAAATGCAGCTTTGGTGAGCAGAAGAGACTTTTTCAAAAACATTTCAAAAGCGTGCTAACCCCAAACATTTGAATGGTGTTTTATGTCTGAATATTTCGCAATAAATCTCATAAACTGTACACTTAACATTTTGTATAATTATAGAATGTAATTGCATAATTTTATAAAATAACATTTAACGTCCCCTTGGAATTATAAGGTTCTATCTGCGTTCCGAACAGTTTTAAGATATAGAACTTTCAAATTTTTTGCATTCCATATAGGAAAATGTGTATGGGGAACAAGTTTCTTTTAAACATAAAAATAACAGGGACCCTAAATGTACAAAACACATCACATAATGTTAATAAATTGTCACAGAATAAGAATATGTGAATAACTCAATTTTGACAAAAATGTCAGATAGAACCTTATAATTCCAATGGGACGATAATTATAATCTCATATAGAGTGGTTAACAAAAATACTTTTTAATTATTTATTGTTAATGTCAATACATTTATAATTCAGATTCTCGTGATTACCATATTTTGTGAATATGTAAGCTTGCACCAGACTTTATTATCATATGGGTGCATAAAATGTACTTTTACACCTGAGTTGTTTTGCTCGAACACGTTTGATGGCTTTTAAAGAGTGTATGTGTTGTGTTTAGGTGCGGAATGATCTATATGGAGCCGCATCAGTTGGGCTGGACTCCTCTGAGAGACTCCTACATGAACACATTACCTGAGAGCCTGGAGGATGAACACAGAACACTGGTGAGGAAGACACTCATGCACATGATATAATGTATGCTTTTAAACATTTCTGAATCCCATTGTGTGTGTTTTGTTGAAGATCACTGAACTCTTTGACTGGCTGGTTCAGCCTTGTTTGGACTTTATATACCACGAGTGTGGATTCTTAGTCCAGACGTCACCCATTCACCTGGCCTATAGCCTGATGCGCCTGTATACCTGCCTACTGGGTACTTACACACAACAATATGTACATTATACATATGTTTTAATCTTATAAAGCTTTTTCAATCTGATTGTTCATGTCACTTTTGATTTGAGGAGGATGTTTGTTTGTGCAGACGAGATTTTTCAGTCAGGAAAGGAAGGAGCAGAATCGATGACGAGTCAGCAGGTGACGCTGTGGCTGCAGGCTCTGTTCCTCTTCGCTGTGGTGTGGAGTCTGGGAGGAACCATCAACGGCAACAGCAGGATAAAGTTTGACACCTTCTACCGACAACTTGTCATGGGCACAATCACAGATCACCCGCGACCCCAGAGTGTGAAACTCAACAAAAGCAATGTTTTCCCAGAGAGAGGTCCACATGATGTTTTTGGTTGACTATTTAATTACACGGTTCCTGCAGTCATGGAAACCCCAGAAATATAACACAGTTGTGATTGAATATAAATACGATGAGAAGATATTTTCATGTTTGAAGGCATATATTTTCTTGTATGAAAACAAAAGTCAAATAGAGAGCTGAGATTGATGCGAATAACATTATTAATATGTTGACACAAATCAAGAGTCATATACAGTAATTTTATTAATCGTCAGCTGTCTGTATGTTCTGTTCTCCACACAGGCACCGTCTATGATTATTATTTCCATAAGCAGGGCCCTGGTCAGTGGAACAACTGGACAGAATCCATCTCTAAAGAGGACAGAGTCATACCTGCAAGCGCAAAAGTTAGTACATGCAAATCAGGGTTATTATAGTTAACCATCTAAAGCCATGAAAAATATGTTGATTAAAATAAAGGAAACGTTAACTAAAATGAGTAATATATTTATATTTTTTATTTCAGCTAGTTGCCCAAGCAACATTACTAATTTTTATTAAGTCATTCAACTTGATGTACTAACATAACTAAAATCTGTATATCTGCGTATTTATCTAATAAAAATGACAAAAAATGTCTTCAAAAACTCATTCAAAAAAATTATAAAAACTAAAATAGTATCTTAGTGATACTAAAATAACATTGATGCAAATATACACAATTATAATCACTTTTGTAAATTTGTTGCAAAAAAATCCCTTAGTCAAAAAACAGATTTAAATTGAGTTTTCAAAATAAACACAAAAAAAATTATTTAAAAAAAGCAATAAAATATAGAGGTAACACTTTGAAATAAGGTCTCATTTATTAACATTAGTTACTGCATTAACTAACATGAGCTAACAATGAGCAATATATTTTTTATAGCATTTATAAACCATTGTTTTTGTTAGTTAATTAAAATGTTCATATTCATTCGTGCGTGAATGATGTTAACGGATACAACTTTTTATCTTAATGCATTAGTAAATGTTGAGATTAACGTTATCTAGGATTAATAAATGCTGTAGAGGTGTTGTTCATTGTTTGTCCATGTTAACACATGAAACCTAATAGGAAAGTCTGAAAATTAATTCTAAATAAATTCTTAAAGTAAGCCTGCAGAGGACATTAGTGATGGCCTAGATCTCGAATGAATCGAAGGGAAAAATTGTCTCTGTCTCTCTCTCTCTCAGGTGTCTGATCTTATCATACCCACGGCAGAAACGTCACGGCAGCTCTTCTTCCTCAGGACGTACCTGTCACATGAAGTGCCCGTGCTGATTGTGGGACCCACAGGAACCGGCAAGTCTGTGATCAACAACAACTTCCTGATGTCGCTCCCGAAGGAGCGCTACACTCCCATCTGCATCAACTTCTCCGCCCGCACCTCTGCCAACCAAACCCAGGACATCATCATGTCCAAACTGGACCGTCGCCGCAAGGGCGTGTTTGGCCCGCCGATGGGGAAGAAGTGCATTATCTATGTTGGTAAGGACTAGATCTGGTACAAACACTGATTGTCTAAGCTAAGACATTACTGTGACCAATGCTGTAAATATAAAAGTTTCACAAGTTTTATATTGCAAAATAGTGGTTTTAGTTTGTGCTTCATTGATTGATCTCTAGAGAATCAAATGAATGCACTGATAAAGAAATAATTACATAAACAAAGATACCAAAAGGTATGGATGCAATTACATGAGAAAAGTAGTCACACTATATGATTGTATTGGCACAGCTCTCTGTATTAGTGTAAACATTTCTGTTCTTTTTACATAAAAAGAGCTGTAAAACAATTCTAATTAAACTACAGCGTGCCACATATTATGTTCTTAGACAATGGCCCGTTTTCACAGACATGGCTTAGATTAAGCCAGTTTTAGGCCTTAGTTCAGTTAGGACATTTAAGTTGCTCTTTTGCCTTAGAAAAAACTTTAGTGGTGTGGATTTTGCGTTAAAACAATAGCACTGACATTTTAAGATGTCAGATCAAGTTGCTTTCGGTAAAAACAGCTCAAACATGCATTTTAGTCTGTGACTAGGTTTTAACCTTGTATGTGAAACTTGGGGAATATGTAATAAATAAACACAATAAATATTCTGCTACTTCCTTTTAATTTTGTGACCTAGCAGAGATTAAAACTCCCTTTGCTATTGTAAAACTTCCTGTAGATGATCTGAACATGCCTGCAAAAGAGATATACGGTGCTCAGCCGCCCATTGAATTGCTGCGGCAGTGGATCGATCATCATCATTGGTATGATAAAAAAGACACATCCAGATTGGACATTGAGGATGTGCTGTATATGTCTGCTATGGGGCCCCCTGGTGGAGGGAGAAATGACATTACAGGTACATTTCTGATCCTAAAAATGCTTAGAACAATATTAGCCTTAGTCAGTTTCTTATTTGTCACTGTTTTGTGTCGTCTTCCCTCACAGGGCGACTGACACGTCACCTAAACATTATATCAATCGACACATTTGATGATGAGACTCTAGGTAACATCTTCACATCCATCACCGACTGGCACTTCAGCAAAGGGTTTGATGCATCTTTCTACAGGTGTGTGTTGATGTAAAGTGGCCCCCCAAAAAAGTATTTTTACTTAAAAATGTCTCTATGTGATTGCATTATACATAAAAAGATCAAACCAATATTTTAGTGCCATATATTTAGAATACAAACAGCACAAGCACACTTACAAGCAAACATTTGAAGTTTGGTTTAAGATTCTAGATTGTTTTTGTAACCACTGTTTGATAAAAGAAAAGAGATTAAATATTTCTGGGTATGTGTGTTTGTTGTAGGTTGGGTAAAATCATGGTTCAAGCTACTATGGCTGTGTACAAGGATGCAATCAAGAGTTTCCTCCCAACACCGTCCAAATCTCATTACATTTTTAACCTGCGTGATTTTGCGAGGGTGATTAGGGGCGTAATGCTCTGTCCATCAACACACATGCAGGTAAATGCACACATGTGTATTTCTGTGTAAAGGCTACTCTAATTAGTTTACAGAATCTGAGTTTTGTGCTTCTTTTTTTCACCAGGAAGGAGATAAGCTGATCCGGTTGTGGATCCATGAGATCTATCGTGTGTTTTATGACCGACTGGTTGATAATGAAGATAGAGAGAAATTTTTTAAAATTGTTAAAGAGAGGACATTAGCATATTTCAAACAAACCATTGACAAGGTAATAGATACACAGTCGTATTTTGCCTCCCACAACATCAAATGATTTTAAATAAATAAATGATAATTTTATCTAATTATACACATTTTTTAAAGACAATTCAATTTAAACCACAAAATAATTTATTATTAATAATAAAACATACTTGAATAAGTAATATATTTTCACTCTATTACAAGGAAAGCTGGTCAATTATTTTAAATAAAATATCTGGTTATCTAGTATTTTTTTGTATTACACTTTGGATGATTTTCTGAAAAAGTTTCTTTTCACCCGTTCAGCTTCTCTGTCATCTCACTCTGTCTGGTAATGTCGAAGATGACAGCATTCGCAGCCTGTTTTTTGGTGACTACGCCAAACCAGACTCTGCTAGTAAACCTTATGATGAGATCACCGATCTAAGCTCATTAACTGAAGTGATGGATTTCTACCTCAGGGAGTACAATAACATCAGCAAAGCACCCATGAACCTTGTGATGTTTCGCTTCGCCATCGAACACATCTCCCGAATCTGCCGTGTGCTGAAACAAGACAACGGCCACCTGCTGCTGGTGGGCATCGGCGGATCAGGGCGGCAGAGCACCACCAAACTTGCCACCTTTATCAATGACTACGAGCTGTTTCAGATCGAACTGACCAAGAGCTACAGCATGTCGGACTGGCGCGACAATCTAAAGCACTTGATGCTTAAAGCAGGGATACAGGGGAAAAAAACAACATTTCTCTTTAGCGACAACCAGATCAAGGATGAAGCCTTCGTCGAGGACATCAACATGCTGCTGAACACAGGAGACGTGCCAAACATCTTCCCAGCGGACGAGCGTGCGGAGATCATCGAAAAAATGCAGGGAATTGCCCAATTGGAAGGGAAGAAGATTGACGTCACACCACTCTCCATGTACAACTTCTTTATCGACAAAGTTAAAGCCAATCTTCATATAGTTCTCGGTACTGTTTATATCATATCATATTATATATATTTTTTATTATTTTATTTAACCAGGACAGAAACAAAAGAAGTTATTAAAAACAGCATACACATTTATTGTTTGTTTATTTAATAAATATATTTATATATATATAATTTATGTAATTTTATATAATAATAGTATATAATATACTGCATATAGTTAATTTTATTTGTAAACTGTACGCATGTATGTCCCAATAGCAATGAGCCCAATAGGTGAAGGCTTCCGCAATCGTCTCAGGATGTTCCCATCTCTGATCAACTGCTGCACCATAGACTGGTTTCAGGCCTGGCCCAAAGATGCTCTGGAAATGGTTGCCAACAAGTTCCTTGAGGATCTGGACCTGGAAGACAACATCAGGACAGAGTGCGGTCATAAGCCAGATTTTATTACCTTTAACAGATAATAGTATAGACCATTTTGCTAGATGTAAACAAAACTGGTCCAGAAGCACTTCCTGTTTCAGATTTTTAACACTACATAAAAGCTGGGATAAAATACAACCAACAGAACATATACAACTGAATCAAAAAGTTAAACAAACATCTTTAAGATTTTTTATTTACATGTGAAATAAAGAAAACAGTTACAAACTGAAACAGGAAGTGTTTCTGGACCAGTGTTGTTTACATCTTGCAAAATGGTCTATTCAAATATAAAGGCTCACATTGTCTGCATTATTCTCAGGGTGGTGGAAATGTGTAAAACGTTCCAGGAGAGTGTGCGAGAGATGTCTGAGCGCTATTACTCCCAGCTGCGCAGACATAATTACGTCACTCCTACTTCCTACCTGGAGCTCATCCTGACTTATAAAGCCTTGCTCAGTTCCAAACGCAACGAGGTGAACGAGCTCAAGAATCGCTACATAGTCGGCTTGCAGAAACTTGACTTTGCTGCTTCTCAGGTGAGACAGAAAATGTGGATGCTTTACCTGTCACGTCATAATACTCTCTGTACATTTCATTATGTTCATCTGTTCTTCTATTTGATGTAATGTTATTTAAATAGTAAATATTTGATTTCCAATATATTATAAAAGAAATTAAAAATGTAAAATAGAACTATTTTCACAGGTGGTCTCAGATAAATAATGTAGATTTCAGTATATATATATTTTAAATGAGAGGCCATTTTTTGATAATGTACATACAGTAAAACCTCAAATAATAGATCTTATGTAGCCCCGCCCCTTTTTAGCGTTGCGCTCGTTGTCTTTTGACTTCTGGTCTGTATTTTCACAGCGATCTTGCATAGGTACTGTATGAATGAACTGCTCGTAAAAAAATTCCCGGTAGACATTTGTTAAGACATCTGCTTTATGATAAACATTACAATGCTCATGATAACTTTTGTTAACTCTACAATAAGTAAATCCACTTCCAGCTAATTACTCCTCGACAGCGATGCCATAGAAATATACAGAGCGACCGCAAAAACGGAAGTTCAAAGACAATATTCTAAAGATGACGGCGCCCACGTTTCTCTGGTGCATAAGGTCTATAGCCCGGGCTTTTGTTCTCCCAAATAGTCGAACTGCACCGGCTTGTATTTGAGACAGGCGTCTACACTCACCGGCCACTTTATTAGGTACCCCATGCTAGTAACGGGTTGGACCCCCTTTTGCCTTCAGAACTGCCGCAATTCTTCGTGGCATAGATTCAACAAGGTGCTGGAAGCATTCCTCAGGGAGTTTGGTCCATATTGACATGATGGCATCACACAGTTGCCGCAGATTTGTCGGCTGCACATCCATGATGCGAATCTCCCGTTCCACCACATCCCAAAGATGCTCTATTGGATTGAGATCTGGTGACTGTGGAGGCCATTTGAGTACAGCGAACTCATTGTCATGTTCAAGAAACCAGTCTGAGATGATTCCAGCTTTATGACATGGCGCATTATCCTGCTGAAAGTAGCCATCAGAAGTTGGGTACATTGTGGTCATAAAGGGATGGACATGGTCAGCAACAATACTCAGGTAGGCTGTGGCGTTGCAACGATGCTCAATTGGTACCAAGGGGCCCAAAGAGTGGCAAGAAAATATTCCCCACACCATGACACCACCACCACCAGCCTGAACCGTTGATACAAGGCAGGATGGATTCATGCTTTCATGTTGTAGACGCCAAATTCTGACCCTACCATCCGAATGTCGCAGCAGAAATCGAGACTCATCAGACCAGGCAACGTTTTTCCAATCTTCTATTGTCCAATTTCGATGAGCTTGTGCAAATTGTAGCCTCAGTTTCCTGTTCTTAGCTGAAAGGAGTGGCACCCGGTGTGGTCTTCTGCTGCTGTAGCCCATCTGCCTCAAAGTTCGACGTACTGTGCGTTCAGAGATGCTCTTCTGCCCACCTTGGTTGTAACGGGTGGTTATTTGAGTCACTATTGCCCTTCTATCAGCTCGAACCAGTCTGGCCATTCTCCTCTGACCTCTGGCATCAACAAGGCATTTCCGCCCACAGAACTGCCACTCACTGGATGTTTTTTCTTTTTCGGACCATTCTCTGTAAACCCTAGAGATGGTTGTGCGTGAAAATCCCAGTAGATTAGCAGTTTCTGAAATACTCAGACCAGCCCTTCTGGCACCAACAATCATGCCACGTTCAAAGTCACTCAAATCACCTTTCTTCCCCATACTGATGCTCGGTTTGAACTGCAGGAGATTGTCTTGACCATGTCTACATGCCTAAATGCACTGAGTTGCCGCCATGTGATTGGCTGCTTAGAAATTAAGTGTTAACGAGCAGTTGGACAGGTGTACCTAATTAAGTGGCCGGTGAGTGTATATGAGACAGTCAGCAGTCTCTACTCTACATCACTCACCGATCAAAAAAGGCTTTGGCGGGACAAAAATTTGCTTTGGCGGCCACCAAAAAGCGGACGATCTAACAGGTTTTATTAGATTAAATACAAACCGAAACTAAAAACAGACCCGGCCTCTATTTGAGACCGGCCTTTATTTACCCAAACCTGCAGCCACACCAGGCGTGTAAAAGAGACAGATATCTTTTTGTGACTTTGGCTATTATTTGAAGTCTTACGGTAGTTATTAGTCATGGATATATTGATGTTGACAGTGTTGTGTATGTGATGTGCAGGTAGCAGTCATGCAGCAGGAGCTCACAGCTCTACAGCCGGAACTAATCGAGACAGCAAAGCAGACTGATCAGATGATGGTGAAGATAGAAAAAGAGACCGTTGAGGTGGATGCTAAGAAGAAGCTTGTCAGTGCCGATGAGAAAGTCGCCAATGATGCAGCAGCTGCTGCTAAAGCGATTAAGGTAACGGATGGGGAAAATGGAGAATTTATATCTAAGGCTCACAAAAATAATCCATGTATCTCAATGCAAACCAAATTTCAAATCATTTTCATGTATTAGAAATCTATTAGAATTCTAATGTATTATAATAACACAATGCAAGTACAATACAGTATTATTCCAGGAACCTTTGTCATTGAGTTGTCAAACAGTTCAATGAATAATTTCATTGAACTGTCATCATGTTTTAGCTAGTTTTAGCTATCTATTGTCAAAAATAAATTATATATATATATATATATATATATATATAATATTTAAACTTGATGTGATTTGACTGGAGTGCCAAATTGCAAAGCTTGTGCTTTTACATACTTTTTTAGAGTATGCTCAAAGCTTTAGATTCACAAGTGAAAAAATCAATACAGATTTTCTCGTGTTGCTGATTTTTCCTTATCCACTTGATAAGTTTAATTAGAAAGTGCATAAAAAATAAAAATGGCTGGTATGGTTTTGGTGGACTAGATGCACTGCTTCAATTGAGGGGACTGGGAAAGTGGTTAGCAATTTGAGCATAGGACGCAGTGGTTTGTGATATGAAGTAGACACTTTGCTAAAGCTATGTTTGAGATGTTCAAATCAATTAATTTATTGTCTGATAGGATGAGTGTGAGGGGGATCTTGCAGAGGCGATGCCAGCGCTGGAAGCGGCTCTTTCTGCTCTGGACACACTGAAGCCGGCTGACATTACCGTCCTGAAGACGATGCAGAATCCCCCTGGTCCCGTCAAACTCGTCATGGAATCCATCTGTGTCATGAAGGGAATCAAACCAGAGAGGAAACAAGACCCTGGTGGATCAGGTATGAGAATGATTTGTCTGTCCTGAACACTGCATTGGTTGATGGTCACATCAAACCAGCTAAGATCACCATTAGCTATTATGTTATCTTTTTTATGTGCTTTATCTACACAGGTAAGATGATTGAAGACTTCTGGGGGCCATCTAAGAAGCTTCTAAGTGATATGAAGTTCCTTGAGAGCCTCAAAACATTCAACAAGGACAACATACCTGCCGCTAACATCAAGAAAATCAGAGAAAAGTTTATAGACCACCCAGATTTTCTGCCCTCAACAATCAAAAGCGTGTCGTCTGCCTGCGAGGGCCTTTGCAAATGGGTGCGTGCCATGGAAGTGTACGAGCGTGTGGCGAAGGTCGTTGCCCCCAAGAAAGAGAAATTAAAAGGAGCAGAAGGCGAGCTAGCTGTGCAGATGAAGATGTTAACCATAAAACGTGCCGAGCTGAAGGAGGTGGAGGATCGTCTGCAGGCATTAAGTGACACGTTCGAAGGGATGATACAGAAGAAAAAAGACCTTGAAGCAAACATCGAGCTCTGTTCCCAGAAGCTAATACGAGCTGAAAAGCTAATCGGTGGCCTGGGAGGAGAAAAAGACAGGTGGACAGAGGCTGCGCGGCTCCTGGGTATCAAATACACCAACTTGACCGGCGACGTGCTTTTGTCCTCGGCGACAGTGTCGTATCTCGGAGCATTCACCGTCGATTATCGCGTGGAGTGTCAGCGGAAATGGCACCAGCTGTGCAGTGAGAAGAACGTGCCGTGTTCAAAGGACTTCACGCTTAGCAACACTCTCGGAAACCAGGTGTTGATCCGTTCCTGGCAGATCTCTGGATTACCCGTGGACTCGTTTTCCACCGACAACGGAATCATCGTCTCGAACTCTCGCCGTTGGCCACTCATGATCGACCCTCAGGGCCAAGCCAACAAGTGGATCAAAAACATGAACAAGGCCAACAAACTCTCTGTCATCAAGCTCTCGGATAGCAACTACATCCGTACCCTCGAGAACGCCATTCAGTTTGGCACACCAGTCCTCCTGGAGAATGTCGGCGAGGAGCTGGACGCAGTTTTAGAGCCGGTTCTCCTGAAACAGACCTTTAAGCAGCAGGGCGTTGAATATATGAAGCTGGGCGAGAACACCGTGGAATATTCCATCGACTTCCGGTTCTACATAACAACAGGGTTGAGGAATCCACATTACTTGCCCGAGGTGGCGGTCAAAGTGTGTCTGTTGAACTTCATGATCACACCGTTGGGTCTCGAAGATCAGCTACTGGGGATCGTCGCCGCCAAAGAGAAACCAGAACTCGAGGAGAAGAAAAATCAGCTGATTCTGGAAAGTGCAGCCAGTAATAAACAGCTAAAGGAGATTGAGAACAAAATCCTGGAGGTTCTGTCTTCTTCTGAAGGGAACATTCTGGAGGACGAGGCTGCCATTAAGGTTCTCTCATCATCTAAGGTGCTTTCCGAAGAGATATCCGAGAAGCAGAAGATCGCGATCGTGACCGAAAATGAGATCGACAAAACGCGAATGGGTTACCGTCCGGTTGCAGAGTACTCGTCCATTCTGTTCTTCTGCATCTCGGATTTGGCGAACATCGATCCCATGTACCAATACTCTCTCACGTGGTTCATCAACCTGTACCTGCACTCCATTGCTCACAGCACAGCTAGCGATGACCTACAGACCCGCATAGCCAACATCCTAGATCACTTCACCATGCGCGTTTACTATAACGTGTGCCGCTCTCTGTTCGAGAAGGACAAGCTGCTGTTCTCCTTGCTTTTGACCGTTGGCATCATGCAGGGAAAAGGTCAGGTCGACGACATCGCCTGGCGCTTCCTTCTCACAGGAGGCGTTGCTCTGGAAAACCCGTTCCCCAACCCAGCCCCGGAGTGGCTTTCAGACAAATCATGGTCCGAAATAGTCCGTGCTTCCCAACTTCCCCGTCTCAAAGGATTGTTTGAGCATGTGCAGGAGAACATTGTGCAGTGGAAGCAGATTTACGATTCTGGTCATCCACAGGATGAGGAGTTACCTGGGAAGTGGGGCGAGGTAGCGGGCATGGAGCGCATGGTGGTGCTGCGCTGCTTCAGACCGGACAAACTTGTGCTGGCGGTACAGAAGTTCATTGTGGACAATATGGGCCGGGCCTTCATCGAGCCACCGACCTTCAACCTGGCGGAAAGCTACGGTGATTCCAACTGCTGTTCGCCACTCATCTTTGTCCTCTCTCCAGGAACAGACCCTACAGCAGGTAAAATTAAATAGAAATAAAGTTTCTTTTCTGTGCTTTTTTTATAATATATTATTGTTCCTTCTGATACAACATTTAGTCGTGTTGTTTTGAAATTTGCAAACAGGTTTCATTAATATTTTGAATCATCATCAAGTTTTTTAGTATTTTTTTTGTTTGTCATTTTTATATATATTTTTAAAAATAATTTAATTATATTTTATTTCAATTTTAGTACTTCAAATTAAATTTATATTTTATTAATGTTAATGTTTATATTTATTTCAATACACTTTAAATACAGTACATTTTGAAGTTTAAATTTATTGTAAATCAAATGTATGTTGTATTCGATGTAAAATATATACTTCACCAAATAATTTTTGTATGATACTCAACTGATGTAAAATTTGGGCAATCTGTAATATTATTAAAATCTGTATATCTGTAAAATCTGTAAAATCTGCAATCTGTATATATTAAGAAATAAAATCACGATATATGATTGTTTCAGCCCAGATTTAAACATTTACAGTTAAATGATGTTATTTCCCACTTTGTCATACTCAGGACTGCTGAAGTTTGCAGATGACTTGGGCATGGGCGGCAGTAAGACCCAGACTATTTCTCTCGGTCAAGGTCAAGGTCCAGTAGCTGAGCAGCTGATCAAGGTAGCGCTGACCAATGGCAACTGGGTCGTTCTGCAGAACTGTCATCTCGCAACCAGCTGGATGCCAGCCTTGGAGAAGATTTGTGAGGAGGTCATCACACCTGAAAACACACACACCAGCTTCAGGTAAAAATTGTGCTGTTTCAAAATAAAGAAAATCACACACAATTTCAACATGAAGTTAAATGCAAAGGACATGTTTATCTCAAAATCAAAATATATTTTTTAAAAAATAATATTTTTCATAGGGAAATAGGCTTTTTTTGTGACAATTAAATACCTTTCCCTCCAAATTCTCATTACAGTAATACAATTATGCAAATCATCCTACAAATTAATTAAAAATTAGCTTAAAATAGATACTGCCATTATGTATACCTACTAATTAAATAATATTTAATTATTGTAAATAAAATGTATCATTATGAATGTTTGCATTACAGTAATTACAATGAGATTAAAGTACTAGAGTAAATACTTTTCTGTGGTAATCAAGATTTATGCAAATATAATTTTTTTCCCAATTACTTGGCTAATATCCTAACCTCAAACTCTTTATGTTTTAGGTTGTGGTTGACCAGTCAACCATCTGATAAGTTTCCAGTGAGTGTTTTGCAGAATGGGGTGAAGATGACGAATGAGCCTCCCAAAGGACTGAGGGCAAACATACTGCGTTCTTACCTCAGCAATCCCATCTCAGACCCCGCCTTCTTCAACAGCTCCGCTAAGCAGGAAATCTGGCAGAAGCTGCTGTTCGGCCTGTGCTTCTTCCACGCTCTGGTACAGGAGAGGAGAACGTTCGGCCCACTCGGTCAGATATACATCTAGCTTTCCTGTCTGTAATCCTTCATTTAATTCAGCCTCCGTCTTTAGAGAACAAGCTGCTGTGATGCTGTCATCAATCTACCTGATCTGATCTTTTCTACATGCATTATACTGTACAGCCACAATCAAAAGGCAGTTTTATAGGCTATAAGTTCATAGATTGAATCATTCCCCTTAAAAAATGATCAACACTATTATAAAAGCAAGCTCATTTAATATAACTCCCTTCTATTTATCTATTACTAATGATCTTTTTATTTTATATTTTATATATTTATTTAACCAGAAAAGCTCTCTGAGATTAAAAATCTCCTTTACAGGAGTGTCCTGGCCAAAAATGTGCAGCAGTACAATCGGTTCCATTACAAATAAACAGATACAAAACAGTTAAAAAAAAAGTAGTTTAAAAGCAGTTACATAATGTTTGACCAGCTTCCATTCGCTGGATAACTGATTTAAAACGGTCTAGAGTCAACAAATTTTCTAATTTTAATTTAGTTTGGAGGGCATTCCAATCAAACGGCGCTGCATACATAAAAGACTTCTTACCTAACTCAGTTCGCACAAAAGGGACAGAGAGAGTATATTATTATCTGCATATTATTAGGAAGAAAGCATGCACATAGAAGGAAATGAAAACTGTTGCTGCAAAAAACATAATAAGCTCACCCAAACAAAGCTACATGCTTTTGGTGAGCTCATTAAATGTTTTTGGGAGCCACAGTGAGGTCATTCACATCTTCTATAGGGGGTTTTATTGTGACATTAAAAGTGAGTTCAGTCTCCTCTCTTCATCTTTCTCTGCAGGTTGGAATATTCCATACGAGTTCAATGAGTCTGACATGAGAATCAGCATTCGTCAGATCCAGATGTTCCTGGACGAGTATGAAGAGGTTCCGCTGGAGGCCCTCACGTATCTGACAGGTGATTAAGCAACCGCCCTGAAAATCACAGTAAACACATAGCAGTGTGTCAAGAACCCCTTAGTAATCACATAGCAACACCCTAGCATTATGGTGGTGAGTTTTGTATAGGTGATCACCACTCTTTTCTTCAGAAAATGTCAAAATACTGGCTAGTCACTGGTACGTTTTGACATCTACAGTGTTTGATGAAACGCGGTTACATTGTTACAACACTTGAGCTCATGTTTGCTTGTGTGCCCTTTAGGAGAGTGCAATTATGGTGGGAGGGTGACTGATGATAAAGACCGGAGGCTGCTGATGTCCCTCCTCTCCATCTTCTACAGCTGGGAGCTCATCAAACAGGACAAGTATTGTGTGTGTGAGGGAGATCTGTACTATGTGCCGTCACACGCTCCCTACCAGGTACACACTCACACTGTGCACCTTCATTAAATCAAGTCACCTGTATTTATATAGCGTTTTATACAATACCGATTGCTCTACAGTGATAAACATATAATAGGGACTTTTGTACCAGAAGAGCCTTTTCATAGTTCCTAGAACTATTGGCGAACGTTCCTAGTTGTTCTTTTGGAGGAACTAATTTAGCTCCTACTTCAGAGTCGGTCTAAACCAGCACTATAGGAACTACTAGTGATGTTAGTGTTCGCTAATTGGCACACAGATTATAGCCTATAAATTTACTCGAGAAACTAACTCTACGAACATGGAAAACAGTGATAGATGGGCCTCTTAACCATTACTTTAAGGAGAAAATCAAACTCTGAGGGGACTAAGCCAAACGTGATGTGTTTCTGCTCAGCTAGCCTAGCACAACAACAAGAGAAGCTTACGTCACTTCAGAGTTCCTGCTGGCGGTGCGAATGCAACCAGGAAAATGTTCCTAAGGGAACCACCCTGGTGGCTAGTTCCTAGAACTAAGTCGCTAGCGCTACCTCCTAATGATCAATGATGCAAACGTAATTCAATTCTGATGTAAAGCAGCTTGAAAAAGACTATAGTGTCATTGTTCAGCTGAAGTCAGCGGATTATGCAAAAGAATTATGCTCATTTATGAGACATGCGAGGACTTTGATGCAAATTTAGGTGTCATGTTTGTGGCAGTTAATTATTATAGTTAATTAAAACTAAAACTATTATAAAGAATTGTTATATAAAATAATTAAAATAACTGATATACTGTATATTTATATATATATATATATATATATATATAGAGAGAGAGAGAGAGAGAGAGAGAGAGAGAGAGAGAGAGTGAGAGAGTGCCGAAGTGATGACGTCACTTTGTAGGACAACTCGGAAGCTAGCGGCACATGGGTTCCCTATGTCGAAAAGCAATGCATTTTCCCCATAGACTTTTGGAAAATCGCAAAAATTAAGATCTGTTAATCCAAAATTTATACATTTTGAAACCTTATATAAAGATTTTAAAAAACACAATCAGACACAATAAAGTTTAAAAAAACATAAGCAGGTTATAAATGTGTGTTCTATGTCATAGATCAAAACGTGAAAATATTTAGAGGCTCTGTTCACCACAGACCTCATTTCAGGCGATTTAGCAAAAACCCATTCAAAAATCCCATAGGCTTTAGAGCGAGGGAACCGTAGTGCTAAAATGCTAACTCACTTCCGCGTTTTGGCCTACAGAGTGACGTCGTAACTTCGGCACTCTATATCTTTTTTAACTTATTTTATTTCAGATAGTATTTACTTGGCATTTCTCTTTTTTTTTGTTTAAGTAAAAAATAAATAAAAATAAAGATTTAATCTATTTATATTAATAAACTTTATTAATGTAGACATATTACTAAAACTACAACAAAGAAAAAAATGATTAAAATGACAAAAACATCAAATTACTTAATTTAAAAGTGTAAATAAAAACAGAAAATCGAATAGATTTAATGATAAACTTTATTAATAAAATTGTATTAACAAAACTATATAGACTACAGGACTACAACTAAACTAAACTAAAACTCTAAGTAAAATTTTAAACGAAAAAGGAACATTTATACTTTTTATTAATATTTTTTAATACATTTTTAATTGTATATTAAGGATACTAAAATAGCACTGGCTTGTGGGGATTTGAGAGCTACAGAAGATGAATCTCTTTTATATGTAGAGTTATGTGGACTACATCCGCAACCTGCCCATCAGCGCCGAACCTGAGGTCTTCGGCCTCCACAGCAACGCTAATATCACCAAGGATAACCAGGAGACCAATCAGCTGTTAGAAGGGGTGCTGCTGACGCTACCCAGACAAACTAGCAGCGGAGCCAAATCTCCACAGGTGAGAGAAGGCATATCGTAAATGAAAAATGATTGACAGTTTTGTGTTCCCGCTCTTTCTGTCAGTGTGTTTGTCTGTGTCCACAGGAAGTGGTAGACGAGCTGGCCGAGGGAATGCTGGCCAAGCTTCCCTGTGATTTTGACATTGAGATGGTGACCAATAAATACCCACTCCTGTATGAAGAGTCGATGAACACCGTCTTACGCCAGGAACTCATTCGCTTCAACAGGTACCAGAAATATACTTAATGCAATATAAGTTGCTTTGGATGTAAGCATCTGCCTAATGCATTCATGTAAATTTATAGGCTGTCAAAGGTAGTGCGTAGCAGCCTGCTAAACACCCAGAAGGCACTTCGGGGGCAGGTTGTGATGTCGGCCGAGCTGGAGAACGTCTTCAACAGTCTTCTCGTTGGGAAAGTGCCGGCCACATGGGCCGCGAAGTCCTACCCTTCCCTTAAACCCCTCGGAAGCTACATGTCCGACTTCCTGGCCAGGCTGCAGTTTCTACAGGTGAGCAAGTCCGACGGCTAAAGACAAATGCACTCAACGAGACACAAGCTCGTGTGAATAGTTGCACTGAAAAGATGTGGTGTAGAAACAATCTTCACTTAGAAATTGAGAGTAAATTTCACAAATAATTACAAACAACTATAGAACAACTGAAATAGTATATTCAATCCTTGTTTGATGTCCAGTTTCAATTTTTTTATAGTGTAGTCATCAATGTTATTTCAGTAACAATAAGATGCAGTTATATTATAGTTGTAATTAATATTTTGAGATGTTTTTATTGTTATATTTTTTCTGTTTTCATTTTGATTTTAAACTGATTTTAGTTTTGTTTTGAGTCAACTAGCTGAAAAAAAAATTTATATATATATATTACTTCAGATAATGTTTATTTTATTTCAAGTAATGAAGATGTTTTTTTACTATATTAACCTTGCCTAGTCTGCAATAAAACAATGAATAATGTCATTATTGCAATACTAAGCAGATGCTCTGTTCTTGTAGTGTGTAGTGTGCTGCACTAGGTGTAATAAGTACATATACTGTACATAGGTCAGCCAATGTGTGCTCTGAGATTATTAAAACTAGTTGTGCACTACCTAGCACTACTCACCAATTGGTTTCTGATTTTTCAGCCATCTTTGTGTGTGTGTGTGTGTGTGTGTGTGTGTGTGCTTTAGGACTGGATTGATAACGGCCCTCCATCTGTGTTCTGGGTGTCTGCGTTCTATTTCACTCAGTCGTTCCTCACTGGGGTGTCTCAGAATTTCGCCCGAAAGTACACCATCCCCATCGACTACATCGGCTTTGAGTATGAGGTTTGTGTGCCAATTTTTTTTTATTTTTTTTATTTCACCTTTATTTAACCAGGTTAATCGGTTGAGAACAAGTTCTCATTTGCAACCGCAACCTGGCCAAGACAGGCTAAAAGTGCAAGGCAACATAAAATTACACATTGTGTACAACATTCAAGTGTATAATCACACATACAAATTTTCAGGTTCAATTAAAATGCTGAACAGAGTATAAAAATTTAAAACAACTTACTACTAATAACTTAGTACTAAATAAGAGCACAAGCAGTACAATAAGAGAGTACTTTTCGGTGATCTGTGTATTTTACACTTAAAGCCCTGTTTTTAAGATCGTTTATGTTGAAATAGAACGGTTCAGATTGAAATTTGGACACGTGCTGCTGGCCCGAGAATTTTCGGTTTCTGTGGTTGCCATCAATTTTTATCAGAAATGATCTTGAAACAGGGCTTTAAGTGTAAAATACCGAACTTGTCCTTTAATAAAGAAATGCTTATTAAACATGAATATACCAAAACACCTTTTCTTTGAGTTTAGAATGTCAATGTTATTATAATTTTTTGAAAATATACTGTATAAATGTAATTTATTCCTGTGATCAAAGCTGTATTTTCAGCATCATTACTCCAGTCTTCAGTGTCACATGATCCTTCAGAAATCACTCTAATATGATGATTTGCTGCTCAAGAAACATTTCTTTTTATCATAAATGTCGAAAACAGTTGTGCTGCTTCACTTTTTTAAAACTAGGATATATTAATACTTTGAAAGAACAGCATTTATTTGAAATGGCAATATTTTGCGACACTATAAATGTATTTACAGGTCAATTTAATGAGTCCTTGCTAATTGAAAGTATACGTTTCTATTGAAAATAATAATTAATGACCACTGACCAGTGGTGTATACATCATATGTGCATCTCTTTTAGGTCTGTAAGCAGGAAACTCACATGGAGGAGAAGCCGGAGGACGGGGCGTACGTGCGTGGGCTTTTCCTCGAGGGAGCGCGCTGGGATCGGGAGCACATGGTCATCGGTGAGTCTGTTCCTAAAGTTCTCTTCGACCCACTTCCCATAATCTGGCTGAAACCTGGAGAGAGCGCAACTTTCCTGCACGAGAGCGTTTACATCTGTCCCGTGTACAAGACCAGCGCCCGGCGTGGGACTCTGTCCACCACTGGTCACTCCACCAACTACGTTCTGTCCATCGAGCTGCCCTCGGACAAGCCCCAGAAACACTGGATCAACCGCGGCGTCGCCTGCCTGTGCCAACTCGACAACTGATTTTCAGTGTGCCAAACATATGAAAAACCCCAAAACATTTAGCATATTGTGGTTCCTTTCAATATAATTGAATGGAATAATAAAACAAAATGGCTTAAAGCAGCATTGTGTAATTCTTTAGACGGTAATCAAAATGGACAGTTCTTGTTTTTTTTTGCAGTATTTATTATTATAAATATATAAATATTATATATTATTAAATATATAAATTATATTACATTTCTAATATAATTTTATATTAAATATATAAATATTATTATATATATATTATAAATTATTTTATCTGTGCATTGTTTTTAAATTATATCCCTTTTAATCCTTAATCAAAATAACTTCCCCTCACACTTGCAACATCTCTTCTCTGATGACGTGTTTACTAGCGTGAGGGCGGAGCAACCTGTCAGTCACATGAGATCCACCAATAGCAAACCACAACCAGCCAATCGTTTCCTCCCAGCACTGAATCAACATTTTGTCTTGTTCGAGAAGCCATTTCACTCAGATACGCCACAATAGAGCAACTTGCGCTTCATGTTGACTTGCTGATTAGATGCTGCAGAAGCCATTTCTAGTTAAAACTCAAAAGTTTAATGAATGATGAGAAATAAACTCATTGAAACGCAGCTAGACACTTAGAATGCAATACAATGTAGTATATAACAACAAAATAAATACACCTTTTAACACCTGTCAACATTAGCATTCATCCTGCTTTACACTGGCAGTGAGAGTAATTGCACTGATCTGTTTCATAATGCAGTCTTTTTAAGCTATGGACAACATGAACTGTCAAACTTAATAATGTTCCCTGGTGTTTTTCAGCACAATGTCCTGCACACTGTGAGGTCTCAGGTCTCATCCTGAGACTGTAGGTACACAGGTTTGGCTTGTTTCCGCAGTCTCTGCTGAGCTCGCAGTTTTCTTCCTTTCTGAGTGGCCAGACCCATCGGTGGAAGATATGTCTGAGAAAAAAAGATTTATGACACATTAGTGTGTAAATCTCACAAAAACTGCCTGGAAACATTTCCAAGTCATATTTCAGAACCTTAAAAAAAATGTGAAGTAATAAAATAGTGGTCATAAATAGAGACCTAAATCTTTATAAACTGCCAAGAACCAAGGGGAATTTGCCAAGAGAAATTATGGGATATATAAAGACATTTCTTCATGAGATCACCATTCTATTCACAAAAAAGCAGTATTATTATAGAGAGCCTAAGTCCCGCCCCTCCGCTTCCGGCTCATGGGACCTTATTTCGGAAAAAATATGTGGTAGTCAATAGCGAGGGACAACTTATCTTTTTATTCCGTCTGAACTGTGCCCTGAATTACACATATGATGTTTGTCAATTTATAAGATAATTCTGAAAGTCGAAAACGTCGCAGTTTGTCATAAAACAGAAGAGTAACATTTAGTTTTATGTGAAAATCGCTCAATGAACTACATCTCCCGGGAAGCGAAACAACGAGTGAGATCCGCTGCTCGTGTGTGTGCAGTCTGGTACAACACACTCAGGTATGACGGTGTAACGTTACGATTATAAGGTAAGACTATAGAAACAATGACAGACATTAGCCTCAGTAAAGTTAGCTTCATTCATTGAGAGAAAATGTGCGCCTTTGGGGTTTGTAGTCTTTGTAATTACGTATTTTCCCAGTCTTATACCTCAACGGTTTCACATCAAACAGCGATTTTCTTTACTTTAAAATGTATCTTTTAAATTGACAACCATCATATGTGCAATTCAGGGCACAATTCAAACGAGATCAAATTTTTTGTTGTCTCTCGCCATTGACTACCATACAATATTTTTCCAAAATAAGGTCCCATGGTGGTCGACCAGAAGGGGAGGGACTTAGGCTCTCTATTAGTGCTTATGATCTTATTTGGAGGTACTTACTGGTCTGGGATAGGGGTTCCTATAATGCAGTCCTGCCATGAAAAACAAAATCACCTGTTATTTGATAACACCCAAAAAATGTCTTCAAAATTACACGAATTATTTCTCAGCTCATAAATGAGGCATTTGATATAATATACAGACCGATCTCTATCCGAGCTTCACACTCTTCAATGCATCTCTGGATTGATTGTGGATCTGTTATCTATGACAGGGAGAAGACGTAAGAAGATGTTCTAGATATGAGGTCTCTCACAGGTCCTCAGGAGACATGAGGTCGGTCCACACCTGCTGGTTCTGTCTGAAGAGGGTTTGAGCCTCCTGAGCGATGTATTTCCGCTCGCTGTCGGTGTCCTGAGGAAGAGCAGACTGAGCTTCCCAACTGCGTGCCACGCGCAGGACCCTCCTGTAGAGAGACAGCACATGTGGACGAGACATCCGGACACCTGTCCACATGAACTAACACAACAGTACTATACATGTTAGAAGAACTTGACAAGAAGTATTTTGTACTTTTACTTGTGGTATAAGTCCCCACTATATATATATATATATATATATATATATATATATATACAAATAAATTAATAATCAGTGTGTATTTATACAGTATATTAGTGCTGTCAAATCGAGTAGGTGCATCTAACAGTTTGTTTACACGTGTATGCACACACATTATGTAAACAAGCTTGTTAGAAGCGAATCGTGCGATTAATCGATTTGATAGCGTTAATATATCCACATATATGTCTATATAATTTCTGCAATTATATTCATATATAATCAGCAGCATGTCAGTTAGCATGATATATAAATATATATTACATTAATTAATTATCATTCTGCATATTTATGTTGAAATAATCCTTAATATGTAGACGTAGTATTAAATAGTATTGCGTACAAAACGTTATTAAAACAGAAAGCTGCGCGTGACCTCTGTGTTGCTGTTAGGTAAACTGGATGGCTGTCAATAAGAGATTTGTAGTATCCTTGACATACATTATAATTGCTACAGTCTTCCGTTTAATGCATTAATAATCTAGCCTCTCATTATCTCTAAGCTACTTCCTGATGAAATCAATATTACCTGTGTGATATGATCAGATCAATACAGTTTATTTATGTGAATCTCCGCACTTCCGCACTCCAGCGTCCACGTGCTTGCGAGTGATGACGTCTCGAACTGCGGGGCGGGGGGGTTGTTTCATACTAGTCCGGAACGCTCCAATGTTGCGCATTCGCATATCTGAGAGATGTTTGCGGCAGTTACGCCTGCGTCGCTTTTACGCATACTCCCTCGAACCCAAACAAAAAGAGAAACTGCGATCAATCAGCGGCCGATCCGCGTTTCTCTGGTTCCGTGCGGCCGTATCGAGTCCCTCAGGATCATCTCCGTCCCTCCAGAAACGGTCCAAAGGAGTGGGAGCCGGTAAAGGGGGTGGTTTTACCGGAGCCGGTCCGGATCAGCGCAGGTTCGGTTCGGGCTCAGTTTCGAGTCTGTAGGAAGTGATGCGGGGGGAAATGTCAACTATGATCATCTAATGACCAAAAGAGCATCAGAAGCACACAAAGAGAAGTCATTTCTCCTGCTTTTACACAGAGATTCAGAACCGATCCGGTTCGGCTGGAGAGTGGGATTAGCTTTAGCTTTAGCATGACAGCAGGGATGCGCTGAGTCGGAGCTATTTCATTATCTTTCCACAGGTAAATCAACACCAAACACCTTCCGGTCAGATATCCGCTGTGCTTACGTCCAGGATTTACACATTTGATAGTTTACATGAAGTGTATTGTGTATAAATGATCCACTCTTATCCGAAGCTAACCAGCTAAGCTGCTAACATGAGATCAGCTCTAGTTTAAAAGGCTTTAACTGTCATGTTGAGTGTTTCATTACTCACAAACAGTCGTATATTAATATATCAGAACTATTAGTATAACTGTAGAGCTTGTTTAGGGAGGATATGTAGTGTATTTGCTGAATATATGGGCAGTTAATCATAATTTTTAAAGGGAAAGTTTCTCATTTATACCGATAGAGACTCTTGGCTGTGGCTCAAATCTAGTGAGCGACTTTGTTGAACAGCATTATTTGGGACCGAATGATGCTTTTAATATATTGTATAGATGCCCCATAAATATTTTAGACATGCCTATGTAGACAACATCTGTCTAAGCATAATATACAACAGAGATTTTGTTAGAGGAAATTACATTTAATATCATAGAATTGACATGGATTGACGATTAAATCCGAGTTGAAATGACTAAAACGAGATTTAAATTAATAACAATATATTAAAATGTGTAAATAAAAGTAGAAACAACATAATATAGCTTAACAGAACCTAGACATTTTCCAAATAATATTTTAGACATATTTATAATATTAATTCTTTACATTGTAATTGGGTCTTTCCTCAAGAAACTATATAGATTGAAATTTTAGTGTGGCGTCTAAAAGATTGAAAACCCCTACCTGTGCTATTAGTGTGTTTTTGGTTTGTATTGCTTTGTGTAATTTGGAGCGTCATATACTTTGGAAAATTAATATGCTATTTTTACAGTCCCATGATATGTCTTAAAGCATGTAAGTAAATATCCAATTGCCATCTTACTTGCATTCACCATCCAATAACTTCATTGAACATCCTGTTAAACCAGTTAATGCATCTCATATTGGAAGTAAATTGGGTTTCTTGCTGAATATTAACCTGTGAATTTGTTCATGACCTTTTCCCCCAAGTGCTGCCCACATCCCCATCAGCTGTGTGTTGCTATGACGATGACACCTTTCAGGTTATATGTCATTTAATCGTGGCACTAGTCACATCAGCAATCCAACACCTCTAATGTAACCCAGCTCCGATTTAGCCTGTTTTATTTAGGTTGGCTCATGGGTATTGTGTTGTGGGTTAGTTAGTTTGTTAGTTAGAGCATGAGGATCAGGTGTGTGAAAGTGTCTCGGAGGATTGAGGTGTGTTTCTGTCTCATATTCTGATCGCTCTGTCACTTTTGCTGTGCTCTTCGTCTCAGGCTAACGGATGTTCCGGCCGTCTCCATGGAGTTTCCTCAGATGACACGTCGCTTCACTGCTCGGGGATTTGGGTGAGTGTGTCCCGTACCACTGCACAACACTCTCGTTCCTGATCCATGGTGATGTAGTCGACCTGAGCCTGTTCTGATAGCCACATACACACACAGTCTCACTCTCATCCCAGAGTCCTCAGCGTTCAATATAAAGTAGGTGTTGCTCCTGGATGCTGATTGGTCGATGCAGCGTTCCAGTGTTTATCATCCATCCATAGAGGCCAGCTGTTAACGCACATGTCACTATAGACCTGCAAGCGGAAGGGTGATACTACTAGATTTAAATATTTAAAAAAAAAAAAAAAATTATTATATAATAACCACTCAAGGCCGCTGCATGTCAATGTCCTTTATCTGTGAAATGGATCCTTTGTAAAATAAAAAAATAATTACATAAATATAATTAGCAAAATAAATACAAATATTCTACTTTATAATTGTGCAAAAAAAAAAAAAAAATATATATATATATAATTTATTAATTATAATTTGTATAATTTTTTTAAAATCTTAATATTTACTTAATATTGATTTTATATTTTATTTATATATATATATATGGTTTTTTTTATATATTACCGAAGTTAAAATGCATTATTATATTTGTAGATTACTTGTTTTAATACATTATACTTTCTATAGAATATATATGTTTTATAATATATTATAACTGTGCATTAGAGGTGCATTACAAGTGTTGCCATAATATATATATATATATATATATATATATATATTAATAAACATTTTTTGTTAATTTGAAGTAAATATTCGACTTTATGATTTTGCAAATGATCACTCTTAAAATTCTTAATATAAAATAATAAAAAAAATAAATATATATAGATATATATTATATCATATACTCAAATTTATATATATATATATATATACACACACAATATATTGTCAGAGCTCAAGGACATTGTTCGGCAAAGGCTATAAATCAGTAAATTAGCACAAAAAAAATGAGGCCCTTAAATATTGTATTCCTCTCATGGCTAATAATGGTACTAATTAGTATTTGACACACAGTTTATTGTTTATTTTAAATTAGATTGGATTGTCCCCATAAGCAAACTGTGTCACTGCATGAGAAAATAAATCAGAAGCGAGACATCCTGATTTACATTTCGTGTAACATTGAACACATGTTCTCATTCCTCAAAGTCATTGTAGAGCAAACAGCACACACGGTTATTCTAAGAACTTCAGATCGGATCCCTCGACGTTTAGCCTGGTCTGTGTCGCTCGTCCCGGCCTAGTAACACAGTTTTAGGTACGTTTGGCAATGTCATAGTGGAAGCTGCTGCCAATCAGAAAGCAGGAGGAGCGCCAGACTCGCCCTCTGAATTAAAGCTCTCTGCGTTCTGGCACACACCGATTAGTGATACTAGTTCAACAACCACAGTGAACGGACTCACCACACTGGTTAGTCTGACTCATTGGCAGGGCGCAATTCAGCACACGGTTTGACTGGCTCTCTTTGTTCAGAGGAAATGAGAAATCTACGCACGTGATGATTCAATATTTGGTTCTTCAGGTTTGCCTTTAAAATTATAAAGGAAATTCACAAGTTAGGAAAGCAGTCTAGGGAGTGTTGACCACAGCGAGATGTGTGGAAGGAAGTGATGATCTGGTTCATCTAGGGAACTTTGTATGTGTGGACTGACTTGGAAAGAGGAACAATGTGCGTTCAGTACAGATAGTCATTGTTCTTTGGAAGTGGGACGAAAAGGCTTGTGAGAATCGTTGACATTTACCCTCAGAAACACCAGCTGGATTTTAATTCAGATTACATTAATGTGAGCATGAAATCATAATTGACTCTATCTATACTTAATATTACAGTGATGCTTTGTTTATGTTTTTATTTGTTAAGGAACAATGCACATTAACTGACATGAGCACTTGTGTGTATCCATCATGTAAATGTAACATCTGCAGGCCCTGCCAGGTCGATGGTAAGAGAAGAACAAAAATACACATACCTAAATAAACAATGGATTTGTTTAGGAAAAGCTGAATCCAAATTCGTTTGTTTCAATGGGACCCTGTTCTCCATTACAATGACAAAGCATTGACTGTGATACTGGAGAAATGAATGTGTATTCCCCGCAATTAGCATTTTAAGTCTGGCTTTCATTTGTTTAAAAAAGAGCCATTTGTGTTTTGTGTATATGTTTGATGGCCTATATGTGCATTAGATGGAACAGATTTTTTATGGCGACAAATTAAAATAGACACTATTCAATCAAGCATGAAGGAGGATACTATAGAATAGATGCATGCCTACATGAAAGCATCATGTAAAGGATATTTTAGTAAACATAAACGGATGGGTTATAGGCACACAAATGCAAATAAAATGACTTCAAAGAAAAAGCAGATATGATAAAAAATACTTAATATGGCAACACTTTACTTCAGGGTCTAATTCTCACTATTAAAGGAGTAGTTCACTTTTGAAAAAACTTTTGCTGATCATTTGCTCACCCCCATGTCATCCAAGATGTCCACGTCTTTCTTTCTTCAGTCGAAAAGAAATGAAGGTTTTTGATGAAAACATTCCAGCATTTTTTCTCCATATAATGGACTTCAATGGGGACCAAAAGGTTCAAGGTCCAAAATACACTTTCAGTGCAGCTTCAAAGGGCTTTAAACGACTCCAGACGATGAATAAGGGTCTTATCTAGCGAAACGATCGCTCATTTAATAAATAAATAACACATTTTAAGTTTTATAAGCTCAAATGGTCGCCTTGCTGCGTTCGTGACTCCTGTTTGAACTCGCTCATCAAAATGAACAAATCTTTTTCCGAGTCATTTGGTTCATTCAACGAACGAAACGAATAAATTGGCTCGGAAAAAGTTTGTTCATTTTGATGAACGAGTTCGAACAGGAGAGTCACGAACGCTCATCACATAACAGAGCAAGGCGAGCATTTGAGCTTATAAAACTTAAACTTTTTAATTTATTTTTTAAATGAGCGATCGTTTCGCTTGATAACACCCTTATTCATCGTCTGGTGTCGTTTAAAGCCCTTTGAAGCTGCACTGAAACTCTCATTTGGACCTTGAACCGTTTGGACCCCATTGAAGTCCATTATATGGAGAAAAATCCTGGAATGTTTTCATCAAAAACCTTCATTTCTTTTCGACTGAAGAAAGAAAGACGTGGACATCTTGGATGACATGGGGGTGAGTACGTTTTTTTTTTTTTTTTTTTTTTTTGAAAAGTGAACTAATCCTTTAACTAGCTGCTTATTAGCATGAATATTACTCAAATATAGAGTGTGCATGCCTCAAATTGGACCCTGATCTGAAGTGTGACCCTCTATATTTGAGTGACGTTTAAAGTGACCGGTTTGATCTGAATCTTCAGGGCATGGTGACTGCTGTCCGTCAGCCAGTGGGCGTCTAGCAGGGGTCCTGAAGGAAGACCTCCGAAACAGGACGAGGGAAACAGAACGAGAGCGACATGGGTCAGTGTGTGACTAAATGCAAAAACCCCTCGTCCTCTCTGGGCAGTAAAAGCGACGCTGGGAAATCTCACGGAAAGAAAGGCGGCACTGGCGGCGCGCACAAGGATGAAGTCGCCAAGTCCTCTGTCGACGTTATTTACAACGGCACCAAAGAGGTCACCGTGGAGGGCGGCGTGGCTCCGACCCTCTCAGCGCTGGACGTTCGGAGGGACCAGCCCACGCAGGACGGGGACGGCGTGTCGCTCGCTCGGATACACGAAATGTTCTTGTGTTATAAGGACGAGCACGAGGATGCCATCCTGGAGGAGGGGATGGAGCGCTTCTGCAACGACCTGTGCGTCGACCCGGCCGAGTTCAGAGTCCTGGTGCTGGCGTGGAAGTTCCAGGCCGCTACCATGTGCAAGTTTACAAGGTGAGTTTGATGTGTGGATGAGTTTAACAACATACAGACAAGGTTAGGAGACACTACCGGGAAGTTTCTGATCTTTTTAATGGTTTAGAATAGATGCTCACCAACGTTATTATCATTTAAAATAAGACTTTTCTATTGTAATGTATTTTAAACTGTAATTCAGCATCATTACTCGAGTTTTCAGTGTCACATGATCTACAGAAATCGCTCTAATATGATGATTTGATGCTCAAGAAACATTTCTGATTATTATCAGTGTTAAAAACTGTGGAACCTGGTGTATTTTTGTAACATTATTTAAATGTCTTTACTGATACCAATCCCAGAATGCACTGCTTCACAAGAAAATCCATCCAAAATGGCATGTGAAGCACTTGTGGGAATCATTCAGTGTTCATGCTGTGTAATATACCAAAATGCAATGCTCACAGATTGATCTTCTATTTAATGTGCAACAAAAGACATAAATCATCATTTGTAACCGTTCTTTCGTTGTTTAACAGTCAAAATTGATTATCGTAATTACTCAAGTCATGATAACTGGATGCTACTTGCCTAATTACACATTTGTAAGATATGCTCGAAGCAGATTGATAGGATTGCATTGTGAGCAGCCACAGAGTTCTGCAGCACAGCATTGTGGGTATTATAAGGGTAAGAGGCAAAGATGTGAATTTCATTTGAAGAAAACAAAGCAATAAAGAGAGATGTTTTCACAGTTGTATTGGTGAATAGCAGTGGTGTTTGCGGGCGCAGATGTTACACTGGTGAGAGATCATAGTCACTGCAGTTCCTCCACACACACACACACACACACACACTTGCAAAGATTGCTTCATCTCGTCAAAGTGTTGCAATGACACCATGTGCAGGCGTATGTTTGTCAGGGTCTATTGCACATATTTCACTCGACATGAAATGAAAATTCACCCTATCGATTTTATAAATGCATGTTATTGTGAACAATTCATTCATGCATGTTTAATTTTCTTACAATTTTTGATTCGATCTGTTTATAAATGCCGAACTTCTCCAATATTTTTGTCCGTTTAAACACCGCCTTGTTCTTACAACAGACTGCATGCTTTCATTCAGGTCCAATTTGTGCACAGAATCAAGTCCACGACTCCGCCTCCGACATGTTGTTATTCTTTTTTTATAATCTTTCACTTGGAGATACGTCACAATACAGAAGAAAAGATCTCCGCTACTTCCGTTTGTGGGTCAAAAGTCAACAGGAATGATATAATATTTCACAATATTACTGTTTTAATGGTATTTTCAGTCAAGTAAATACAGCCCAAACTTTTAAACAGTTTAAATAATGATTATTAATCATCTGGTGTTTCTGGACATGTATGGATAACATGTTTATAAGCAATTTATACTGAAAAAAATGTCATTAAAACTACACCTATATTAGTTCTATGAATCAAGGATGTTCTAGTTAATTAAAACCACTAAAAATATATTTCAGCTAGTTGCCAAGGCATAATTTTGCATTTTTATTTAGTTAAACTTGATGTACTAAAATAGTAACAACAATAACTGATAAAAAAAAAGACAAAAACACACAACAAAACTAAAATAACCTATTCACAAAATGATCTATTATCTATAGTAATAACATGAATCTTACTCCTCTTACCTAAAATCTAATAAAAAAATTTGCATTCTTGCTTTAAGAATCATTCTCAGTTGGAATGTCAAATGTGTGTGTGTGTGTCCATGTTTTTCTATCCCGGTGGGGACTTAAACCTGAATGCACACAGACTCATGGGGACTCAGGCCCCGTCCACACTACTGCGTTTTCGTTTAAAAACGGAGATCTTTTGCTACGTTTGCACCTCCCGTCCAGACTAAAACGGGAAAAACGAAGACCTAAAAAAGTTTAGAAACGCTGCAGCTCCGTTTTGCGTTTTGAATCTCCGGAGGGCGTTTTAGTGTGGACGAGACAAAACGGAGGAGTTCAGAAACGCTGACGCTCGGCTCCATGATTGGGTGTTATCAGTCATGACGTATCCTTCCCTGATTCGTCAATCACTAGGTGCGTTCCGTTCGACAGGGTCCCTACGCAGTGTTCACTGCTCCCTACTCCCTGAATACGGTATATCAGTTGAAGTGGACTTCACTGACTTCCACTGAAGTGATGTATCGATGTTCCCCTATGCCGTTTGCAGTGCCCTTCGAACTGAACGTGTTCGTTCCCTTCGAATTGGAATCTCGCTTAAGATGGCGAAATACCCTGTGAAGTCCACTTCGCAGTCCACTTATGGTCGAATGGAACGCACCTACTGTTTACACCATGCCCAGTGTTGGTGAATGGTCACGTGATCCCTGTTTTCAGTCGTTTTAATGTGGGCGGAGATCATTTCTAATACGCAGAAAAAACGCTGGTGTGGACGGAGATTGTATTCGTTTTAATTCGAAAACGCAGTAGTGTGGATGGGGCCTCACTGTGGGGAACCTAAAGTGAGGTCCACATGGGTAAACCACACAGAATTATTATTTTTTAAAATGTAAAAATGCAGAATGTTTCCTGTGATGGGTAGGGTTAGTGTAAGGGGACAGAATATACAGTTTGTTTAGTATAAAAACCATTATGTCTATGGAGAGTCCTCAGAAAGAGAGTAAACCAGACGTGTGTGTGTGTGTGTGTGTGTCTCAGGAGGGAGTTTGTGGACGGCTGTAAGGCGATCCAGGCCGACAGTATCCCGGGAATCTGCTCTCGGTTCTCCATGCTGCTAGAGGAGTCTCGAGGAGAGGAGAGTTTCAAAGACCTGTACCGGTTCACCTTCCAGTTCGGGCTGGACGCGGAGCAGGGCCAGCGCTCCCTCCAGCGCTCCATCGCCATCGCCCTGTGGCGGCTCGTCTTCACGCTGGACTCGCCGCCGGTGCTGGAGCGCTGGCTCGACTTCCTCTCGGACAACCCGTGCGCCGTGCGCGGCATATCCCGCGACACCTGGAACATGTTTCTGAACTTCACGCAGAGCATCGGGCAGGACCTCAGCAACTACAGCGAGGACGAGGCCTGGCCCAGCCTCTTCGACTCGTTCGTGGAGTGGGAGACGGAGCGGCGGCGGAGGGAACGAGCCGAAGAGGGCTCGGGGGCGGATCCTCCCTTGGAATGCGAGCCGGGGCCTTGAGGCGGATGGCGTGTGCGCGTGTGTGTGTGTGTGTGGAGGTGTTTCTGAGCCCGTCACTCTCCATCCGGATTCTAGATATTGTTATGAGATTTTTGGTCTTATCGCATTGGGCATCCCAGTGCGCTCTCTTGACTTTTGTTTTAATGAAAGGGCTCCAGACGAAATGTTTTTTAAGCACTTTTATTTAAGTTATTGCTGTTCATTTTATTTGTTTTAAAATTCACATTTCATCCAGAGCGGTTTCTTCTCGCTAATGTTTTGGGATTCACCTGCACGCCAAAGAAAAGGGAATTCTGTCAGCTGCCTAACGAGTTTAAATACACACACACACACATACACACACTAACACAACAACTCACACACACTCAAAAGCACACGCACACTCTTTCTCTCTCTCTCCCTCACACACACATTTATGCACTAAAGAAACCCACACATGCATATGGCAGCAGAACTGCTGTTCTGAACGGTTATATTCGGGCTTGTGTCGGCTGAGGAGTGTGTGTTGGTAAGCCTGCTTCTGTTGACTGCAGTGATTGGTGTATCGAAGCCTCAGCTTAATTTCTCATGTTCTTCTCATCACTCATGTCCCTTCTCATGCATTCATTCATTCTGCTATTCACTCATGTATTCTCAACGGTCAGGTGTGTGTGTGTGTGTGTGTGTGTGGGGGGGGAAATACAGATTAATTTGCAGTTGGATGTCTGCTGTGAGCTTTTTCTTTTCTTTTACCGTTTACATTATTTTGTTTTAATTCAAAGTGATTTCATTTCATCTTTTGTGTCTGGTTTTATATAAATGATACAGTTTATAATGAATAAAAATGTGTTGAACATTGGATTTTGGTGTGTCTTTTTTAAATAATGATTCACTTTTTTATCTCTGATTTAGTGATCATAAAGCATATTGTTTATTTTAATTAGCACTATGCAGTGGATGTCTTGATATATGGAGTACAATGTTTAACTAAATTGTTTTGAAGGTGGAAATAGTATTATTCTCAGTATATCAGTTAAAAATGTAAAACTTGGATGGATTTTACAGACCTCACTCCTTTTAGTTTGAATGGATGTCAACGTTTAACTGAAATCTGGCAGTTTATTAAGAAATATTACAGTTGTTTCCTCATTTTGCTTTCCACTAATCAAATACTGTATGTTATTTCTGGAATATTATATTATTTGGTAATCAATTCATAGTTTAGTTTTTTTTTTCTGTGTCCTTGATGTTTCCATCATGTTAGTCTTTTGTAAAATCTATTTAAATAACAAAAGGAAGTGACATCACTTTGGAGGGAAAACAAAAGACACTGTTATGGATTTCAAAGAAGGTTAAAAATTATTCAATTCAAGTTGACACCATCGTTCTTCCATGAACAAAGGCAAACTTTAGCTCTTTATTTGCGTTCTTCGAGGCTCCATCCTTTCAATTTTATCCAAGAACAGTAAAAATAGTTACTGCTGATAGTTACTTTATTGAACAAGCATTTTACGTTGTTGGCCTCCTCAGCCGCGTCGGCGGGTCTTCTAATGAGATTCCGTGTTGTGATTGGACTGCAACCTCTGTGTGGGCGGGCCTGTTTTTCAACGCCTCTAGCCAGCTGTGATCGTGTAGGGGCGGGGTCTGCGTTCAGAGGACGCGCTGTGATTGGTCAGCGTCTCTCCTGGTTACCAGTCCTCACTGAGCTCAACAACACGATGCTCAGTGACAGTCTAGCAAACAGAAAGGCGATTTCAGCTGAGAAATGTCATGGACTGTAAGTTGACAGCTTTTATTATCCAACTTGTTTATTTCAGGGTGTTTATAAATCAATACCGGAGTGAATATGATGTTTTTGACGTGCAGTTTAATGGCGGAGGGAGTTTGTGTGTGCTGCTAGCAGAGAAGCTAACGTTAGTTTTCAGCATGTGTACAACATCTGTGTGATCAATCTGTACAGTGTGATGTCAGGGTGAAGTCCAGGTTAGCAAATACAGTATTTGATTCAGGTTCAATAAAAGCTTTGAAATCTGGTGAAAACAAAAGCTTTACATTATCAAAGCATGATTATTAAACATGAATTATAGGTCTGTGTAAACATACTCATACAGTCGAGTATACACAATCAGCATAGGTAACTCACTGTATTTAAAGTCATAGTGTTGTTAATTAGTTATTTTTCCATCTGTTTAAGTTATGTAGTGTTAACTAGTGTGTTTTTACTCTAGTATGATTGAGATCTGTTCTGTCTGAGTTCTTTTAGCAGTTTCTGCCTTTCCATTTTATTTTCATGCAGGAACACTGAAAATAAACAATGTTCTGACCAACGATATTATAATAAACTAAAACCATTAAATAAATAAATGAATGTTAACATATTTATTTAAATTTAAAAAAATTTTACATTTTAAAAATTTATATATTTTTTATTTCAGCTAGTTAAACTCTATGCTAAAATTTATATATATATATATATATATATATATATATATAAACTCAGTGATATATTGTATCTCAGTGATGCTAAAATAACACTTAATAACTGTTATTTCTGATTTATCTGTAATAAACAATTTTGTTTTCTGACAGCTCAATAGTTATTTTATATGTATATATTATATTATAGTGCCAGGCTGAGAACTTTTAATACAAGCCTGTTTTGACATGATGCACAAATGTGTTTCAATTAATAATAATATACATTTTTTTGTCCTTACAGCTATAAAACAAGGTTTTTCGAAATGAGTTCTTGCAGCTTTCCTGCTCAAAATATATAATTCATGCTAAAAGCTCAGGGTGATTCAGCACAAGTAGCACAAGGTCATGTTACCGCACCAGTACACTGATTTTACACAGATTTATATTGCTGAATTGTGATGTGAACACCTGACACACAAACACACAAGCTGCATATTGAAATAATGTTCTTTTCAATCAAGAGGCAAATAAATAAAAAAATCTAATTTACACTTGGTTTCCTTCTCTTCCCTGTGTTTTCCCTTCTTCTCTTCTTTTTTCACTCTCCTCTCAAGTGTCCAGATGCTGTGATTGAAAAGCAGTGGCGATTCTGTAAGAGTCATCCTGACTATCACATCTGTCTGTCTTCTTTCTGTCTCTCTCTCACATGTGTTTTCCCCGCCGGTTGCAGCATGACCAGTGTCATTTAAATGACTCGTTCACTCAAGAATCATAGTTCATAAATTCATAATTGGAGTGTGTAGTCATGGATATTGTAATATATTAATGTTTTGTTTAGCATATGGTTAGGGGTTTGCTTCGTCAAACTCTCCAAAAACTATTTTCTTAGTCTTTTTGTCAGTTTTTTTTTAACCTTTTACATCAAGATACAACTACTTTAAGAGGAAAAATAGAAAAGACTTTTTTTTAAAAGATATTAAGTCTTGTTTTCTGAAAAATGTATCAATGTAGTTTATGCCGCATCAAAAACATCTGCCAATGAGGCAAAAAAAAAAAAAAATGTTTTTTTTGCATAAGATCTGAAGATTTTTTCTGAAAAATATATCAAAATGAAATGTATCTTGATTTAAGAATATTGAGATGTTTGTAATAGAAAATGAGACAAAAATCTTTAATTGGCAGTGAAATGAAAATAATGGTTAAATAAAACCAGGATGATTCCCTCTCTGTCCGTGCGTCTGGTGTTGATGATCATACGTTGAGATTGACTGAGAGAGAGTGTGTGTTGTGTGCAGGAGCTCAAGAGGAGCAGGGGAGGAAAGCTGTCCTCCGCTGAGGAGAAGCTGGATGAATATTTAATCGACCTTCAGCACAAAAACAGGTTTGATGACACACCCGGACACAAATGTACAAACACAGGTCAGATAACACAAAAATAGGTTAACTGTGTGAGCTCAGGTTGAGTGATATGGCTTCAGTTACGAGCGCAGACGCCGCTCAGCCATGTGACGTTCTACATGATTGGACGCGCTAATGAGCTGCTCTGATTGGCTGAAAACCTGCTAGAGTGAAATTCCAACTGACCGTGGAAATGTGTAACGTTAAATGACGTGTAGTGTTAAACTCAGCTGCTAGTAAATATCAAACTGCCAGTGAAACGAGATCTTCAGAAAACACAACCCTCTGTTGGTACACATTCAGATCTCGGCTTATTTAATCTGCACATTAAAATTTATATTTAATTTAAGACTAATACTATTAGATTCATTACTATAATCGTTCTCTAATATTCAACCTACTAAAAACATACGGCAGGGTTCAACAATAAGCTTGTCTAGTTTCTCCAGTTATTCAGATTTCTACTTATCTGCGGACATTTGCACTTGTTCCAACACCAACAAATGATACATTTTATCTGTAAGTTTTTAATTAAAGTGATTTAATTAATATTCTCTCTGATTTTTCTCTCTCAAATGTTAAGGGTTTTTTACCTAGAAAATTTGTAACAATAGCTGTGATTTATACGGTTGTAATAATTATACAGAAAATGCCAATAAAATTCATAAAATCTTTTGCTGCAAAAAAATGGTCAGTAAGATCTTTAAAAAAAAAATTAAAAAAATTGATGGTTTCATTCAATAAGGATGTTCAAAAATAGACCTTATTCAGAGCAGCGCCATGACGGGTATAAAAAAGTGAGGCTGTAAGGGATAGATTACCGTGTTTCCAATGGCATCCGCTGTACAAAGCTGAATAAAGCGGCTAGATTGTTTACAATTTTCCACAGCTTACATTGTCGGGAGTTTTTTGTCAACTGACATTTCTTTTTCCAGTGTTTCATGAGCAGAACAATCCGAAAACACATTAAATAACAGTTAAGCCCATTGAAGAGATGCAAGTCTATCCCTCACAGCCTCGCTATCATTCTCATTAAAAATCAAAGATGGCGCTGCCGTGAATAAGGCGTATGGCAATAAAGGCATTTATAATTGTACAAAAGATTTCTATTTCAAGTAAATGCTCTTATTTAAACTTTCTACTCACCAAAGAATCCCGAAAAAATAAATGTATCACAGTTTCCTCAAAAATATGAAGCAGCACAACTGTTTTCAACATTAATAATAATAATAAGAAATATTCTTGAGCATCAGATCCTCATATCAGAGTGATTTCTGAAGACTGGAGTAATGGTGCTGAAAATACAGCTTTGATCACAGGAATAAATGACATTTTCCTAGATATTCCAATAGAAAACAGTTGTACTAATATTTCACAGTTTTACTGTTAATTGTACAGTATTTTGATCAAATAAATGCAGCCTTCGTGAACACAAGAAACTAATTTTTGTATCAAAAACTAAGAAAATTGTATCAAAATTTACAAAACGCACAGTCATGTCACGGGAAAACAAATGTTTAAGTTTGTGAGACGCGTGTCATCATAAATGTACGATTCATTGCTGATCCAATAGGGACAGTGTGGGTTAAATGTAGTGTGAATTACATGAACAGCATGAAGAGTTCAGAAAGAATAATTTGTCACCTGACTAGTTAGAAACAGTGTCATGTGTGATGTTCTCCGTCAGGGCGTTGAGAAGACTGCAGAGGAAAGATCCCCGTCAGGAGGAGTTGGAGGTTTTAGAGCAGGGCTTCAATCTGTACATCAACGGCGCTCACATCAACACTCACCACAGATCCAGCAGGAGAAGCACACAGCCTTTAGACGCAGCCCATCCACCGACACACAGGAACACACGCACTGCTGGTAAACCACACACTGACGCATGAGCGGAGGCGTCCTGTGACCTGCCCAATGACATCCAGTGTGTGTGTTCACACAGATTCATCCAGAGCGAGTGCGGAGGAGTGTGAACCAGATCGACAGGCACAGAGGAGCCACACGGCACCTGAGAAAACACACAGACGCCGATGGGTGCAGGTAATGCCCTGACCAGTGCGGTTCACTACATCTCTGATTTAAACAAACCCGAGATGTGCTTTTCCCTTCTCCTTCCTGAACTGTGTGCACGTTACTATAGGAATCTGTGTACATCTGCACTGAGAGAGGAAGTAAAGAGAAGATTTCAGCGGAGCCCAGATACTCCGATGATTTTGAGCCGGACGACACCGTGGATATGGAGGTGAGAATATGTGTGTGTCTATGAATATGACATTTTTCATAGGGCTGGGCAACGATTAATCGCGATTAATGCCATCCAAAATAAAGTTTGTGTTTACATACGTATGTAAAACTGTTTTGTATATATATAAATACACACTCATGCATGTATATATGAAGAGTTCAGATGCAAAAGCCTCTAAGTGCCATTTGAAATTTTCTTCTAGAATGATCATTTTTATCAAGATTGTATATTTAAGTTCAGTAATTTCACTTAAATGGCAATGATAATTATCTATTAATTGTTATTTAAGTGAAATTACTGAACTTAAATATACAAGTTTGATAAAAATCATCATTAAAGAAGAAAATTTCAAATGGCATTTAGAGGCTTTTGCATCTGAACTCTTCATATATTTAAGAAATATTTGCATGTGTATATATATATTTATACAGAATTAATATGATGTATACATATTTGATATATTGACAACATATTTTTCCTAAATATATACATGCATGTGTGTGTATTTATATATTCAAAATAGTTATGCACACTACAGACACATATATTATTTAAACACAAACTTTTATTTTGTCATTGCACAGCCCTAGTTGCTTCCATAATCAACACAACTTCTAAGCTCCACTTGACCGCTGCGAGTCATAAAACAACTATATTTCAATATTTTGAGGTGAATTAATGTAGTCAACTATTTTGCTGTCATTATTGATGTGAATAATTATTTATTAATGTCATAGTGTCCGGCCTTGGAAAATTGACATCTTTACCCGTCATTAAAATATGATTCCAAATTTGTTAAACGTTATATATATTTATATTTAATAGTGCTGGGCAACGATTAATCGCATCCAAAATAAAAGTTTGTGTTTACATAAAATATGTGCATGTATATATTGTATGTATATTTATACTATATATAAATATTAACATTTTATATTTAAATAACTAATTTTTCTTAAATATATACATGCATGTGTGTGTATTTATATATACAAAATAATTATATGCAGGACACACACATATATTATACACAAACTTTTATTATGGATGCGATTAATCGTTGCCCAGCACTAATATTTAATGGTTTCATTGAAATTGTTGGGTAATTAAAAACAAATATCCCCTTTTTCACCCCTTTTGGCTGCTTCTGTATGTAGTAATTGTGGTAATTCTGTCACACATCTGCATTAATGTAGTAATTTCACATTTGTAATCAACAAATTATGAGCATTTAAACATATAATGTCACTAGCGCAGTGCATTGACACAATGTGCCCTGGTACATGTGGGCAAAAGTGGTTACACGCATAAAGAAAACTAGCGCACATTGTCTGTTATACATACAGCACAGTTCTTTTCTGAACATTTTTCCATTTGTAAAAGCATTGGTTGTTGTATTCACCGTGTGTTTCTCTCTCAGTCTGCTCATGAAAGCAGTAAAGCGTCTCATTCCCTCGCTCAGAGGTCACGCAGTGAGCCGGAGCCGGTCCACAGAGTGCTTCTGAATCCTGACCAGGTCAAGGTCAGGAGCAAATGTCACACACTCAGCCTTTGAAGATGTTTTCGTCATTGATCTAGTTTGTTTGTCTGCCTACAGTGCTTGACTAGCGTCAGTGTGTTTCAGGCCCTGCGTCGCAGTCTGGAGGAGAGCGTCCGGCGCAGCACTCGAGACTCAGCCGGAGAGGAGTCGGAGGAGGACTGGATCGAAGAACAGATCGATAGAGAGGAGAGCAGCGAAAGCCTTTCTGACCTCACACTTCCTGTCCAACACACAAGCCGGCCAATCAACAAGCAGCTCGGACATGGTGACCTCATCATGCTGGAATTTGGCCCCTCCTCACAAGGTGATGATTTCTGGCAGCAGTGTTATTTTTATTAAACATTCCAATAGTGTTATTACAACAGGGATATTTCTTGTTTTGTTTGATAATTTAATTTAAATTTAAAACGATTATTATTGTTTAATTATATTGATAGATACACAACATTTTGAAACAAACCACCAAAATGAAGTTGTAAACCCAGTGCAAAAATAGTCCATGTTTTCAATGAATTTTTGTGTGCAGGCGGACGAAAGATCGAACACTCTCTCTCCGCTAAAAGAAAGGACAACGTGGAGTCGTACATCCCTACCAAACCAGTGACCGTGAGGAGACCGACCGAGAGAGTGTGTGAAAGTACACAGGCGATGTCACGTAAGCGCCACTCACACTTACTCATCAGTGTATGCTTGCAAACATTAACAAATTAAAGTCAAATGTGGATATAAGGTGTGGGCCGCTTGGCAGCAAACAGATGTCCGAGAGATTTAGATTTAATACAATTCATTCAGTGACACTAATTATTAATAAAAATAGTTTTATTTATTATTATTTAAATTGAATATTTTAACAAATATTTATGTGTGTTTAGGGTTTATTAAAGAAGGGACATTAAGACAGCCATACATTTAATTTTACAAAATAATTATTATTATTTTATTTGTCGTAAATATTGATTTTTTTTTTTTTTTTACTTTTTTACCCTAACCCTACAGTTAAATATTTCAAAAGTAATATTTCTTTGTTTTGATGAATGTTTTATTTAGAATTTTTAATATTATATTATATTATATTATATTATATTATTTTTTTCTTAAATTTACATGCATGTATATTAATATATTATAATATATTATAGTAATATTGATCTATATGATCACAACAACATTGCCAAATTGTGCAGCCTCATAAATCTGGAGATTTTTTGTTTTCTAATAAATTTTTCCCCCATATTGGTCATCTCTTTACTAAAGTATTGCAGCATTAGTTTAATAGCATGTTGATGCGTAACTATTGGAATCAATGCACAGAATCTGATTTGTTGTCCTGTAGGGTCGTGCAGTCGCGTCGAGCGCCCCCTGTCTGCGGCCCGTAAGGTGCAGGAGCAGAGAGATCCAGACGAGACGGCTGTCGGTGTGTTTCAGGCCCTGCAGAGAGAAAACACACCCCTGGAAACACACCGACAGAGAGAACAGGAGAGGAGGACGGCCCAACACACACCGGTACACTCACAGCACACAACTCTGCAATGCCTTCTCATATTCATATGTTAATGATAGATAATATATCCTAGCTAAGATGACTGTCTGCATATTTTTAAGGCGGAGGAAGATGATGATGATGATGATCAATATCGGGTTAACAGAGCTATGCGGAGAATCGCTCTCATGGAACCCAGGTATACATCACAGCATACACACACAACAGACATCAGTATTGTGAAACTAGATTTTAGTTAGTTAAGTTACTTGAAGTAACAAAAAGCTGCTATTTGCTAATTTGAATCTATTTAGGGGGGCAATATCTGTTGGTGTAATTAAAAATACCCAGAGATATTTATCTGGCACCTCAATATGTGTGACTGACAGCATTTAATCTAAATCTAAATATACTACCGTTCAAAAGATTGAGTTGGTAAGATTTGTAATGTAAAAACAGTCATAAAGTTAAATATTATTACAGTTTAAAATAACTTTTTTCAATGTAAATTATTTATTTATTTATTCCCGTGATGGTAAAGCTGAATTTTCAGCATCATTACTCCAGTCTTCAGTGTCACATGATCCTCCAGAAATCACTCTAATATGATGATTTGCTGCTCAAGAAACAAGTGCAGTGTTTATTTGAAATATAAATCTTTTGTAACATTATAAATGTGTTTACTGACAAATTGGATTCATTTAAATCCTTACTGATTTCATTAAACAAAAAACCGTCTTACCCCAAACATTTGAAAAGTAGTGTAATTTAACAATAAATACATTAAAAAATGGCAATAAACCAGCAGCAGAATGCAACTAAATGGTTCTAATGGTTTGATTTTGTTTTATTCTTTTACTTTGCATCCTCTATGTGTCTGTCAGGCAGCAGAAGTGTTTGTTAAAGGCTCTGGAGAGGATCGATGCTGACGATCAGTCTGATCTCACTGACAGCAGCAGCTTCACTCTTCCTGTGAGTTCATCTCATATCTCATTTAATCTGATCTGGACTATGATCATTATGTTACCTGCTCTAACCAGCTTGACCAAGGTGGACCAACTGATAGCTAAAGTTGTTCATATATAAATAGGTGTGTTGACACAAAATCTTTAACGCATTAAAATTATTTAACACAAATCCATTCCTAAAGCCTGTGCAACTGAGGTCATTAATGTAATTTACGTCACGCCGTTACATGATCTTAAAAGTCCAGGCTTATTACAGAGAGAACAGTGACTCGTTTTCAGTGAATTATTCATTCCAGTGTGTGTTTCGCTTTAAAACACGAGCTCTGTCATATTCTGTGATTGTTTCTGAAGAGCACGAGCCCTCACGCATCAGACTGAACCGAACGTCAAAACACATGATACACAAACTACAATTATTGTCTGGATAAAGCGAACCGGCGTCGCGATAGCAAAGTATAGATGGATGCGGATTGTAATCAAGGTTAAGACGAAGTGATGATGTCATACAGTAGCATGAGTTTGTGTGAGCTGAGTGTTTAAAATGTAAGCAAGCTGTTTGTTGTTGCACTGTACAGAGAATTCTGAAAAGTTTTGTTCTGTAATGTTATTTTTTTTCATTGGTGCTTTCGTGTGTATACATTTATGAATTATGGACTCCTTATATTATTTGTTTATTTGGTGTCCTTTTGGAGTCTCCAAGTGTCCTTTTTTAAGAATAATCCTTAAATCTGATGGTTTACTTTCCTGGATATAGCAAATGATGACTAAATAAATGTATTTAACCAGATATATGTTTAAATTCACGATAAGTATGAGATTAATTGTACAGTAGGGTGTGATTAATAACGATTTAATATTTGTTATCCTTTCACAGCCCTAATATAGAATAAAATAGAATAGACTTTAATTGTCATTGTACAGTAGAACTATACAACGAAATTTGCTTGTGTAAAAACAACACTCACTTTCATAAACACTCATAGAATAAAATAAAAAAATATATTATAACTCATCCCATTGCATAAAATCTCTATCTAGAAAGTGCAACTGTGCGACTGGGGTATAGATATAGATATATAGATGGATATCGACCAGCCCGATATTAATTAATTATATTAATTATATTATTAATTATATAAATAATTTTATTTTTTTTAAAGAAATAATAGCATTTTTTAATAAAAAATGTTTTATTTTTTTGCTCAATTTTTTTATTTATTTTTTGTTTTGTTTTTTTGTGGTCCCTCCTGTTAAAAATACATGATCTGGATAAAGCAGCTATTGTTAGAAATTACATCCAAATTGTTTACTGCAAAAGCAACAATTTTTTTTTACTGAATGAACTCACAAGTAGCTTAAAAATACCAATATAAAAACATGAAGCAAAAAAATAAAATGTTTTTTATAAAAATATGTTAATTATAATGAAAGCATTCACGAGTGTGTGGAAGAACGAATCTCCAGCGTTTTCCGTTGAGTTTGAATCATACGTTCTTTATTTCCATGACAGCAGAAGGACGTCTCTCTGCAGGTGACGCCCACTCTTTATGTAACCATGGAAATCTTGTCAAACTGGGGTCACCCGGGTCAGGTCGGCCTCACAGAAGTTCAGTTCTTCTGTCCTCAAGGCCAAAAACTCTACGTGTCTCCACATGACCTGGACATTCGAAACACGGACCAGCCCGGGAATCTCTCTGCCCTCGTCAACGGGAAAACTAAAGTAAGCATGTGTGTACTTCACTACTGTTGCCCGCCAATTAATAATAATTGATGCATTCTAATTAGCATGTGGTCTGTATCTGTTTAGACCACAAAAGTGCGTCACATGTGGACGTGTGCGTTCCACCCGCCGGTCCAGCTGTATTTTATCATCAGGAATGTGGAACGATCCCCGGGGTTCAACATCTCTCGCATCAGAATTTGGAATTATAACCACAGCATTAATGTGAGTCACACACACCCAGAACAGGAAGATACAACTCTATAAGAGTGTTTATTAAAAGCAAGATCAATTCAGTCTTTGTCATCGAGAACATTCTGTGCTGAGAAAACACCCGGTCCACACATCAGTGAGCAGCCGGTTTTGTTGTTCAAGGGTGTGTTCACACTCGGCACGTTTGGTTATAATAATAAACTGTGGTGAGATTGCTCTGTTAGTGCGGTTCATTTGAATAAGTGTGAACGCTGCCATCTGGACCCAGGTGTGCCACAAACAAGCACACGAAAAAGATGGGTCACGGTTTGCTTCCAAACGGACCAAAGACGTGTAAACGAGCAAGAAACGGGACTTAATGTCACATGATGCAACCCTTAAAAGAACACAATGCTCAAGCAAGGCTGTTCTGTCTCGTAACAGTCGTGCTTCCTGTTTCTTCATAAGCTCCTCATGAGTTCTCAGCTAGTTAAAACATCATCATAGGCAGTAGACGAGTGCTGTGTGTGTGTGTGTGTGTGTGTATGTAGAACAGTTGGAGATTAGCTGTAGGGATTAGCTGAGGTTATCTCCCCCACACCAGCGCTCCGTCAGTCTGATCACTGCACTCGTCTACGGCACTGAAGCTTCAACGTCTCTTTACACGTTCACTGATGAACAGATCCAGAGAGATTCAACGGTACGGTGTGAATGGTGTCAGTGTGTGAGAGAATGTGTGTGTGTGTGTGTTTGTGTGTGTGTGAGACAGTCTAATTCTTGATGTAAAGATGCCCTTCTAGTCTGCTGTATCACTTATAGTTTACTGGTTTTATCTACCTACCTACCTACCTATCTATCTGTCTGTCTGTCTGTCTATCTGTCTGTCTATCTATCTATCTATCTATCTATCTATCTATCTATCTATCTATCTATCTATCTATCTATCTATCTATCTATCTATCTATCTATCTATCTATCTATCTATCTATCTATCTATCTATCTATCTGTCTGTCTGTCTGTCTGTCTGTCTGTCTGTCTGTCTGTCTGTCTGTCTGTCTGTCTGTCTATCTATCCGTCTGTCTGTCTGTCTATCTATCTATCTATCTGTCTGTCTATCTACCTATCTATCTATCCGTCTGTCTGTCTGTCTATCTATCTATCTATCTATCTATCTGTCTGTCTATCCATCTGTCTGTCTGTCTGTCTGTCTATTCGTCTGTCCGTCTGTCCATCTATCTATTTATCTATCCGTCTGTCCTATCTATCTATCTATCCGTCCGTCCGTCCGTCCGTCCGTCCGTCCGTCCGTCCGTCTGTCTGTCTGTCTGTCTGTCTGTCTGTCTATCTATCTATCTATCTATCTATCTATCTATCTATCTATCTATCTATCTATCCGTCTGTCTGTCTGTCTGTCTGTCTGTCTGTCTGTCTGTCTATCTATCTATCTATCTATCCGTCTGTCTGTCTATCTGTCTTTATCTATCTATCTAACTATCTGTCTATCTATCTATCTACCTATCTATCATATATATATATATATATATATGAAGAGTTCAGATGCAAAAACCTCTAAGTGCCATTTGAAATTTTCTTCTAAAATTATCATTTTTATCAAGCTTGTATATTTAAGTTCAGTGATTTCACTAAAATGGCAATTATAATTACCTATTAATTGTTATTTAAGTGAAATTACTGAACTTAAATATACAAGTTTGATAAAAATCATCATTAAAGAAGAAAATTTCAAATGGCATTTAGAGGCTTTTGCATCTGAACTCTTCATATATATATATATATATTGTACTGTAAATTGTACAACTCAAAGTAATAATAAAGGAATCATAATAATAAAGGAACGTATTATAACCAACCAATATACAGTATTTTATTTGATTAAATTTCTGTTGAAATTGCAATTTCCATAAAAATTCAGAATACAATTTCTTATTTTAAAAAATAGTTATTTGCATACTACATAGTAATAGTACATTGTTATATTTGAATTGAGTTACATCCTCCAAGATTGATTAAGTTGTTCACGTTTTATGACTTAAAACAGATTTCACGCCGCCCTAAGTTAAAAGCTAGCTTTTCTGTGGAGTTATATTTACATTCATTACTGAGGTCTAACAAACGTGTTCTTCCCCAGTAATGGTGTGAATATTGTAATAATTATAGATAAATGATATGCACATTGGTAACACTCACATCTAGTGATCAATTTGAATATGCATGTGTTTGTTCTGACAGGATCTGGACGTGGGCGCTCGGCATGTTCGCTTGTATGTGAACAGCACTCTGGTCTTCGAGGGTCAGCTGGAGAAGGGTTGTGGTAACCAAGTCTTTGACTACAACAACTCCATTGAACTCCAGGAACCACATCTCCCAGAGTGCACCACTCCAAGCCCTGTCTCTTCAGGACACAGTCTGCAAGACTGCAGCCCACATGACCATGAGCCTCAGGAGTCGAATACTGACATCCCAGTTGTAGAAACAAACCAGGACAAATCAGAGAGTGACACTAACCTGGTTAACCCTGGCAGCTGTGTGGCGGCAATGCAAAGAGACTCTCCAGCTTTAGATCTCTCTTTACCCTCTGAACGCAAGCATGTGGAGGCGATGGAGACGGTGACCACGCAACCATCCTCCAGTCGGATCCCACTTTGGCTCCGGCCTGTGAATCAGAGCGCACCGGATGAAGCCAAAGCGTCTCGACCTCAGTGGCTCCAACAGCAGAACACATCCAAACACTCAGTGCTCCCTGAAATCTCATGCAACCCCGTACGTGCCTGCAAAGAGGCCTCCAGCCACAAGGGGGCGCAGAGGAGAGCGTCCCGGAAACTCAGTTCTGATTCCTTGGATTTGGACCCCGATTTGGGGCTGAGTTATAAGCTTGAGGCTAAACATGAGAGAGACCCGAGCATGCAGACAGAACAAGAATCGCACCTAGAGCAACAGTTGAGCGATCGGTTGGACCAGGATTTGGACCTGTGGGATGAGCGCTTTGAGAGGACGGAGCGACCCGTCAGTGGCAGGAGAGGTTCAGCACGATCTCTACACAAAACACAACCCAACCGCAGCAGCGACTTCACCGCAACAGGTGCATTTCTCAAAGTACACCACAGCTACATCTGTATGTGCATACTAGCTGTCTAGAGTAGTATGCATGATTAAGGTTAGTGCTGCGCAAAACGATTTAATGATAGCTATTCTGTGACGTTTACATTAATTATTGAGCTCTAACAAGCATGTGGAATGCATTTACATCCCCAGTTATGGTGTGAAATTAACAATATTGACTAATAATCAACTAAAATGTTTTTATTTTGCCATTTTGCCCAGCCCAGGTTAGTTCTCTTTTGATTGTTTTGCTGTAGAATAATGTCAAGGAATGTGAGTTTGAAGCTTTCAACAATTGTTTGAACCTACATTTCAAAATCAACTTTAAATCTGTAAATGAAAATTGGACTATTTACTTGTTTTATAGTGCACTTTATCCCAAAGATGAAAATGTGTTTGTAAATCCCACTCTTTATACATATATTTTTCACTTGGAACTATGTCAAAACTTAAAGTAACATTGCTTACTAGAAATGTGCAAATTGGGTTGCAGCCAATCATATTTCCCTGGTATTTATGCACCTTTTAAAGGCTAATGATCAGTGTTTCTGTACATTAAAGGGTTAGTTCACCCAAAAATGAAAATTAAGTCATTAATTACTCACCCCCATGCTGTACCAACCCCCGTAAGACCTTCGTTCGTCTTCGGAACACAAATGAAGATATTTTTGATTATATTTGAGAGCTGTATAACTACCACATAGGCTCCTAAGGGAATGACACTTGACGGCCCATAAAGTCAATGAAGAAAATGTTTAAATATTCCATGTGCCTACAGCGGCTCAATTATAAGTTTATCAAGCGACGAGAATACTTTTTGTGCGAAAAAACAAACAAAAATAGATTTCCATGACGCATGCGCAAGAATTGCGATCTCCTTCAACTACTTCAGTTCAATTCTCGCGCATGCGTCGTGGAAATCGTATTGAAGTCTCGTTTCAGGCCAACAAGGAAGAAAAGGAATAGTCGAATAAAGTCGTTATTTTTGTTTGTTTTTCGCACAAAAAATATTCTCGTCGCTTGATAAACATATAGTTGAGCCACTGTAGTCACATGGGATATTTAAACATTTTCTTCATTAAATTTCTGGGCCGTCAAGTGTCATTCCCTTAGGCAGCCAATGTGGTAGTTATACAGCTCTCAAATTTAATCAAAAATATCTTCATTTGTGTTCCGAAGACGAACGAAGGTCTTACGGGGTTGGTACAGCATGGGGGTGAGTAATTAATGACTTAATTTTCAATTTTGTGTGAACTAACCCTTTAATGGCTATTTTATTCATTTGTTTGTTCTTGTTGCCGTAGAGGAAAGCAGCCAATCATCCGGCCAAAACAGAAGACTCAAGCCTCATTGGTGTGAACCGGATGACCCGTTAATGGAATCATGGGACTCGTTAACAAAATTTAACCAGTGTCAGCGAGGGCGAATCTCCAACATGGGACTGGAGGGCGATATTTTTGATGAGTTTGTTCAGCGTCAGTCCCGCTCGACACCCGCCTCCACCCGACGCCCCTCCGCCTCAGCGCTGCCTGGTTTTGACGACCCTGAAGATGACCCTCGCGACCCTGATGAGGACTTCGAGATCCCGGTGCTCCCGCAAGGCCGCCACCTCGTCATTAACATCATGTCCACGTGGGGCGACCGTCACTACGTCGGCCTCAACGGTATCGAGATCTTTTCCTCCACCGGTGAGCCGGTCAAACCAGTCCACATCACTGCCGACCCGCCTGACATCAACATCCTGCCGGCCTACGGGAAAGACCCACGGGTCGTCACCAACCTGATAGACGGCGTACACCTGACGCAGGACGACATGCACCTCTGGCTGGCTCCGTTCACCCCGGGACGCAGGCACGTGATCTCCGTGGATCTGGGTGTTAGATGCTGCCTCGCGATGATCCGTGTTTGGAATTACAACAAGTCCAGGATACACTCGTTCAGAGGAGCAAGAGAAATGGAAATGAGTCTTGATGGACGTTGCATCTTCCAAGGGGAGATCGCCAAAGCTTCTGGAACGCTCTCAGGAGGTATGGATAGAAAGATCATCGAAAGCAAAATGCTTGCTAATTAATTGCATTCCTGTAGCAGCTCAAACAATATCTGGTACTAGGAACACCAAGGCCGTGGGTTTGATTTTATGTACTGGTAAAATGAATACCTTGAATGCAGTGTGAATCGCTTTAGATGAAAGCATAAAGCATAAATGTTAGGTGTGTAACAACATATCATTTCACAATACAAAAATGCAACTTTTGTATGGTGGATAGTTCACCCAATATTTATATTTAGCATCAAATATGGTAAACCCAGGAGGTCAGGCATTTGATCTCCCATGTTTACTGTGGTGAAAATCAAGTTTTTAGTCTTGTTTATATGTCTATGGGGTGTAGGGATGGGCAACGATTAATCGCAGCCAAAATAAAAGTTTGTGTTTACATAATATATGTGTGTGTAGTGTGTATAATTATTTTGTATATATAAATACCCACACATGCATGTATATATTTAAGAAAAAATGTGTTATTAATATATCAATTTTTTATATTTATATATAATATTAATTGTAAATAAATATATATAAAATATATACATGCACATATTTCTTAATGCATGTGTGGGTATTTATATATACAAATTAATTATACACACTACACAAAAATATATTATGTAAACACAAACTTTTTTTTTGGATGCGATTAATAGTTGCCCATCCCTAATGTGGTGTTTTTAATACACATTAGGACAAAGTTCTGCCAATTCATCTGTCAACACATTAGCTCAGTATTTCCTGCAGTGAACCAGACGCGGTTTGAATCTGCCCGGCGTCTCCGTCACAAACGTGGATCCAATCCTGGCGCTTTTCCTTTCATTGCTTTTTGGGGATGCTGATTTTTAGAAGGCAGATTTCTGACTCTGAGATGGCAAACGAAACGGGAACATGGTTTGTTAGCTGTTTGATAACATAGTCATTCAAGCCAAAGTCTAATTATATCAATTACCGTTATGTGTCCGACATTGTAGAGAGCGTAACATAAAACACATTACTATTCTGATACCTCGACCTGTGGACGAGCCTGTATAATTTACTCTTCCTCTTCTTCTGAATCAATTTCTGGAATGTGGCTGAAGTAAAGCAATATATCCACTTGTCATTGTGTAGCGTTTACTGCAGTTGACCAAGTGGATCAGGTAGTACGAGCTGGTGTGAGTGGAGGCGGGGACTCATTTGCATATTAATGTTCTAAATTAATCAAGGGTGTAGAGTTCCATTTAAGCTATTTTAAGGCATGAAGAAATTATTTTCCCAAAAAAAAAAAACATTTAAATGTGTAATTTTGATGATCATAGATGAGGTTTAAAGGGATACTCCACTTTTTTTGGAAATAGGCTCATTTTACAACTCCCTCAGAGTTAAACAGTTGAGTTTTACTGTTTTCGAACGTATTCAGCCGATTTTCTGATATTTAGAAGAATATCAGTAACCAGACAGTTTCTGGTCTCATTGACTTCCATAGTAGGAAAAAATATACTAATGGAAGTCAATGAGACCAGAAACTGTGTGGTTACTGATATTCTTCTAAATATCAGAAAATCGGCTGAATACATTTGAAAACGGTAAAACACAACTGTTTAACTGTGAGGGAGTTGTAAAATGAGCCTATTTCTTTTAAGGGATACAATTATTGACTGTAGAGGGACTTTAATTTTATTAATAAATTAAAAAAACATACATATTTAACAAAATACTACCCAAAAGTTTAAATATAATTACAACTCTATTTTGGCGAGTATCGTATCGTGAGATCAGTATCATATTGTGACTTCATCATGGTTTTGTTTCCTTCAGCCCTGGATCAGTTTGGAGATACGATCCTGTTCACCACCGATGATGACATCCTGGAGGCCATGGCCCGGTTTGATGACACGTTTGGGGGTGAGCTGGAGACGGATGTGCCGAGCGTTGAGGAAGAGGAGCTGCAACGCCCGCGTACGGCTGACGGGGAAGGAGAGGAGAGACCCTTCACACAGGCCGGCTTCAGGAGCAAGGAGACGCCGGTGTGTGTCAGGGGGACGATACTCGTTTCATAGATACTTTTGCCTCCTTTGTAACATTTAAACAACATTCTTTTTTTAAAGAAATGAATGCTTTTATCAAGGATTGATCAAAAGTGACTGTGAAGGCATTTATAGTGGTACAAAAGCTTTTAATTTCAAGTAAATGCTGTTTTTTTATATTCGGTTCATCAAAAAAAAAAAAAAATGAAGCAGCACAACTGTTTTCAACATTGATAACATTTCAACAGCAAATATTAGAATGATTTCTGAAAGATCATGTTTTTTTAAATCAGTAATAATTTTACATCCTAAGAGGTTAGCATGCAGTGTCAAAATGTTCTTTTAGAAGTCTGCCTTCAAGAAAATCCATCAAAATCACAATTGAGGTTATTTAAAAGAGAAGTTTGAAAGGTACAGCAGCAAAAACTGCCGTATCGTAAGTGTGAGGGAAAGGGACGGCCTTTGTTTGTGTTGCTTGAAACCAAATACATGACATTATGAATGTAGGAAAGAAAATATACTATGCAAATGAAATAAATACAGTTATAAATGCAGGATACATATATGAATAGCACCTTTTAAATTTGAATTGTGTTTTGCTTCAGATGGATCTGGACTGCATGCCCTCCGCTGAACCCTGTGCTGATGATGCTGCACAGGAGACAACTGGACTTTACACGGGCAGCAGTGAGTATCAGTCAATCACAGGACAAAAGCACAAATCTCACACACAACGCCGGAGAAAAAATATTTATTCAGAGGCCATATTTTAATATCACATCAGGATCAGTGTCTACACACACACACACACACACATATATATATATGTGTATACTCAAATATATATATATACATTAATTTATAAAAATACCATATCCATATAAATATATACTTCAAAGTAGACATAGAAACATTAAAATTCCCCTCACACTTATAAAAGTACAACTGCTATTTATAGCTATATAATATATGGTAATTAGAAAACACAAGATCAGAAAAATGATTACAAGTAGCAAGATTAGAAGAATTAACATTCAAAAGACTTGGGAAATCATTAAAAGTTGCTCAAAACATCACAAAAATCTGTAGATGACTAAAGATCTGTAGGTTCTTAAGAGAGTTATACCTGTAACTTAACAGACTACGCTTTTCATCATTTTCCCAGTATGTTTGAGGTATATTTGTCATTGCCGTGTTTATTTTCTGCATTGATTTTCTGTGAAGCTGCGTTTAGTGAAAAGCGCTGTACAGATAAATGTGAATTGAGTAGAATCCTTAATCTCTGATGTGTTTGTAGTCCTGCAGATGAATCTGATGTCATCGTGGGGTGATCCTCACTATGTGGGATTGACAGGGTTAGAAGTCGTTGGTAAGGGCGGTGAGAGTATCCCTCTTGATGTCTCTATGGTAACAGCATCACCGTGTGACCTCAACGACCTCCCAGAGTACAGCAATGACCTTCGAACTCTGGACAAGTCAGTGAACCTGGACTTTTCCCACACAGTTCTGTGTGTCATAATTGAAATGGAGATTTAAATCCTGTTTTCTTTCTCTCTCAGGTTGTTTGATGGGACGAATATCACGTCAGATGATAAACACATGTGGCTGATTCCCTTCACATCTGGCTGTGATCACACACTCACCGTGAGGTTCGACCAGCCGCAGACGATCACCGGATTCAGAATATGGAACTACAACAAATCGCCTGAAGACTCTTACAGAGGGGTGAGAATTAAAGAAGTTCGGTACAAAACTTTTGCTGTGCAATTGAAGATTATTTCACCCGCTGTGTGATCAAGTGTTTGTAAAGTATCCGTATTATGCTATTTTTAAGGTTCCTAATTGTGTTTTGGAGTCTCCTACAATGGGTTTACATGCATCAAAGGTTAAAAACACACATTTTCTTATAATATGCATTGCAGCATCAGCTCTTTTCTCACCATATGGTTTAAGGATTAATCAGGCTCTCCTTTCTGACAGCCTGCTCTACTCTGATTGGTCAGACGGCCCAGTCTGTTGTGATTGGTCTACCGCTTAAACAGTGTGTCAGAAATGAAAAGTCCATTTATTTAAGTTCAGCTCTTTCTCAGCACTTAGTAATACGAACCCTAACAATGGTGTCGGTTTAACTGCATCAATTTGAGTCCTAAATCTTTGGAAGTGCATTTGCTTTGGCGGCAGAAAGCAGTTCAGATTTGTTTCTTTTTTTTTGTTGAGTGACAATAATCCATTTATTCTGTGCAGTGTGAGTCTTCACAAACAGCTATAGTACTCTACATAAGCACACACTACTTCAGGTGCTCATGTGTGTCCTCCAGGTGAAGGTTGTGCACGTGTTCCTGGACGGAGTGTGTATTTCTCCTCTCGAGGGATTTCTCATTCGCAAAGGTCCGGGGAATTGCCACTTCGACTTCGCACAGGAGGTTCTGTTCATTGACTACCTTCAGTCCAACCCGAGCACTGCCGCCCTCACTGCCACCAGCAAAAACACTGATGACACGCATGCTGACTGGTACAGCAAGCTTCGGGTATTATTACACATGTCTTTGCTTAAAAAATGCTAGATGATAAGACAAGACAATGTGTGCTTTCAGGGGTGGGACCCGGAGAGATGAGTTGGACAGTATGGATTATGAAGCTCCATTGAGGCCGTGTGGATGTATCCTAATAATAAAATATCAGTTCCTCACATTACCTCTGTCCTGATGGCACATTCATTAAATAGAAGTGTTGGAAGCAAAGTTAAAGGAGTAGTTCCCTTTAAAAAAATTTTGCTGATGATTTACTCACCCCCATGTCATCCAAGATGTCCATGTCTTTCTTTCTTCAGTCGAAAAGAAATGAAAGTTTTTGATGAAAACATCTCCATATAATGGACTTCAATGGGGTCCAAATGATTCAAGGTCCAAATGAGAGTTTCAGTGCAGCTTCAAAGGGCTTTAAACGATTCCAGACGATGAATAAGGGTCTTATCAAGCGAAACGAGTGGTCATTTAAAAAAAAAAAACAAAGTTTAAGTTTTATAAGCACAAATGCACGCCTTGCACTGTTCTGTGATGAGCGTTCATGACTCTCCTGTTCAAACTCGTTCATCAAATTTAACAAATCTTTTTTCGAGTCATTTGGTTCATTCAATGAACGAAATGAATCAAATGACTCGAAAAAAATATTCGTTTTCATCAAAAACCTTAATTTCTATTTTGTCATTACAAAATGTATTTTCCACCTTTCCACGATCATTTCTGTGTATGTGATGATGAGTTTTTCCTTGACTGAATGTGTGACAGTTATCTTCCAGTTACAGTTGTTGACAACGTGGGGCGACCCATACTACATCGGCCTTAATGGACTGGAGTTTTATGACCAGAACAACCAGAAGATACCGCTCAGTGACAACAGTATCCTTATGAGCTCATGCATACAGTGGCCACGCATTACATTTTTAATAAATCATATGATTTTTAAGCCGTTTTAATTATGAGGACTCAGGAATTGTCCTGGTAAACCACATTATCCATGTCATTATAGACCATTTTGCAAGATGTATCAAAACTGGTCCAGAAGCTCTTCCTGTTTTATTTTTTTAACACTAAATAAAAGCTGGGATAAAATACAACCAACAGAACATATAAAACTGAATCAAAAAGTTAAACAAACATCTTTAAGATTTTTTCTTTACAAAATGTATTTTGAAATAAAGAAAACAGTTACAAACTGAAACAGGAAGTGTTTCTGGACCAGTGTTGTTTACATCTTGCAAAATGGTCTATACAAATTTGTGTCCTCTTAAATCATATAAACTTGGACACACACACACTTTTGTAGAGCTGCTTTGTTGCAAAGTTCATCAGTTATAAAACACTCATTCAACTCAACAAAATTGTCACTATTATTGAAGTGAACTGAATCCACATTGAATATGAGCTGTTATGACACTTATCTTATCCTATGACATTGAATATGTTTCATAATTGATGAATTTTGCAGCATTGACAGTTGTTGTCATTTTTAGCTGCTTTGAAACAATCTGTATTGTGTAAAGCGTTATATGAATGTAACTTTAGACAGCTTATATAAAGTCATTTTCTTGAACAGTTTGTCACGCAGACATCGCTGCGTTCCCCGACAGCGTGAATGTGTTGGATAACGTGTGTGGTGACGTCCGCACACCTGATAAACTGATCGATGGGATCAATAACACACATGATGGGCGACACATGTGGCTCACACCAGTGCTGCCTGGACTGGTGAGGACAAACTGTGTGAATCTGAGATCATACACTCTTAGAACAACAGGTTTCAATGGGGTTCTATTATAGAACTCGAGGGTTCTAGACTCAATATAATGACAAAAGCTTCTATATGAGGGTGCATAATACTTTAATTTTTAACAGGTTATTTACATTTTTTCTAGTGATAAAGTATGTTGTTCAATTCGTACATTTTAATCAAAATCAAAAAAATACATAAAACTAAATTAAATCCATAAAATGATTTAGAGCCTTTTCTTCAAAGAGTGTAGCGTTGCAAAACATCCCAGTGTGATTTATAGTAAAATGTGGTCAAAAATCGTGCCTTGTTGTTACGTGCCACTCTCTCATGTATGGTCTCTTCAGGTGAACCGTGTGTATGTCATCTTTGACCAGCCAATGACTATTTCTATGATCAAATTATGGAACTATTCCAAAACACCTCAACGAGGAGTCAAGGAATTTGGGGTAAAACACACACACACACACATAACTCTAATATGTTATGTATGTGGCACCTCAAGAAACATTTTTGATTATTATTAATGTTGAAAACAGTTGTGCTTCATATTTTTGTGGGAAACTGATCTTTTTTTTTTTTCAGGATTCTTTAGGAAGTCCTTAAAGGAGAACTCCGGCGAACAATGAACCTTTGGTCTAATAAAACATCGGTACCTAGTCAATCGTTCTCTGAGATTTGTTTTCATGATAATCGAATGTAAAGAGTTTTATCTCTAAAAACTGTTTAGCGTATAATGCTAGTAATGGGGGCATTGACTACGTAAAAAGAAATCGCTAGTTTATACCATGAACAAGGCTCAAAATAGCCCCACACTAACGCAGTAACATAATGAGGGTCCCTACATGCAAAACGAAGCATTGAGAACTTTGTAAGTGTACAGACCGTTTAATAAGAAGATATGAAGACAGTTCGCGTATACAGACAGGAGCCATCTTAAAAAATAGAGCGATAAGTCGATCCCCGAACGCCGTTCATACAGTTCAGAAGTTCGTTGAACTTCATACAGTTCAGATCACTCAGCACAACGTTCGTGGTTTGACTTATCGAGACTATTTTTTAAGATGGCTCCTGTCTGTATACACGAAGTGAACTGTCTTCATAAAGTATCTTCGGTCTGTACACTTACAAAGTTCTCAATGCTTCGTTTTGCATGTATGGATTATGTTACTGCGTTAGTGTGGGGCTATTTTGAGCCTTGTTAGTGGTATAAACTAGCGATTTCTTTTTACGTAGTCAATGCCCCCATTACTAGCATTATACGCTAAACAGTTTTTAGAGATAAAACTCTTTACATTCGATTACCATCTCAGAGAACGGTTTGTATTGTACCGATGTTTTATTAGACCAAAGGTTCATTGTTCGCCGGAGTTCTCCTTTAAGGAAGAACAGCGTTTATTTGAAATAGAAATCTTTTGTAACATCTTTTGTCACTTTCAATCAATTTAATTGGTCCTTGCTGATTTGAAATCTAAATGATCAGTGTGAGATCAGATCTTTACACACAAATATGCATCTGTGTCTGACATGTTTGCCTGTTTTGAACTGAGCTCAGTGTTATGTGTGTTTGTTGTTTCAGCTCCTAGTCGATGACCTGTTGGTCTATAATGGGATTCTAGAGTGTGTGAAAAACGTTTCTCGGGGAATTCTGCCGACCCTGGATCCCGTCGTTCCTCACCACACCATACTGTTCTCAGACAACACGCGAATCGCACACCGAGAGAAGAGCACCATTACCAGGTACAAACACAACACTCAATACTTTTATAGTGATTTTTTGTTTATGACGAACTGCGTAAATAATTAACTGTTCAGTTGTTTTTAGTTAAATGAACACCTGGGGTGTTCGATTCATCAATGTGTAGATGCTTTTGTAACCTCTATATTTAAGATTGCATGAGCTAAACGTGCTTATAAATGCATTAAACACACAGATACACATCTTAAGGAGAGCACTGAATGCCAAACTCAGACAAAAGACACACACCCTGCTGTTGACTGACTAGTTGTTTGACCTGATCGCTCTCTCTCATGCCCTGGGCATGATGCTAAACAGACCAGATGATGACAAGAGAAACTGTGTTTGTATAAACTGGGACTCTGTGATCTCTCTTGTCTTCATTCATCTGGTCAACAGTTCACTTTCAGGCTGCATTTTTTTTTTTTTCCCCATGATGCATTTTGTGTTCATGTGTACAAGTGTCTCGCTGCATCCGAAATCACATACTGTAATAATACAAGGTACATATTGTAGGATTTTGTGCTGTCCAGTGTTGGGTAAGTTACTCTAAGAAAGTAATTAATTACTAGTTACTAGATTACTGTACTAATTACTCTCTAAAAAGTATTTAATTACTTTTAATTACTAATTACTTTCAAAATCCCATATCAATCTTAACCAGCTGAATAATACAAGGTTAGACATGAATCTGTCTTAATTCTTTCAAATAAATACTATAAAATTGCATAAATTATCCTTAAACTGACCAAGGTGGAGAAGGTTACATTATAAAAACATACTTTTTAGCATCAGACAATACATTTTGATGTTAAACCCACTATTGTTTTATGTCTGATCTCACACTTTTTTCATACATATTTTACAATAATTCGAGTGCGGTCGTAATATTTAGACAGCTCATAAAATGCATATGAATCGCTATGAGATCGGATTGATCTATACACAGTATTTACCTCAATTACATCAGAAGTAACTGTATTTAAATTACAGATAAATGAAGAGTAATCCCTTCCTTTACATTTTCAAGGGAAAAGTAGTTAAATTACACCCAACACTGGTGCTGTCCTTAGTAAAGTGTCCATCATATGCACACTTCAGACTCTCGACAGAAGTAGAAGGTCATCTTTCTGCTTACTCTTTTATGAATGCTACGAACACAGCTCTCATACTGTTTTTCACCTACTATATAGTTCGTAAGTAGGCATATTCGGCCCGTGTCACTCAAACTCGTTGATGGAATGTCATTTATTATAGCACTCATGTGGAGGACCAGGATGTGAAATTGACCAATGAGAATCAGATCATTCACCAGCACAAGAAGAAACAGACAGCGGACCCAGGTGCACGAAATCATCATCGCACGCACAAGAAAAATATGATGATTAATTCCTTAGTCTACTTTAAAAGAAAACTTTCACTAAAAATTATTTTAATTTCAGCTCTCCGGCCCAAAACCTGCATGACGGACACACGGAAACACGGAAAGCAGCGATACTGAGGGCAAGACCACAGGACTTATGAAAGCAGGTTTCGTTTCTCTTTTTCCCTCTGGGAATATTTGGAAAAATCAGTGACCTCAACACACAAACACACACTCTAACTGTATGATAGAGCTTGTTTTTGCTATGATGTTGTTGTATTGTACTTGACAGTCATGTTTTAAACTTGCAGGGGTGCCCAACCCTGCTCCCTGCACAGTTCATCTCCAACCCTAATCAGACACACCTGAACCTGAAGACCTTAATTGGTGGCTTCAGGTGTGTTTGATTAGGGTTGTGTGTAGGACAGCCGATCGGCAGGAGCAGGTTTGGACACCCCTGTTTTAAAGTAAGTGTCCTTGTGATTAATATTCACCAGTACATCTATTTTCACGTGTTACACTTGGGATAAAATGAATTCATAGATTATATATCCTGCAGCCATATTTCGTCTAATTGTGTAGAAATTTCGTAATATATCAGCAACATTTCAGATTTACACAGTTTTTCTAAGCCTTTCACAGTCCATTCAAAACACTATTACAACTATTATGCAAATGATGCCAGTTTACCTCACTGTAAATATGATTAAATATCACCTATGACTTTATTGTTGGTTCTATTTTTGCTTTTGCTATGCAAATGTAAATCAAGACTGGGGAAAACTGGAAACGTCAGTATTATTATTTTTGTAATTCAGTTTGATGCAGAAATCATTGACTGGGATTGAGGTCTGTAATGCGTTCAAAACTACATATTGTAATATGGATTAATCCTAATCCTTGAGCAAACTGGACCTTCAATGAGGATTTTCCATTAGAAATCCAGTTTTCATCAGAAGCCTAATCCATGATGGGAAAACTCATGTTAAGTCTAGAGCAGTTGGTGCGAGATTTGATGATTTTAATAGGAGTGACATTGATTTGTCACTCACTCAAAAACTTGAGTTTGGACTAATCAAGTGGTTTATTTAGATATGTAGATGCTGATGACTTGCAGCATACAGTGATGTGAATAAGTTTGGACACCCATGCTAAAGTTGCCTAAAAAGAGGAATAAAAAATCATCTTTTGGATATTGATCTTAATGCCTTAATTAGAAAAATGGGGAAAACTCCAACCTTTAAGGACACAAATTTTCTTTGTGAATTAATAATTTATCATAAATAAATAAATGTTTTTTCCTTAAAATACAGGGTGCATAAGTCAGGACACCCCTATGTTAAATTCCCATAGAGACAGGCAGATTTTTTATTTTTAAAAGCCAGTTATTTCATGGATCCAGGATAATATGCATCCTGATAAAGTTCCCTTGGCCTTTGGGATTAAAATATCCCACATCATCACACACCTTCCACCACATCTAGAGATTGGCATGGGGTACTTTCCATACGATCATCTTTCAATGCAAATCAAACCAGCTATTAGGCTAACTGAAGTAAAACCATGCCAATCTCTCGGTGTGGTGGAAGGTGTGTGATGATGTGGGGATATTTTAAGGGAACTTTATCAGGATGCATATTATCCTGGATCCATGAAATAACTGGCTTTTAAAAATAAAAATCTGCCTGTCTCTATGGGAATTTAACATAGGGGTGCCCTGACTTATGCACCCTGTATTTTAAGGAAAAACATTTATTTATTTATGATGCATTATTCATTCACAAAGAAAATGTGTGTCCTTAAAGGTTGGAGTTTTCCTCATTTTTCTAATTAAGGCATTAAGATCAATATCCAAAAGATGATTTTTTATTCCTCTTTTTAGGCAACTTTAGCATGGGTGTCCAAACTTATTCACATCACTGTAAAGACTGACCCACTTATTTTCTACAAGAATTGTACAAGAGAGACCATCTGAACATCTAGTTTATTTTCTACTAAGTGCCTTAAAAAAATCTCAAATCTCAAGTCCTGGTGAGCTTTGGCAAATCCAGCTATCTAGTTTTTCCTCATAAATTCTCAGTGTATAATCCCGGTAATCTGTACAATCTTTTCCCGGTTGACCAACGTAGTGTGTTTGCTGTACAATCCAGCCATTAGGATTGTAACTGCTGATGCCCATTTGTTTTTTGTGCCTAGCTAGAGTTGTTGTTGACAGGGTCGCCATGAAGCACGCAACAACAGAATCACGTTTCAATGCCTGAGAATTTAATGCAGAATGTGCAACACATTTTTTTATATAAGGAATGACATTCACAATGGATCTCATCCTCCAGCCGGACAGGTGTGGTTTTGACCAATCAGTGCTAAGGCTGTTCGGCTGGGGTGAGACGAGACCACACACAGATGCGTTTCGGGTCCCGAATCTTCAGATCTTTCCCGGGAACGAGCCGTCGTCCCTCTGAGTGTCCCATTTCTCGATCTGAACGACACCAAATATTGAGAGTGAATGGTCTTTATGCATAACTCTGCTGCTTACGCTTTGGACAGAAGTTGGGGATGAGGGGATATTTACCCAGGAAAGAGGGCAGAGAGACTTGTAGACCCTCTTGTACCAGTCACATGGGGCTGTGTCCACACCTTTGGCATCCAGAGCTTTTTGGCATCGATAAAAATCTATATAATAATAAAAAAACATATATAATTCGATATATTTTGGGAAAGGGTACTATAGTAATTTCATAGTATTCATTGAAGGTGAGTCTAAAAAAATAAATAAATAAAGCATACGGCTTCCATTTCAAATGTGCTTAAAAAATAATAGAAAAATGCAACAAATTTCAGGTTCCAGGCCTTATCTTTAGCAAAATTTTATTTTACTTTCGATTTTGGGGTGGAATGTAAACTAATGTTAAAATGTTTGGGGTCAGTACAATTTTTTAAAATGTTTTTGAAAGTCATTATTAATTAATCAAGTATTAATTAGAAATCATTCTATCATATAACAATAATTTTTCTGTTTAAAAATATTTTCAATAGGCAAAAACAATAACTGACGTAATAAATGTAGACCAAAGTCCCTAGTCTCTGACGTAGACCCACCTGGAAGTCTATTCATTAGTAGGCTACACTGTGCCGCCACAGTACACAAGTTTTGGCACATAGAGGCTGTGTGTTTAATGTGTCCTGTATATGACTGACCCAGGTAATTCTGCCAGCAGTTTTTCGTCTGGTTCTGGTTCGGGAAACGGGCATCGAACGGTGCCGTGCGATACTTCTCCAGTTTCTCCTGAATGTCCTCGGCCATGATTCGCGCGGTCCCTTTAAGGCATGCAGATACAGTATGATACAAACGGATGAAGAACCAACTCCACAGAGACTAAACTATCTTAAATAAATGCATCGATCGCATTCAAAAACAGATAAATGTAACGTTAGGCTATTGAAAGCCGTTTTAACTTTTAATCAGGATATCAATTCAATTGCGCCGAGTAAAAATGAAAATTATAGACGTCATCACTCGTTGGTTTCTGTTTGATATCTATAAACTTCCAACTAGTAAAAACTATAATTCTTGATATCTGTTAATTACTTTTCTCTAGTTAAATATCACCATAGGCTGGCCTTCAAATTTAATTGTTGATATCAAAATAAGTAATATCCTGCTGCGAATAAATAAAAGTCAAAACGGCTTGACATATAATGATAGGCATAGAGTACAGGAAATGCTTTTAGTCGGCGTGCATACGAATATACATTTATATATTTTATTAATATTACAATAGCACATAGGTAGCTATTATGTTTCATTTATTTTTGATGTAAATGGATATTCGTTTTGTATTTTAAATAGGCGATCCGTCACACAAACACTTTCACTTTTACAATGTTGAGAATCAATATCTGATCTCACTTTCAAGAATGTATTTCAATAGTTCAGGCGTTAAATTAGCGCATGCAATGAAAGCATATAGTCTCATAATGTGTTTTACCTGTCTGAGGCGGCTTGCTGTTGAAAGTGACTTTAGTTCAGGTTCACTGTCACACACACTTCTCATCCACTTGTGTGAGTGATGATAGTGAGCGCTCGTGCAGTGCTGTGCGTGCGGTATGGCGGATCAGGTCACATTGAAACGACTGAGATGTGATTAGATGTACTGTACTTATCGAGGAAAACACCAGGCGCCCTCATATGGATGTGCATCGTTAGATACATATTAAAATAGCTTAATCGTGTATTTGGTATTTATATGTGAATTCATGTAACTTTCTGAATAACGTCATCATATCCGGAAAGTGCATGCTGTTGTGCGCTACAGGTTAATATTTAATCGGTGGATAATCACTTGGAGATATGGTTATTCTAAAGATCAGTGCCTTCCCATTTTCGTTAAGTTACTGGTGGTTTTATTTTAGCATATGGAGTCCTATACGACAATTCACCATGATGTCACAACAATAATAGACGTTCTTCCGGGTGGCACATTTTTTACAGTCTATGGGGTGGCAAAAGCCGAAGCGTCACTATGGCAACACTAGTAAATTGCATGGAGGGAGACACACCGCCGGCAGAAGCCTAATCTACATTTCAACAGTTGATTCAAAAACAGACGTGGTGGAAATTCGGACATAGTTAACATGATCATTAAAGCTTAGATTCTTTGATCTAGAGACGTGCACTCCCAACGCACTAGACCGCGGCGCGGGACTAGATCTGATGGCCGAGTGCGAGCGGTAATGCACTCTGTGTGTGCGGATTGCAGGAGAATAAAACGATTCGCGGGACTCCCGCAAACTAGAAATATCTATGAATAAAACAAATAAAAACTAATACATTTGTATTCATCTGTTGCAGAAAAGCAACAAGAACAACTAAAACAAAATAGAAATGACTTACATGGCAGAGTTTCTTTTTATAACGTGACTGCAGCGATGAGCGATGTAGCCAATCACAGACATATGTGTTGATTTATTGAACGCATTGGCCAATCAGAAGCATTTACGATGAAGAAGCATTACTCACCGCTCAAAAGAAAGTAACATAGAAAGTAATAGAAATAACTAAGTTAGTTGAGAACGTCAGTTATATAACGACCCACGTATTAAAATGGTTGGGTTTAAATCGGGCTCAGGCTCATAATTAGAAGACGACATGCACTTTTGACGACGTCCACTCGCTTTAACCTCCTCACCCACAGGTTCTGCTGGATAGATTTACTTTTTTCTGAAGGAAATCGATAAAAAAAAACCTACACCTTTTGCTGTATATCTGGTGGCGCAACCCCAAACACAACATATTTTCGCCATAGATTCAACTTTGATCAACAACAAGATTTTAACTGTCTAACTGTTCAGTTGCCGGCTGGATCTCTTCAGTTAGTCAATGGAAGCCGCTCGCGTTCTGCCACCCGGAAGTATCGCGGTGCCTATTGTTTACAAACATTCTGAAATGCCCTATATGGTTGAAATAATTTTGTACACTGAAACTCATTTCATGGACTGCTGCACTGGAATGTGGAGCAAACGGTAAAAATAGCTTTAAAGAAGTTTCTTGAATCCGTTAGATGCAGAATCACAGGCCGTTTCTGGGAAATCAGGGTTGACTGTAATGTATTCTGCTCTGGCCTCTTTAAAAATAAAAATGGAAAGATTTTTGTAGGCATCTTCAGTCATTTCCCTTTTAAACCTCATAGATAGATAAAAAGGAAAAAAATAGTATTTTGAATGTGAAGTAGGCATGCAGCTGATGGTTTACAGGTGCGTCAGTGTTTTTCCGTTCACCAGGAGATGCACTTTTATTAACGTTACTAGTCTGGCGCTTGTTTCATGTTCAGCACGAGACTTGTGATATGTCAAACACTAGCTTTTATTATCGTAACAACGCTTAAGCTAATTAGATTGAATTAAACATCTCGATAAACTCATAAACTAGTACCATGGAAAGCCTCGTGCACGTGACAGTGATCGGAATCTGACGGTGCGCGGCGCGTGCACAGACAATGCGTGCACACTTCCCTTGCGCGGTAAAATTAAGTCATGTGACACGTTTTAAACACTGTAGACTTCAGCTTTACTAACATTTATTTATTTATTTTAATTAACAAAATATTTGTACATAGTAATGTTGTTTTATTGACATTTATTAAATAGTATTAATATAATTATGAGTTGTATTCCGTAATTTTTAATGGTATAGAAAATGCATTGTTGATTGTATTAGATTCTAAAGCTATTGGATAATATAGCCTTTTTGAATAAAAAATAAGTAAATAAAAAGAAGAAAATAATACTATGATGAAAGCTTGGCTTATGAAAACTAAGTTGGTTTGCCCTGATAAATATCCATGAACTTGACCATTTTGAAATGAGAGGAATGAAATGAGTTGTAAATATCTATGAAATAATAAATAATTCAAAAACAGAAGCACTGGATGAACTCTGTTTATTACAGTGTAACAGTACAATCAAGTAGAATATTCTCAAATAAAGACAGAAAATACTGTAGCAGATGCAAAATTCTTGACCTGATCTACAGGTTTACAAAATCAGTGAACTTAGACTTAACTAATTATTAATAAAACTCACTCTAATAAATACAAAGCATCAACTCCACCGATTTATTTGAAACATGTTCATCTACTACTACTTTATCCACAGTGTTTTTTATTTTGGCTTCTTTAGATTGAAAGGCATCTGGATTTGGTGCAGCTGATCGTCCGGTTCTTCTGTGAAAGTAGAAAACCTAAGACGATTTAAAGCTCTGATTTTACAAGATTCTGCTCATTGGTTCAGAGAAATGTCTACATCCCTACTTTAAATTAAACCCACATTTGTAGATAAGATCCAAAGCAGACAGACGGACACTCATAACTGCACCTTTAGTGATCAGAACCCTATTTGAGGCACTAAATGTACAGCATTATGTGAAACATACCACAGTGAGTTAACAGTATTGCAAAGGTGCATCTTTAACAACAGCAGCAGAATAAAACAAAACAAACTCTCCCAAACTCATCAAACCATTTAAACGAGACACAAAGTCTCCATCCTAACGAATAAACTGCAAACTAAGACACACACACATCTAAGTTAGGCCTTGTTTTAGTTTTATGTAAACTCCTCCACTGTAGTGTTAAATAAAACATCACTCTAATAAGGCACAAAAATACAATGAAAAAAGCACAATGAATCTCATGTCCAGGTCATATTTCAAACCTGAATCAAAAGTAGGAACATTTGCTCAAGAAAATTAAGACCTTTTTTTGTCCAAGTGTGAATTCTTTTATTTATTTAATAAATATTTTATAAATATATATTTTTTAGGACATTTATGCTAATTTCCAATTTTTCATGACCTGGACTTTTCTGCACGAGATTCACCGTTATATGAAATCCCAGATACTCCTGAATGTAAATGTACCTCTTGACAGTCGCAGAAATCTGATGCTTTACAGTAGTTTATGATTTTCATGCAGCATGAGCCGAACGTTTGTGTCCCTTCTAAATAAATACATTCGCTTTTATCGTATCAGGGGGAAAGCCCTCATGATTTGGTTTAGTGTCTTGGGTTTTATTCTTAGTCCAAGTCAGATATTGTAAATAAAACGGTCGAGACATGGATTTCAAGAGTGCAAGTTCTGCATGCAGCAACTGGCTTTTAGCCTGTATGACCTTTGGGTTGAAGATTAGTGTTTCAGTAAAGTGCGTCGCTGAAGCGCAGCATGTGGAAGGCCTCCTTCACGGACTTCTCCATGTCTTCAGAGATTGGTTCATCGGCTGCTACTCCCAGAACGCCGCTCACCGACACGTCGTCCTTTATCTTCCGTTTGGTCAGAATCACAGGCTCCGTCTCGCCTAATTCAGCGTGCCGTCGTCCGTCCGGTCCAGTCAGAACGAGGTAACAGGCGTGGCGACCTTTCTCCAACAGCGATGCTAAACAAACGCAGAGAGATGCTTATTATTTTAACAAACCTGACTTATAACATATTGCGATTTAAATCTATTGTTTCAGCTGTTTTGGAAATTTATGGTTCGATAAGCCTCGATGATGTTGTGAATAAGAAATACCCTTAAAAGAGACGATGTTCTGCGCAGAATTTCTTCTTTCGAGCAGCAGTTGTGAGTGTCGAGGATGCAGCAGGAATGATGACTGCATCTGAATATCAACAGCAAACACATCAGTGTCTTATTTCTGCTGTTATGTGTGTGTGTGTGTTATGCTCTTACTGTCTGGTTGCTGTGACCCTGTCCCCAAAGCATGAACACTGAGAAAGCGTTTTGCGTCAGGACAGACGCCGGACGAGGACTTGAAGTCCCGAATGACAGATTGAGCTTCCACAGGACCTCTCCAGAGTGTCCGCTGAGAACCAGTACCTAAAACACACACACACACACACATATATATATATATATATATATATATATATATATATATGAAGAGTTCAGATGCAAAAGCTTCTAAATGCCATTTGAAATTTTCTTCTTTAATGATGATTTTATCAAACTTGTATATTTAAGTTCAGTAATTTCACTTAAATGGCAATGATAATTACCTATTAATTGTTATTTAAGTGAAATTACTGAACTTAAATATACAAGTTTGCTAAAAATCATCATTAAAGAAGAAAATTTCAAATGGCATTTAGAGGCTTTTGCATCTGAACTCTTCATATATATATAAAGAAGTCTCTGTAACGCTTTAGTTCAGGGTCCAGTTCTCTCTATTAACTAGCTGTTTATTAGCATGCATATTTCTAGAATATTGGCTGTTAATTAGCATGTTTATGCCTTTATTCTGCCCTTAATCACACAATACTTAAACTTACCAAGTACCTTACTAACTATTAGTAAGCTGTAATTAGAAGTTTGAGGCAAAAGTTGTAGTCAATTGTGAGAATTGGACCCTAATCGAAAGTGTGACCAAAGCCACTTAAGTTCACCAAGGCTGCATTTATTGGATCAAAAATACAGCAAAAACTGAAATATTGTGAAATTATTTGAAAATTAGAACCACCATTTTTTTATTGTAATGTATTTTAAACTGTAATTTATTCCTGTGATCAAAGCTGTATTTTCAGAATCATTACTCCAGTCTTCAGTGTCACATGATCTTCAGAAATCACTCTAATATGAGGATTTGATGCTCAAGAAACATTTATGATTATTATCAATATTGAAAAAAGTTGTGCTGCTTCATATTTTTGTAGAAACCATGATGCGTTGTATTTAGGATTATTTGTGCAATAAAACAGGAAAAAGGTAGAGCAGTCGCTTTTGATTAATTTAATTATTTAATACATCATTGCTGAATAAAAGTATTAATTTAAATCAAGTTTTTTTGATATATGATTAAAACAAGGGAAATCAGGGTAAAAGGCGTGTTCTATTACCTCAAATTAATATTATTATTATTACTACCAATTTGGTCACTCACCCTTTTGGTGTCATTGCCAATGTCTTCCTCTATCATTATGTCTGGAATTCCATCTTTGTCGAATTGCCCAAATGTGGGCACACTAGAAACACACACACACAGGAATGCATTAGTGTAATGTAATGCCTCTTCCAGTGTTTTGTGCTGTTTGGACTGGTTCCCGCACCTGAGCAGAGCGCTGGTGTTGGTGGTCCATGCGATCTTCAGTTTGTCTGTGTGCAGCAGTGACACGCTGGAGTCCGTTTGGACCAGCAGTGATGGAGAACTACCGTCATGAACAACCGACACACGCTTTAGAGAAGCAGACCTGCAGACAGACGACCAGAAGAAACCCATTAAACAATGATGAAGAGAAAAAGAAAGAAAGAGAGTGAAGACGTTTGAGCCCACAACGCTTATTACTGATAGAGTGAGACTAATCCAGTTTGACCATCTGATCTTTCCTCCCAGCTTTTCTCTTTCTTCAGCGCAGACTTCAGACCAGCCCGAGCTGCCAGATGTTGCACACACACCGCGTACAGCCCTGAGTCTGTGGACAGAGAAAGAAACTGTTAAAGGAGAAACATTAAAGGAGTAGTTCAGTTCAAACAGGAGAGTCACGAATGTGCTTATTTGTGCTTATAAAACTTAAACTTTTTTATTTATTAAAATGACCGCTCGTTTCGCTTGATAAGACCCTTATTCATCGTCTGGTGTCGTTTAAAGCCCTTTGAAGCGGCACTGAAACACTCATTTGGACCTTGAACCGTTTGGACCCCATTGAAGTCCATTATATGGAGGAAATCCAAAAACCTTAATTTCTTTTCGACTGAAGAAAGAAAGACATGGACATCTTAGATGACATGGGGGTGAGTAAATTATCAGCAAAAGTCTTTTTTTTTTAAAGTGAACTCCTCCTTTAAAGAAGATTATTAATTATAGAAGCGACACACCATTGAGTAACAGCAGGTATGGAGCACCGCTGGCCGTTTTGAACGGTAGATGACCGATAACCCCATTCACATCGACATCCACCCGTGAGCCGATCTGATCACCTGACTTCCCGGAGAAAAACACCAGCTCGGTCTAAAGGAGGGACGAGATTACCATCACAATGAACATCACAAGATATTCAGAACAGGTGAGCATTATAATGTTATTAATGTGTGTGTGTCGTACCGGTATGGGTGTGAACGATGATGCTTCCGGATTATATGAAAGCACAGCAAAGTCGTCTACTCCGTCAGCATTCAGATCCACAGCGCCGATCAGCGGGAGATTTCCATCCGTCACATTAGAGCGCGACTGCCGCCACATTATCTCACCTGAGGGAACCAAGACATCAGAATGTGTACAAATGCACTTTTGCACATAAAGTAATGTGGTACTGAAAGATTACCATATTCATAAACTACTACTGTTCAAACGTTTGGGCTCAGAACAATTTTTTTTGTTTAAAAAAAAAATAGGCTAATACTTTTATTAAGTAACGATACATTAAACTGATCAAAAGTGACTGTTCATAATGTAAAGGAGAAAATGTGTCTTGGTTTCCACAAAAATATAAAGCAGCAGAACTGTTTTCAGCATTGATGATAATCAGAAATGTTTCTTGAGCATTAAATCATCATATTTGAGTGATTTCTGAAGGATCATGTGACACTGAAGACTGGAGTAATGATTCTGAAAATACAGATTTGATCACAGGAATAAATTACAGTTAAAAATATATTCACATATAAAACAGCTATTTTAAATTGTAATAATATTTGACAATATTACTGTTTTTACTGTATTTATTAATGAAATAAATGCAGCTTTAGAGAGCAGAACATTAAATCTTCCCAACCCCAAATTTTTGAACAGTAGTTTGTGCCGTAATATTGGAACTGGTTCAAATACATGGAACTATATGCTATATATATATATATATATTATATAAACATCTATATATATCATATATATATAACTATATATCTCTGTGTGATGAAATCCTGTACCGGACTTTGTGTCGACCGCCGTGAGTTTGTCTGCGTGAGCGACCAGACATCCTGAGCCTTTTCTTCCGAGCCCCTTTACGCCACACTCCACCCAATCAAATTCAGCAGCTAAAGGTGTTTTCCAAAGCGTCTTCCCATCCGTACCATCAACAGCCGTTAAAACCATACAGGGGATTGATAAATCTGAAAAAAACAAACGCATAATACACAATAAAGCAGCAACCTTGAGTCCCTAAAGTAAAGATTTTCAGTGAATAATGACTTAAATTTGGATCTCTTCCTCACATAAATCTACAAAAGCTACTACTGCACTGCTTTTGGAGAGTTTCACATTTAATTTTTACTTAGCATAGTAAATTATGATTAATTACATGCAACTAACCCTCAACCAAATCCAACCCTAACCCTACATGTAGGTGCTTAATATTACTCGGTAATATGCTTTACGGACTAATTCTTATCTAATAATTCGTCTGTATTGCACAGAAGCAAACCAACAGCAAGCGTGTTTGTGCATGTGTGTTTAAGCTCACTTCGACTCAAACATGTGTTGCGTCTCTCATCAGCATCCTTGTACATGAAGAACACATCCAAGACTTTGTCTCCGTTGGCGTCCTCAACAGCCAGGAAATTATATGTGGCTGCAGGAGAGAAACACACTCAGTATCCAATCAGAAATGCATAAAACACTGCTGTGGTCAAATCAAGTTTTTTACATTTATGACATCTTTTCTCTCAGCAAATCATTGAACGGATCATTCATTTATTTGTTTGATCTCGTCTAGCCCTCCTGTTACCCTCAAATCTGATAACACTTTTTACCCTCTGGGGTCAATTTGACCCCAGTAATTTAAACCTCCACATTATTTTTTTATTTACTTTTTTTTTTTTACAAAGGTTTGTCTCAGTTAATTTATGTCTTTGTTGACTACTTAAGTAACGTTTTAAGTTAATTGACCCCAAGGAACACTGATGCTACAAAATTTGTACAGAACTTTGAAAAACTAATAGCAGGTTAATTTTATGTTTACAGAGTTGTCCCCATTAAATTAGGAAAAGTCATTAAATTTGAAGCAAAAAAAATAAATAAAATTGTTTTTACAGATGTTAAACATTGAATGGGATCAAATTGACCCCAAGGATAATAGGAGGGCTAGACGACTATGGTGAAAGTCTGAGATCTATCGATCACTGTCTACTAGACTTAAAAAACAAGGTGATGCACAAATCAAACCAAACCAAGACATATTTATTTTCTTTGCCTTTTAATACTGCTTGATTTTGGTAAGATTATTGTTTATCTGTTGATGTGTGTTCGTTTATTGGTTGTCTTATTGTTTATTACTGTTCTGTACAGCCTTGGTTGTTTTTAAATGTGCCTTATAAATAAATATTGTGTTGTATTGTACAGCACTTGAGTTGCGTTTATAAATAAAAGAAAGTTACTACTGTGGTTTTGACCGGCGGTGTTCACCTGCGGCAGGGAGCGTGTGGTTCCAGGTGGGCAGGTATTGCGGCCGTACGGGGCAGGGAAGGATGAATGAAAAGGCGAAGACCACCATCAGGCACACGAAGAGAGAGAGGAGCAACGCTGCTGTGCGCCAGCCTGTCAGGTGGGACAATCCCCGCGTTCCTGCGCAGCCTTTCTCCTTAGACACGCTCCCTTCTGCCTCTCCACCCTTCAGAGGCTCCGCTTCAAAACCATGAGCTGAAGCATCTGCCATCTCACACCAGCAGATCTGCTCACCACTGCAAGACAGAAGCGATCAAGTGTTTCATAGTCTGAGAATAATACGAGAGAGAGTGTGTGTGGAGTGATACAGCAGAGTTAGATTAGAAAATCGATCGACTGGCTATTTTTGTAGTTATACAAAAATACAGAGACCTGTGAAATACATTTACATAAACCCGTTAAATCTATAAAATGAGTATTTTGGCTTTCGTTCTAATCTTCAAATAAAGTTTAATGCTGCATATAAATGTCTACACGCCTACTTAAGCCCAAAATGTTATTTTGTAAAATCCTTTATTGTAAAACTACATCATAATCACATAATTTGGAAATTTAATTTAAATTTTAAATTACAATTTTTATGTGACTGATACAGTCATATTAATTTCATATGGGACATTCAGTCTTTCTATTCTTTACCTATAGCCTACCTAAAACACAAATGTTTTTAATTCACTGAAATTACACTTCATTTCATAGGTTTTAAAGTGGATTTTTCAGTGGATTCAAATCAGATTAAGACCATTAGTTTTGTAAAATAAGTAAAAGAACACAAATCATCAACGTATTTGTATTTATTTTGTAAGTATTTTAAAACAAAGGACGGCTAACTAATTCTTCAAGTTCACAGCTCCTCCTACCTGAGTTCAACCCTGTAAGTTCAATGATTTTAGTCACAACATCACAATCTATTGCATCCAAGGGCATAAACTCATTTCAACTCTTTTCAAACAAAAGAAATCCTGCTTTTCTTCCTGTCCAGAGTGTTCTGTGTGTGACAGAAGCTGTTGTGAAGCACAAACCCCTCAGTCATGCTGCCGGTGCAAACTCAAACACCACCTTTCTGGAACAACCTTTGACTACAGTTGCACCACACACAAATTATAACCACTTACTGTAATACACAATATAACAACATCATCTAGTGTAATTTGCAGATATAACGGCTTTTATCTGTAAATTAAATGACGTTTAAATCATAACACATCCTAAGCCTGTTGCATGATTTACAATGACAGCCAGATTAACATAATTATACACAACAGCTGAGCTTATATAAGAGACAAGTAAATCGTTTCACCTTCATTAACAAAAAGACAAGATGTCTAAACATGTAAACTTTTGAGAGATTTGAAACGTGTGTCGATTTAACTTAAAATGATCTCATTCACCTTTAATAAGCCCGCTTTAATTGTTGACTAAATAGAAACCAAGTATCATATGAACTTGAAAACACACCGTTGTCTGATCAAAACAAACCTGCTGAATGACAGATATCGCTTCTCTTCTAGGTGAGCTTTGGTTTGACAACGACATTTCCGCGTACGGCAACTCAGCTGGGACAAAAAAAGACGCGATTTTATTCTAATGTTTTTTTCTTGTCTCTCATATTTGCTTGAAAGAAAGAAAAAAAATGTCATGTAAATATGGAATTACCTCCGTCCTTTTTATACAAATAATTAATAGTATCATTAGTATAACAGTATTATCAATTGTACACTTTACTCAGAAATGTAATAACTTCTGTTGTGTCACGTGTTTTTTTTAAATGTATTAAAATAAGTTTTAAATGAATTAATTTCAACGTTCAGTTGAAATGGGTCTTTGTAATTGCTGATTCAAAATTGATGTTATTACTGTGTTTACAGGTGTTGTTACGCATTTAATTTGATTTATTTATTAGTATTATTGTGTAAAACATTCATAATACATATTAGTCATATTTGTAATAATATATAGTATATTATAATATACATACACTTCCTCTTTAAGATTGCGTCGCGCGCTCTGATTGGCCGCTCACCCGTTTGAGTTCATTAGCTCGCTCGCTAGTGTAGAGAGCAGCGGAGGCGATAGACGCAGGAGCGAAGCCTTTCGCAGATGATTTAAACTTTAATTTTTAGGGTAAAATCACCATAACCCTTGTGAGGCGAGCGATTAATCGTGTCAGGATGTCGGCCCAGGCTCAGATGAGAGCTTTGCTGGATCAGCTGATGGGAACGTCGAGGGATGGTGAGTGTTAGCTGAGTGCTAACGGCTCTGAGAGGATTTCTGAAGGCCGCGCGCTCAGATTAGCACAAACCAGAATATAAAAACCCTGTCAAATATTAAAATGAACTTCTTAAGATAAACATCACTGCATTAAGTTTAGATAAATGCGGCAGCATTTCCTCTTGAAACGCTTCAGTTTAATGTTTGTGTCCATAAAGGAGGTGTAATGACGTCAGTGGGACGATTCGGTATGCTAGGCTAATAGAACAGCTGCTCATCTAATGACAAATGACGCTATAAATCATGAATACTGCTTTTTAGCAAATAACTAAAATCAGTTATAGTCATCTACAAAGATTAAAAAGTTGGGATTATTATTATTATTATTAGAAATAATTGTCTATTGATATCTGTATGGCCCCTATGTAATTAGTAATAATGTTATTGACATTTGTGACAGACCAACGTGTCTCCAGGGTCAATTAATTAGCTGGTATTTGTCCATTTTGACAGTCTTGTAAATATTTCGTGAATTGATTAATATTGTGCGAAAATTAAATCACACGCACATGCATATAAATGTTTATGTATAATTTATATATGTTTGCATTTGTAGCTCATACATGTTTGAGCTACATATTTTTAAAGGAACTGTAGTTTCCCAAAATGAATGCAAGCATTAAATCTGAATAAGCATTGCCAAGAGGAAATATGGCTTTTTTTTTAGACTGTGTGATATGATTTTGATCAGCTCAAGAGGATTTTAAGATGAGTAAACGACAGAAAGGACTTGAGCAGCTAGAATTGATTGAATTGAGTTGTACTGGCTGTAAGAAATCTCACCCTCCGTGTGAATGAAGCGACTGTCTTTGTGAATGCTGAGATGAATTCATATGCTTCCCGTACATTTGTTTCATACAGACTGAACAATTGTGGCCCCTTTATTCTATTCATTAAGGTTCAGTGTATGTTTGCCAGCCTACATCTGCAAGGGAGTTGCAGAAAAGCCTCATGTTCATCGAGCCGTGAGTCACCAATGCTTTTTAAAGCTGTTATGAATATGAAAAAACAATACTGTTTGCTTTCCAGCAGTAACTGTTTTACACATCATCACGCTAGTTGGTAACGTAAGAGTGAGCAGAGGGGATACGAAGCTTCTGCCCAGGCGGGTTGTAGTACACTGATGCTGTGCCTGAGCGTCTTTCCTCAAATCTGACTCTAGAAAACAAGTAAATAAATAAAGGAAAGGACTCAGATTCCTCCGCCGACGTCTTCACTTTTATTCTTCTGTATCATTCCCAACTTCCTCATTACAGGTTTGGGCAAGAAAAGCTTTTCCCTTTAAACTTTTAGAGGCTGGGACCGCAGGAGGGGTTCTGAATGGGAGAGACCTCGCAGTGTGTATCAATTAACCTTTCACTTTAGTTTTCAATGTTTTATTTCAACTTGGTCAACATCTTGTATTGGTTGCTTTTAATATGCACATTAGATTATTCACAATTTCTGTATGTACTCATGAGGGATAATGCACTTAAAGTAGAAGATGACATCCCTGTCTCCGATCTGCTATCCCACACACCTTTGCATTCAATTGGCAGTTATAAAAGCATAGATGCTTCATGCCAATAAGGGATGAGTGATATATTGAACATTCACAATATATTTAATGTTTTGTTTTTCTGGCTCCATAACATTTATCAACATCTGGATTAGTAATGCAATGATTTTAATGCTTTATTTTAACCATTAAACTTCCAAATGTTAGTGACTTTGATTTAAGCTTCATTTGCAAAAGCATAATTGAATTATGCAACTTTGATTCCTTTCCAAATTATTCATTCATTAATTTCTCAGACGTTGTGTGACATTTTTCATGTATTAAAATGCAATGCATTTTGTTTTATTAATAAATCTTTCTTGTATTTTTATTGAATCACTTTTAACTAGATTACTGTAAACTCTTAGAAGCCTTACAAATTTTTTAAGCTGTCACCCAGTCCTAACACAATGAACATCAGTCTATTGGTGACCGAACAGAATGAATAACTGATAATGATGACAGAGACTGCTAGCTTCTTGGGTTGAGCCAGTTAAAGAAACAGGCCTTGGGTCAGTGAAAGTTAAACCTCTCTATTCTACATGAACAAAGAGTCTTCACTTTGTCATGTAACAAAGATTATATCTGACACTGTCAAACACATGCTCTCCACACTCAGATCTCAGTATTTCACAGCAGGGACAGGCAGACCCTTGGTCGAAAAGTTAGCAGTGTGTAGTGCCGCTGTGTGTGTGAGAGAAAGAGAGAGACACGAGTGCTTGTGTGGCCTCATTCAATGTCAATTATGTGCTGTGTCCTAACAGGAGATGAGTCGAGACAGCGGGTTAAATTCACAGACGAGCGCGTCTGCAAATCGCACCTGCTCAACTGCTGCCCGCATGACATTCTCTCTGGAACGGTGAGGGAAAAAGCAAACGCTCACACTTAACACTGTTTCTTTATGCAGCATATTAATACCACTGTTGTCTTCTTCCTGTGTATGTAGCGCATGGACCTTGGCGAATGCTCTAAGATCCATGATCTGGCACTGAGAGCAGACTATGAGATTGCGTCCAAAGAGAGAGACCTGTTCTTTGAACTGGATGTAAGTGACCCGTTAAGTAGAGATCATCTGCTCGTGGCTTCAGTCAATTAGCAGTGAAGGCTTTAGTAAATTCTGCTGTTGGATTGGTGTGTGTTGTGCAGGCTGTGGATCACCTGGAGTCGTTTATTGCCGACTGTGACCGCAGGACCGAGTTGGCCAAGAAGCGTCTCGCTGAGACGCAGGAAGAGATCAGCGCTGAAGTGGCTGCAAAGGTATGAAGTGTTTATATAGCACTGGGTGCAATACCATGCAGTGGTAAAATGTCTCTTGGTAATCTAATTATATCCGGGTTTATACGTTAGAACGACAAGTCGGGTTCTGGAAGTAAAAACTCAGTTTTCTACATTTGGAAATTTACTTTGAATGCTAAATATAAACCGTTAAAGACAGACCTAGTGTGAGCTTCGAGGTTGTTAACCGATGGTATTTGCTTCGGCTGAAGTCGTCAGCCTTACAGATAATTTTCAGTCATTTCTTTTAAATAATCATGTTTATCTCTGATGCTATATAATGCATGTTTTGCAATAAACTTAAAATATAATGTTTTTAGATCTAGTCAATATATATATAAATTAGTAGTTTTATCTTTCTCCCTCGTTTTTAATTCGATTAGGCTGAAGCCTAATGAGATTGTAGTTCTTTCCCTCACTAAAGTCTTGTATTTGGTTGGCAGGCAGAAAAGGTTCACGAGTTGAACGAGGAGATCGGGAAGCTGCTGGCGAAGGCTGAGCAGCTCGGGGCTGAGGGAAATGTAGACGAAGCCCAGAAAGTTCTACAGGAGGTTGAGAAAGTCCGGACTAAGAAGAAGGATGCAGAGGTTAGACGATGTTTTTATTATTTATATTTTGTTAACCTTCAAATGGTCTTCTTTTCCTGTTTACACTTCTGGGCTTCAGGGTCTATACGACCCCAACAATTGATTGAGTAATTGTACAAAAAATATACATTTTTAATCATACAAATAATATATAATTTTTTTTTTTTGTTCTCATCTATTCATTAATGCAGTGTTTTTGGAGATATGAAGTACTTTTCTATCCATATACCACACAATTCCTCAACTACACCTTTAGCTTACATATGAAATATTATTTTTTATAATACATTGCATTTATGCTCTAGTACTAGGCCTTCATTTCTGTGTAAACATTTTCAGATTTATGCTAGATTTTTTTTTTATTTTTTTTTTTAAGACAATATATTTAGTTTTTTTCACATTTCACATTCATTTCAATATTGACCCTGAAGACCAGAAGTGTAAACATTTTTATTGACATACCTTCAGAACAACCGAATCAATGAAGGGAACCTTTTTTTTATTAAGTAAAAGTCGATTGGGGTCGTATAGACCCCATGACACGATTGAGGGCTACCTTGTTTCCAAGCAAAAGCTGTCACATTTCAGAACATTACCTTTATATTCAGGAAGAGTACAGGAACTCGATGCCCGCCTCCAGTTTCCAGCAGCAGAAGTTGCGCGTCTGTGAAGTTTGCTCCGCCTACCTGGGTCTTCATGACAACGACCGGCGTCTCGCTGACCACTTTGGCGGCAAACTGCACCTGGGCTTCATCCAGATCCGAGAGAAGCTGGAGCAGCTGAAGGTAACCGCTCGGCCTAAATCAGGGTCCGGCGCGGGCTGTTGGTTTAGAATAAGTAAGTGACGTTGCATTTAATTTCTTCTCTGCAGAAAACCGTGCAGGAAAAACAGGAGAGGCGGAACCAAGAGCGACTGAAGAGGAGGGAAGAGCGTGAGAAAGAAGAGAGGATGAAGAAGGAGTGAGAATATTTTTATGCACCTTTTTAAAGAACATTTATGTTCAATGAATGATGTTGAACAGTTTCAATAATTATGATCTGAATAATCCTTGTTCTTGTCTGCTTTTCTCTGTAGGACCAAGTCGCGCAGCCAAGAACGCAAGAAGTCAGTTCACGCTCATTCACTTTACATTTGTTTTACACTTGCATTAGTGCAAAATGCTGCCAATTAATACAATAAAAAAAATGTAATTGAATTTTTATGCTGTATTCTGTAGCATATTTTTCTGTGCTCAGCTCTAAAATATCATTGGCTAAGCATAAAGCACTTTTGGGTTTAAAGGTTGATTTAAAACTTCTTGGCAAGCCATATTTTTTTTTTTTTTTTTTTGGGATGTTATTCAGATTAATTTGTAAACCAGTTTAATGAATGATCCAAAATCAGTCAATCAAAATAAAATCCATATCAAATGCAAATGACTTAAAAAATATCATAGAGAGTATTGAACATTAGTTGTAAAATTGGACATGTATCTAATCTAATGCATGTGTGTCGTTCTGTTTGTAGGTCTCGTTCTCGTGACCGCGATCGAGAGCGCAGGCGCCGGCGTTCCCGCTCCGCATCACGAGAGAAGCGTCGTTCCCGCTCTCGCTCCAAAGAGCGCGACAGACGCCGGCGACACCGTTCTCGATCCCGATCCCGCTCGCGCCACAGCCGAGAACACTCACACAAGTAACTATACTCTGTGTTTTTACTCTCTCGCTCGTGGAAAAGTTACATTCCTCTTTTATTACAGTTTTTGTACAAATTTGGTTTTAACAACTGCATGGTGTCAAACAAACAAACTGCCTTGTATTAACAGTTGATTTATGTGTGTGTTAGGTCTTCACGGGACCGTGACCGCGAGAGGGACAGCAAGCACAGTTCATCTGAGCGGAGATCAGACGGGCTGAACGGCAGGACAGAATCTCGCCGTCATGATGACAGAGAAGCTGGAGAGATCTGAATCATCTCACGCTAACATAAACACAAACCGCTCATATACATATACCCACTTTTTTATTTATCATGTTTGCTTCGTCTGTAGTAAACTGCCCATGCCCAGTGTCATTAAAGTCTTTGTAGTCTTTAATATCTCAGTCCAGTAAGAATTGAATCTGTCTGATCCACTGTCCAGTGTTGAAATGACAATTTTTTTTTCTTCTTCTTTCAAAAGTGTGTATTACCGCTTTTTTTCCCCCCTCCATAATGTTATTTTTTTTTTGGGATTGGGTTTTTATTTTGTACCGTTTGTCCTGAATAATTTGTGTGCATGTTTTGCACGGAGCTCATTCTACTTTGAGAACAGCTGTTCTGAGGTCAGTTTAAACGCCCTTTCTTTAAATCTAGCTGCAGTGTTTCCCCATAGAGAGAGACTGAGCTCATTCACTCTTTGTTCCAGTAGCAGAGGTGTAGGAGTTTAATCAATCTAAACAAGTGAATCCATGGCATATTGTTTCAGAATTATTATGTACATGATCTTTTATAATGCTGTTTTGATTTCATGTTGTCCTGATCAAAGTGCATTAAATGGTTTTATGAATTTAAGTGGTGTTTGTCATTAATAAGTGCTCTTATCCAGCTAATACAACCATTTCTAACTAATAATTGGGTTTAATGCTTGTGTGTTTGGTATTCAGAAAGCTATTCTATTTATCTTGCGAATTCAATATGCAACTATTTAGATGGTTTAATATTTTACAAGATATTTTCCGCACATTAATAGCTTGGCACTTGGATTCAAAATTGGGCCTAAAACTGTTAAGAAAGCCTTGTTTTTGTGTGAGTGTAAAATTAGATTATACAATTATTTAATTCTACAGATAATAATACTGTTGTGTGATCTGAGGTTTCTGAAAATCGAAATTACTATTTGTAGAGAGACATTTTTTTAACGTTTCGTTAATTTTGTTAGATTATCGTTAGTTTTATGTTAGATTATATTAAACGTTTTTTTTATTTTGCGACTAATTAATTATTTATTTGTTATCAGATTAAAATCATAGAAAGTATATTTTATTTTAATAACCCCCAATGTTGTTTTTAATGAAGTTTCTTCTTGTAACCGACAGATGGCGTCATTACGCTGGCAACAAGCAATGGCTCGTCACCTCCGGTAACGTCACCGTGACGCCACAGTCAAAACAACCGAAACATGATGCTAGCGTCTCACATCCGCGAGTAAAATGTCGTGTTTTTAGCCATCGCTGATGTAAACTTTGGATATTTGTCATCTGAATGTCATGATCTTGTCTAACTATGAGTTTGGTAGCGTTTATTTCGGTACAAGTGACCAAAAAGTCATCATAAAAGCACCAGTGTAGCTACCGGTTTGCTAACGACAGGCGTCAGACCAGCAGTCAAACCAGGTACGCCGAAAATAAATCATATATTACATTTAAAACATCAAATCTAAAGTCTACTAGTGTTTATTCTCGCCAATTGGCTCTGTCAAACGGATTACAAGCTTGTGACGCGTCTGTAGTGTAGACGTACAGATGTGTGTGAGTCAGCCACACACATTTCTCTTCTAATCACTATTAATGAACACCTTTCAATTAGTTTTACTAAATTTGTGATGAATCATTCTCGGTGTCAGTCAAATAACATGAGTTCTATGTTGTTCACAGTCCAGCTGTAAGAGTCAGGAATCATCTGACAGCTGTCAGGGGCTGATCAGAGTCCAAATGTGTGTGTTATGAAGTCAATAAGCCTGTAGTTTGTGTTATTGCACAATTGTTGTCTTTGCAGTGTATGTGCATGTAATGATGTGTTATTGTATTTTTGTGTGTTGTCCCTGCAGTGTGAGAGGTTTGCATTTATCTGGATCCCCGGGACAGGCCGGTGCTCACCGAAGAGACGGGGAACAGGATTGGTAAGCAGGGGGGAGCAGGCACCGCTGAGCCCGTGGAGAAGATGGCCAGCAGCCCGGAGAAAAGCTCCTCCGCACAGGAGCTCAAGGAGCAGGGCAATCGCCTGTTCCTCAGCCGAAAATACCAGGAGGCCGTGACCTGCTACAGCAAAGCCATCGTGAGTGGGGCAGGACAGTTCTCCTGAGAAATGTGTATATAAATGTAAAAGATTTGGGGTCAAAAGTTTTCAATAATTGCAAATTTGTCATGTTTTTTTTTTTTTTTTTTTAGAATAAGTCTCTTCTGCTCACCAAAGCTGTGTTTATTTGATCAAAAATACAGTATATATTGCAAAACACTGCCCAGCCAAGAACAAATTTAAAAAAAAAAGTCACTGTTTGGATTTAAATGCTTATGAGTCTATGATTGGATGATTATTGCAGTGATTATTATGTTTATATCATGTTACATGTTTGGCAACAGTTCTTCTAACTCTAACTGAAGCAGTGTGTAGCTTTTCATTTCTCAAACAACCATGTTGGAAGAACATCATGTTCATATTCCAGGATGATTCATCAGGCTCAGATTGTGAAAGAATGGTTGTGAGGAGCTCGAAGAATCATTTTCTCACATGGATCCAGAGCTTAAATTCACTGAACCAGTCCAAACTACACCTACACACAGTCCAAAGACATGCAGGTTAGGTGGATTGGACATATTGGACGTGCCAAATTGCCCCGTAGGAGTCTGTGTGTGTTTCAGCACACTCTGTTTTCTCAGTGCTGGGTTGCGTCCAGTGTAAAACCTGTGCCAAATCCATTGTGTGAGTGCAGATAATTTGATGAAGCTGACCTTGCAAATGAGCGGGACTAATGCTAGGAAAAGATATTTCTCCAGTCGTCAGTGTCACATGATCCTATGCATTCTAGAAACATATCTGAATATTATCAGTGTTGAAAATGGTTGTGCCGCAATTCATGATACACTCCCATTAAAAAGTAAGATCGAAAAGTATACTTATATATTTCAAGTCAATTCTATTCATCCATGAATACAACGTTTTACATGATTCGTAACAACAACCATTATTAATAACTGAGAACAATAATAATTGAGCATCAAATCATCATATTAGAGTGATTTCTGCAGGATCATGTGACACTGAAGACTGGAGTAATGATGCTGAAAATTCAGCTTTGATCACAGGAATAAATTACATTTTAAAATATATTCACATAGAAAACAGCTATTTTAAATTGTAATAATATTTCACAATATTACTGTTTTTACTGTATTTTTGATCAAATAAATGCAGCCTATGTGAGCAGAAGAGACTTCTTTTTATTCATCACAGAATCCTGAGGATTTCCACACAGTTTCGATTATTTTAAATGCTCGTTTTATATTCAGTAATGCGTTTAACTCATCAAGTGACGATTGTGTGGCTATTGACCTGATAAAGTCGTAGAGTTGTACTGATCATGTTTCTGCTGTGTGTGTGTGTAGAACCGTAACCCCTCAGTGGCCGTGTACTACACTAACAGAGCGTTATGCTACGTGAAGCTACAGCAACACGACAAGGCACTGGCCGACTGTAAACACGCCCTCGAGCTCGACAGCCAATCAGTGAAGGCGCACTTTTTCCTGGGCCAGTGTCAGCTTGAACTGGAGAACTATGAAGAGGCCATAGGCAATCTACAGAGAGGTACACACACACACTTACAGCTTGAAGTAGGAATTTTGATTTATAGGGGTCACATGATGCTTAATGTTTTCCTACTCTGTGTAAAGTATCTGTTTGTGCATGTATACGATCTGCGAAGGTACAAAGCTCATAGTCTCCCACAAAGCGGTTTATTCTTCCTAACAGAGAACCCTGATCCAGACCGGCCTAAAACATTAGGAATCAGATTTATTTATAAAGCTGTTTGTGAGCAGGATAACCTCTAAGTTTGCAGCTTCCTGAACCTGGAGAGCATAACAGTGGCTAGATAGATACTAAGATGATTTACACTGTGAAAGTTGGTTCTGATCGAACGCCTCCATCATCCACATATCCAGAATGCGAATCGGGCTTGAACTGATATAGAAAAACCAATGACAACTCGTCTGAGGTGTTTCTATTTCGTTTTTATAAGAGAATATTGGCCACAGGATATATATGGTTTAAACTAGGCATCCAAACAGGCATCAGCGTTCAAATGCAGTGTGATGAAATGGCTTGTTTTCAGCTTATAACCTGGCGAAGGAACAGCGGCTGAATTTTGGAGACGATATCCCAAGTGCTCTTCGCATTGCCAAGAAGAAGCGCTGGAACAGCATAGAAGAGAAGCGGATCAGCCAGGAGAACGAGCTGCATGCTTACCTCACCAAACTCATCCTGGCAGAGAAAGAGAGGTGCGAGTCACGCTGGCATCCGTCCGTACACACACCGATGATGAGTCTGTGGCGTAACGTCTGTCTGTGTTTATGTGTGTGTTCAGAGAGCTGGACGACAGCAGAGTGAAGCAAACCGAGGACATTCAGAACGGAGGCGAGATCAGCAAATGCAAATCCAAACACGTGAGACACGCGCCCGTACATATACAAACACCTCCGCGTCGTGTGGGATTGAGGAAGTGATGTCATTTCCTGTGCTTCTCTCTGCAGGATAAATATCTGATGGACATGGATGAACTTTTCTCTCAAGTAGATGAAAAGCGGAAGGTATGAAGAAATCTCAAGACATTTTGACAATCACTCAACACACACTGATATATGATCTGCTCCAGATAGTTGTACAGCGTTTGATTGGCTGTTCATTCTATGTTGTGTTACGTGTGCAGAAGCGAGAGATCCCAGATTACCTGTGTGGGAAGATCAGCTTTGAGCTCATGAGAGAACCCTGCATTACTCCCAGCGGCATCACTTACGATCGCAAGGACATCGAGGAACATCTACAGGTGCTCACCAGAACACACTCACCCGGCATCACTGCCATTTTCAGCTGCCAGGTTTTGGTTGTTGTTTAGTTTTTTGGGCCATGTGACTGGTAGAAATATGATTGGCTGAAAGATCACACATTGGCAGATCAGATTACAGCATGTTGTTTTAGTATTATTAATGTACTAGGACTGTATTTTAAAATTAGTTTTTTTTATATATATTTCCATTTTAGTTCTAGTTTAAATCGTATTCATTTTGTTGTGTGTTTAGAGTCAGTTTGTATTAGTTTTTATTTTCATTTTACTTTTTATTTTTCAGTTTCTACTCTTTTCTACAAAATAAAATAAATAAAAAAGATCATATAATGTAATCATAGACGATTCTCTGTTATTGTAAGATTTTTCATATACTATTATAATATTTATTAATATTCTGAATTAATATTTATCTATATTTTGTGTTTGTAATTTTGTTGTGTTTATGGTTGTTTTTATGTTTCTTTAAAATATTTCAGTTTTTTTTTTTTTCACATTTGGTCATTTTAGTTATTTTTTAGTTAGTTGCCAATATATTTATTTATTTATTTATTTTTTATCTACCGTAGTAATTATATTGTATTTTTTTTATTTTGTTTTTTTAGACGCTTAAGATGGACAACATCTACATATGTTACAACATAAATTGCTTGGGACAAAACACAGTTTTTAAAATAGCAAATAGCCTTTAGTGATGAAAAACAACAAAATTGCAGTTTTGATTTAATGTTTTCTC